ATAACTGCTTTTGGGGTCAAAGGCCGGTTACAGCCTATCAGATCTAGAGGAGGGGTATTTAGGCCCAGTTCTCATCCTGCTCAGTGCCCTGTCGTGGTTTCCCTTGTGGTTGTCCAAGAGCGCGTTCCTGATTCAAGTTTCTTCTGGTTTTTGACTTTGGCTTTGATTTTGACTTCCCTGTATTCTGTATCCCTGACTTCTGGCTTTCTCTTATCGTTGTGTCTCTTTCTGTGTTCCCTGACCTCGACAAGTATCCTGACTATTCTTTGGTATGTTAAGTCCAGCCATTCTAAGGCCCGGTAATACATTACCTATTAGTCATCTGTGTGACACAATTCTACGTGCTGGATCAACTAGTAATCCTGACACTCTCCTGGCGGATTTCAAAGTGGTTCAAAACCGCAAATCAAGTTGTCCGGGAACCGCACGGTCACCTCATGCTGAAAACAGCTCCATAACATTTACTGCTAAGTCCCGCTGAGGTTACCAGGATCCCACGAAGTCCCCATGCCAAATTTAGTTGCATAGTGGTCACGGCTAAGTACCGCTGGGACTATTCGTGGGTTTGGTTCATGCGAACGGCCGCCAGAGAGCCAGCATTCGGTTCCATTCGCATGAAGGGAAAGTGCCGAACCAGGGGCACCCAGGGAAAGCTGTTAATGGCGGCTGTGCAGAATAACTCCCAAACGGTGTCCCAGACCTGGACCATAGTCGGTGGGAAGGAAGCCGGTTTCTACACTCCTCCAGTAGTCCATGGAAAATGTACGTGGGAAGAAGCATTTGTCACAACTGCTAATGATGGAGAGCTGGCAGTTTTCTGTTTGAGTTAAGCCCTGCAGTGCAGGAGATAGCTCATTGAATAAGAGCGATCTGCTGATGCTCTCATGCAATGTAAACCCTGTGTCGCAGACTTAGCTCAGGAGAACTCTCCATCATTAGTAGTGGGATGGCTAATAAAAATACCATTCTACTTCCATGTTATGCTTCAACAGCAAATTTTTACTACGATACTTTATGCAGATACACATGTCCATGGCTACCAAATAAGATACAAGTAAAATGAAAGATGATTATGAGTTATACTGTTAAGAGATGCCTTTTAATGAAAAATGTTTAGAGAAAAAAATCAGAGGTAAAACAAATCTGCATCTTTCTACCAGAAAAAAATTTCTGGAAGAGGCATATTTATCTATTGTGATGTATTTGAAATGCTGTGAGCCTGTACTATAGCAATTATTATGAAGGTCGTGTTTAACATTTTAGTAGGAAAGAGAGCCAAATGTCTTGGGTGGTAAAATTTTGTTAAAGTTTTAAGCTTTCTGTAGTGGTTAGGGTACCAGGAGTGCCCTGCCCCTCTCCCTATTGTATATAGTCAATCCATTTGGATCAGAGAGCTGGAAGTTCTCTCGGGCATTAGTATAGTAATGGAGGTCATAAACGGTTTGTTTACTTATAGGGGGGGAGCGGGTGGATCTTGAACTGTTCCTTTAACTTGAGGAACTTGTACATGGTATTCACTGGTTTAGTATTGGTCTAAGGGGCTCCAGGTTTTCCTTGCATATAATTTTTTATCATCCTCCACCTCACACACCATACTGTTGTGGAGGAGGGTGCTATTCATCAAACTCCCTGTGGCGGAACCAGCCTCACCACTGGGCATTGAAGAAGACTGATTGTGACCATGGCCCCATGTTGAAATGCTGGATTTTCCCCTGCAAAGACACGAAAGCCGGGTCATTCAGTACTTTCCCTATGTGAGCAGTGTTACCCCAGATAGCTATGCCATGGAGCCCATACGTATAGCGAAAGACTATGTGAAAGACTTTGGCTCCATGGCAATTGAACTGTATGTATGTGATCTAAGCACCATTCAGTAATAATTTGCGCTCAGATCTAAGCTATCTGGGGATATGTTGAATGTACCCGTTTTATGCAATCGCTGCACAGTTATATATTTTTATGTATTTTATTGTATTTTGCTACCACGTGGCTAATGGAGTTTTGCCTCTGTCCTTGGAGATAATTGGATTACTTCCCAATTATCTCCAGGATAGAAGACTCTGTGGAACTGGTTTTGGGCAGAAAAACCATGCTTCATTTTGTCAAATAGGACTTTCCCTTAACTTTTTAACCCCTGAACCGATTGCCCTGATTTTTGAGTATGTGTATATTTCATGTTTTATGTGAATGGCATGTATATTTTGGAAGTTATTAATATTTTGTAAAAACTGTTTCTCTGCCTGTGATAATTATATGACCCATTGTGTTCAGTAATCATATCACAGGCAGAGGGGAGGATTTTGTGCTGGAGTGTCTGTGTGTATTGTACGGATCGATTGGTTGTATTTCAAAACCCTGTGGGCAGTACTATGTTTGTGGATTGTGAATAAAAGAGGCTGTATGTGCCAGTACAGTCAGTTCTGCTTGACCTCAAAACGAAGTGTCGTCTCGTTATTGGGGGAATTGGATTGTATGCTGATTGCCAGGAGTGTAAGCTGATTGTATGCTTTTCCTGTTCAGCTACTTACAGCATTCATATGCTTGAGAGCATTTGTGTGCTTCTCCGGTTCGGTGGTTGTGGTGTCTGCTGCAGTGCTTGGAGTCCTCAGGAAGCGCTAGGAGCATCCTTCAACTGAGGTACCCAGTCGGGGTGCCAGGTGGTCCGTTACACTCCCTCACCAGGTAAATGATGCAGCTGTGGACTCATGACTGCTGACCCATGTAAAACCTTACCGTTGCCCAATAAATACACAAACAAATGTATAGTGGATAAGGACAATGACCACAGCTTTATAAAATTTTTGAACCTGCATTAACTTCCACCTGTTAGCTGATAAGGGTGATCATTCCACCAGACAGATATAACTTTCTGTTCCCAGAGTCCAAAGCAGCCTGCCTCCCGCCTTCAGCCCAAGCAGGCTGCGACTCTCCAATCCGAATTGGCACTTGCCTTAACATGTGCTGGCCAGGTATCCCGCCACCACGAAGCTGGCCTCCTTCACACTCCCCTGGCATCACGCCCCCTGCCGCTAGTGCCCTCTCAATCCCTGCTTGCAACTCAACATTAAATATATCCAGCTCTGTAAGAGTTAAGTGGACCCCATTGTTCTGCATCAAATTGGTGTTGTCCTTCTTAAAATCAACATGCCTGACAACTATACCCCTAAGTCGTCGAACAAACCTAGCAATGGTCATGTTCAATTTGCGCCTACTGCACTCGAGCCCCTTAGCATACGGCAGCCTGGGAACCACCTCCGACCACACCACTGTAACCTCCTGAAACAACGCCATACAACGGGCAACATCACCTTTTATGTAATGAACCAAGTCAATTGTCTTACCCCTAAACAGATCATTACCCCCCATGTGAATAACCAATATTACAGACTCGGAAATGAACCTGCTAGGAAACCGGCACTCAGGATACACTTGACTCCACGACAAACCCTGAACACCCCTCCACCAGATACGAGCTGTGTCATAGGAAAACCCCAAGTTGCGACCATAAGGGCTCTGCTCTGCCCGCCTTGCCGCCCAGTAGATGTATGAGTGCTCTAATATACATACGTATCGGGGAGGAGGACCTAAAAGGAACAAATAAGGAAACCGTGAAGAAACAGACATCAGATGAGGCCGAACATACAATTGAAACCATCCCGAATTCCACCTACCCAACCTCTGCACCGACGCCGAGGAATAACCCAATATGCTAGCCTGCCTGGCTGCCCCAATACGGAAGGAATGGTTCAAATAACCTGTAGGACTTCTACCACTAGCTACCAAGGAATCCTTCAACACCTTGGAAAATTGATACCACGTCAAAGGAGACCCGTCCCGATGCACCAGCAGAGACCTTCCACCCGCCGGGCAGATCTCCAAGAAGCGAAGAAACAAACGCACCAGGCAAAACTCCCCGCCCGCTATACCAACCGGAACCACGCACCCACTCCTGCTTGATCTGTCTTAGATTTGTGGATTCTTATATCCACAAACCCATCCAACCATTGCACTTCGGCCAGCAGTAGCGGAGACTCCGCCTGCCGGCTCACAGCCACCAATTCCCCTATCCGTAAAGACCCAAAGAAACAAAACAAAAATGCCACCCCCCACAATAAAGCCTCATATTCCGAACTGCACACTCGCTGGAGCGATGCCAACAACTCCCACAGCAACTGAATTGAAATTGGCCTCCGCTGATCTGGAACACTCCTACTGCGCCAACCCCTAAGCACTCTTTGAATACTAAACTCCCAGGTAAGGTCCCTCCAACCCAGGAATCAGAAAAAAAATGACAGTGCTAAAAGAGACTTCTCCGCCGTGGCACATGACGGCCCATCCTCCAGCAAACTATTCAAGAACAGAAGGGTTACTTCAATGCGCCCCGTGTCTGATGCCAGACTCCTGTTCCCATCCACAAAACCCAGCCATTTGGACCAAACTGCCCTGTATGCTTTCCACAAAGCCGCAGATAACGACTTTGACACCAAATTCATCAATCCTCTGAACTGAACTCTCATAAAGACTGCGGGCAAGGCTGCCTGTCCCGATCCACCTGTGGCGCGCCTCTTGGAAACAATGCCACTGGAACCAAGAAAGCGCATCAGCGATGACATTTAACACCCTGGGCACATGACACGCCCTAACCCACACATTATACTGCAAACTCAACAGGACCAAGTGCAGCAGCAATGTCAACGAGGAACAATTAATCACATGGACAACACTCATGTTTTCTGTGTGAAAATTAACTGTCCTATTCTGAAAGTCCTCACCCCACAAATCGAGAGCCACCACAATTGGGAAGAGTTCCAAAAATGTGAGATTTCACATGAGATCCCTATCCTTCCATGCACTGGCACACCACCGTCTCTTAAAGTATGCCCCAAAGCTGAGGGATCTGGACGCATCCATGTTGGCGACGGCCGACTTGGGGTCATAAGAAGCAGCCAGACCCCTATTTATGAGGAAATGGGAGGATGCCCTCGGATACACGCTGACAAATAAGGAATGGGAGTCCATATGTTACCTCACACACCACTGCTCTACGCACAGCAAAACACAAGAGACAGCCTACAAACTTCTGACACAATGGTACAGGACACCTCACTTCCTACACCAGATAGACCCAGACCAACCAGGCCTATGCTGGCGATGCCAACAAGAGGAGGGCAGTATCACACACATATGGTGGGAATGCGCAAAGATCAAACCATACTGGCAAAACATCCACAAAATGCTAGAGAAATTCACAGACAAACCACCCCCCCTGGAACTGGCAGCAATGCTCCTACACCACACTTCTACCCCTCACTCCAAATACAAAAAATCTATGACTATTCGAATACTCAACGTAGCCAAACGAGTGCTCCCCCAATTCTGGAAACAGGCCATAACACCTCCACTTAAGATCTGGTTTAGCCAAATGGAGGAACTGAGGACAATAGAGGAACTGACCCTGACGACTAACACTTCCCCGACAGCCTACATGGACATATGGACACATTGGATCCTAGAGACGGCGAAAGAAGGATTCCAAAGGGAACTAGAATCGGCAACTGCCACACCACAGACAGGAAGGACTTAGGGAACACACACCTGACGACAGGCGACGACTGACTACCCTCACACCCCTTCCTACCCCAACCCTAACTTTCCCTTCCCCCCTCCAGAGGAAAGCCAAGAGATAATAAACCCAATCCAGGTAGATACACAAGTCAATGAGAGGGCACACATGAGAATTGAATGTCAAACTCACAGGGAGTCGGGTCACCCCGACCAGTAAGTCGGACGAAAGGCCGACGAGCCTCTGTACAACCCGCACACAAATTACAACTGCAATAAATGTAATGAACTGTAATAGAGAAATGCTCGTAAAATAAGTTAAAAGGGACTTGCAAGTCCGTCAACATTGTGGGCCTGCGAGCCCGACTAAAAGTTACTGTTTTTGATATATTCCAAATGCCTTCATATCCTTTGATAACTCACCTTGGAGACCTGCGAGTCTTCGAATCTTGACTAACCAATACAAATAAAAATTATATTCACAAAAAAAAATAAGAAGCAGCCAGAGACTGCCATCTTATGTCCCAAAATCCAACCCGGGGCACATCGCCATCTTCTGCCTAAACTGTTGGTCATATCGTTGGTCATATCGAACTGTTGGTCACGCCCGGCAGAGCTACTTACACGAACCCTGTCACCGGCACCCCTCCCACCCCGTGTGCCTCACCAGGCAAACTGTCAACTAGCACCCTAAGCAAGCACAGAACCTTATCCTGGGCACCCCCTGCCTGGCCCCCAAAGTACTCCAAGCGCCTGCGCAGGCCAACTCACCAGACACAGGCAGACTGACAGGCACCGGGTTCTCAGGCTGGTCCTCCCACTCCTCTTGCCCCTTCCGGTCCAGAAGACTAATCCTCCGCTCTCCACAGCTGACCACGCCGTAGGCCGCCATCCTCTGCCTCCACTGGCTGACCACTGCTCAGACTGCCTCCTCCTCCCTCCCAGAGCAGACCGCTCAACCGGCCACTGTCCTCCACCACTCAGGGAGCCCCTTCCAGGCCAGCCTCCCGGCTCTCTGGCTCTCCTGCCTGCTGTGCCCTGTTTAAAGATGGCGGGACCTGTGATGTTGGCACGTTCTGTTGCGCCGTCTGCTGACATCCGTCTTCCTGTGTGACCAGCACGAACTGACGTCAGATCATGTCTCACCGGAAGAGACGCTGGACTCCTCGAGTGCGCCATCCTGCGACCGCCATCTTGGGCCCGCCGACCCTACACCGGTCCAAGCCGCAGCCGTTGACCCGCAGCTCGGACAGGGACTCCTCCATCCATGGCTCCGCCTCCTTCTCCACTGCCTCCTCTCTGTCTGACACCTCTCTACCGCACCGGACTGGGGGAAAGGTGTATAGGAGGTCTGGACCGCCTGGCCTCCTACCGCCATCATGTGTCTGGCTGACCTCCACCTCAGCATCCCGCCACTGGTCGCCTGCAAACCAGCCATCACTTCCGTCAAGGACCCAGTCCCATTTGCTGCCAGGTAGGCCTGCAGCATTGCAACCACCACCTCACGAGACACCGCAGCTATAGCCAGGAAGGTGGTAGACACTTCGAAACAGCGAATCAACCGTGAGTAATCGATTAATTCACTTTTCTTATTGATGTATTTTTTTTTCTTAAGGAAAGAGTCACTATCCAGGAAAAATATCTATATTTATATCACTAAGCTGCTACCTTTGAAGTGGTAAGTGTCCACCCCTAAACTTCCTTTTCATCTGTACCTTAACTTTTTGCAACATCGTCTCCCCATTGATCCAACCCCTTTCCTGGGCAGCAGTCATACTTCCCTTCCTTGGAGTCCAGGGAATCTCTTTTTGTAGGAATTTCTGCCTTTTTGTTTTTCCTTAGTGACTCGTAGTTCTCTTTGATGGAAGCTAGCCATGCTTTTCCCCTCCTCTCTTTGTCCCTATGCGTGCCAACTGACTGTGTGCACCAAGTTAATCCCTGTGACAATTGACGGTAAGCAACAAGTTAATTCCTGTGACAACTGACAGTGTGCACCTACTTAATCCCTGTGACAACTGACGGTACGCAACAAGTTAATTCCTGTGACAACTGCCTGTCAAATTAATCCCTGATGAAGCCACCTCAACAACAATTCTCCAGCCTCGCGCTAGTTATCAAGTTGCTTCCTGCCCATGCTTCAATTGCGCAGCACTTACTGGGATTAAGAGTATGCTGTTTAAAACTCTTGCAACTCATCTAAAAAGTTAATCTGCATTGTCCTTCTTTACGTCTCATTTAGTGTTGTGTAGTTTTCTGCCCAAGATTAGTGTGAGTTACTCCAGGTGAAAACTAATTCCATTTTAATAACAGCAACTGAAATACAATAAAGTCCTTCCCTTAACCACTATAGTACACTAACATATTACCCTTTGCATTAAACCCCTACATTACATTACACATCACGTACCTTTATCCCATACGTTATGCTAACATGAACTCACTTGACCTTTTTTGTGTTGCTGCTGTTCCTTTCTGCTCAGGCTCTTTGCAATTTGTGAGAGGATTACGTGCCCACTAACACTCTCACTCACACTGCAAACAGCAAGGAGAGAAATGAGCAGTGACGGGCTGCACAGGCACAGTCACTACACTAACATTATTAACACCAAAAGCACAGCAGTGCGCTGGTGCCTACTAACATGTTGCTGCACCACAATTAAGTAACTTGGGTGGCACCATAGAAATTAATTAAAAAAATAAGTTAAAAAACATTTTTTAAAAACTCATCTAGCAGCAACGGGCCACCAGTCCAACAATATTTCGTAAAGTAATGTAAATCCATTTCAAGGCAATAAACTGTTTTCTCACTATAAGAATGGAGACAAGGAATTGTTTAAGTGTCCATCTTTGATTGTTTTTTCCCCACTTTCTATTTTGTGGGTTTTTTATTTTTTTATTTAGTTTCATTACAAATCCAGAAGTCTACATTTTAAAGAACTAAAAAAAACAATATCTGCATAGAATGCTACTACGTGGAATAGAAGGCAGAAAGGATTAGAGGAATGTAGGATCCGTTTAGAAATTCCTTATAAAACAGCTTAAAGTTGTGACCTCAATATGGTGATCCTCTCTGATACTAATTAATGCTTTAGAACAGAGGTGCCCAAAAGTATGACATCCAGCTGTATAAAGACTCACTAGAGTTATTCATTGGGTAGACATCAAGACAGATGGAGTCCTGCAACAGCTGGGGTCTACTTTTTGGTCACCCCTACTTTTTTCTTTAATAGCTGTGTCTGGTCCTCACTGATGAATACATTCTCAGTGGAAGATACTTACCGGCTTACTTACTGAAGTCCAAACATAATCCAGATTAGGAAAATTCATTGAAAATCAACAGATATCCACCAGATTCAGTTTTCACATATTTTCAGGGACAACAAGCATTAAACCCTGACAGATTTTTTTTTACTTAACTTTTTCACTTGGCAGTTAAAAGCTCAAGATTTACAGGGTTTAGCATTATTGTATGGCGATTCCTTTATAAACTGATAAAAAGGTTGTAATGTGCGCACACACACACACACACACACACACACACACACACATGTCTCTGTATCCCTGTATGTGTGCATGTCTCTGTGTGTGCACAGTGGATCCTGGTTTTGTGCTGCCCCAGGCATGACAAAACTCAGGCACCCCTTCCCCCCCCACCCCCCACCTTCTAAATACACATACGCACTCACTGACAGACAGATATACACTCAGTGTCAGACACACACTTTCACTGACAGACACACATACACACTCACTAACAGACATGCATACACACTCACTGACAGACACACACACACACACACACACACACAAACTAACAGACACACACATAGTAACACACTCCATAACAGACACACACACACTCTACTATAAACAAGGCTACTATCATAACTTTAAAGGACCACTCTAGGCACCCAGACCACTTCAGCTTAATGAAGTGGTCTGGGTGCCAGGTCCCTCTAGGATTAACCCATTTTTTTTATAAACATAGTTTCAGAGAAACTGCTATGTTTATAGATGGGTTAATCCATCCTCCAAATCCAAAATCACAGTGAGAACACGCAAGTGTCCATAGGAAAGCATTGTAAATGCTTTCCTATGAGACCGGCTGAATGCGCGCGCAGCTCTTGCCGAATGGGAGGAGAGGAGGAGGATCAGAGGAGGAGAGCTCCCCGCCCGGCGCTGGAATAAAGGTAAGTTTAACCCCTTTTCTCTCCCCAGAGCTGGGCGGGAGTGGGACCCTGAGGGTGGGGGCACCCTCGGGGCACTATAGTGCCAGGAAAACGAGTATGTTTTCCTGGCACTATAGTGGTCCTTTTAAGGCTCCTTACAAACTCACTGACTGGAATGGATGGGACATCACATCTTCCCAGTGATGCTGTATAGGAGAGAAATGTAAACCATGAGAGCAACATGTATGGCTTGGGAAGATGTTTATATCTCTCAAACCACATAGTGTTATAGGACCATGTGTGGGCCCCAGTGTTTTGCCAGGCCCCTTACTGGAGTATTGGCTGTACCCCCTTGTGGAAAACCTGACCATCATCTTATTTACGAAGCCATGAATTAACAAGGGAATTGTAAATTGTAGGCCAGAACACCTAGAGTTTTAATTGCTATGCAGAGAATGGTGGTAAATTGAAAATTCAAGTTAAAATCACAAAGTAGTAGAGGAATTTTTAAAATCGGCTATTGTGGTTTCAGTTTTACAGTTTGTTTTATGGTTTACCACCATTCGCTGTTATGCAGTTATAATGCCCATTCGCTGGTGATACAGTTTGTGAGAGGTTGGCATCTCACCTGGGTTCCCGCCAGACACCGTGTCTCCTCTGAGCCAAGTGACGTGCATCCGGCTTCTGCAGAGCTGCTGAATTTGGATATAGACCCTGTCAATTATTCACTGGCTGAGAGTGTCAGCTGATCGCTCTCATTGAAACCCTCTGTGCATGGAACATGTGCAGAATTGACAATAGACAGGCCGGAACTCTTGTTCCAAGGCTAATGACATATGAATAATGCCGCCAGAGGATTTCATTTTTTGTCTTACCCATGCAGGTTCCAGTGACTCACATCTTATTGTATGTGTAATTCTATTTTTTTTTTCAGTATTATAGAAATAAAATCAAAGTACAGAAAAAAAATTAAAATTAGAACATATTACATGAATACATGTATAACAATTATGACTAGCATGAATGGACAATATTTCACTCTCTATTAAGCACCAACAATACAGATGCTCTTTACTGCTTTTTAAATGTATGACAAATAAGAGGGTTAACACATCTTTACACTTAAAGGAACACTGCAAACACCATAATGCATAAAGCCCACTGTAGTGGTTATGGTGCCAGGGTAAGTAGTTGAATTCTTTGTGAATGGATTAACTAATTGCCTGGGATCCTCCTCCTCTTATGATCCCAGAAGTTCTGCATTGAGGTAACCCTGGTGGTGCAGGGCTTAGCTCATTGGCTGAGATCATAATTTATTGTTAATATTTATTTAACATTTTGTAATTTTCTCATTTGTTGAATTTCCCCCTCTAAAATCTTGCAAAGTGCTGTGGAATAAGTTGGCACTATATAAATGCCAATAATAACAATAATTAGGACGGAAAAGGACAGTGGGATTTTGACCACAAAATAGGGACTGTCCTTCCTAACTAGGGACCCTTGGGATGTATGCTCTTGGGGGATAAACTACTTATTACATAAGAATAGATCCCTTTTATAAGCATAAGAGGAGCCTCATTAGGATAGAAGAGGAGCCTTCAGCTGCTGGCAGACCCAAGGAACAGTGTCATTCACTAAGGAGTAAAAAGCTCTCTGAATGCTATAGTTAATATGCAAGTCAAGTGAAATATTGTTGTTCCCATTTGTGGCCAGCAGAGGGCGCCGCTGTTCTTGTCCCAACACAGCAGGTAATTGACCCATGTGGGGAGGGAATGAGATTGAGGAAGGTTGAGCCAAAGAGAGGGGTCCAGGGTGGGGAATCCAGTATCTAACAGCTCTCCAAGCCTCACACCACCATTAGCACTGTCCTTACACAACTGCAGTGACTCCTGCTATGGGGACAGCTCCTGCACCATGGATCATTCTGACAGCAGTATTCTTATGGATGGCTGTACCTGTAGAAAGCAAGGTAATTGTGACCATCTATTCAGTTTTTTTTTACCCACAGTAATAGTTTCCTTTAATGATTTATAATCACCAGACTTGTACAGAAAGGCTATGCATCTAAAGATGTTTAAAAAGTCGCTGGTGTTTCTACCATGTGTATAATTCCCATTAAAAAAAAATTAAAATTTTATATATATATAGTTTTAAGGTGACGTGCTTTCTTGGAGCAATCTGATCATAAATCAAAGTTTTATCATAGAAAGTAAATGCACAGGTGAAATAAACTGGCTGCAAATGTAAGCCTCATTGAATGCAGGTTGCCAAGACCTGACTATTTAACCCCTTGAATCCAAGGGGGTGAGCCCCACCCCCTGGCACCCAGAAGGTTAACCCAATAACAAACAGAGCCTCTCCCTGATTATCTGAAATCCTTGGGTGTGTTTTCATTCTCTTGTTACTGGCTATTCTGTTCTAGTAGATCCCAGGTGTTCAGAATATCGCTAGCTTGAATTAACTTCAAACAGAATGAATTGTTTCCTTTAACAATAGGATGCAATGAGCTGGCTTGCTTGGTCTTGTGTCTGCACATTTATAGGGCATGTTCTGATAGTTAGATGTTAGTCAGTTCCTAATTAGAGTCCCTTAAAGCTGGTATACTGTGCCTTGTACAACATTGTATTGGCTATGTGTTTTCCTCCACTGGCTGGAATGATGAGAGTTGTAGTCCAACAAGAAATGGACAGCTGCCTTTTATCACTACCTTTTTTTTATTTTGTTTTTTCCTCTTCAATAAATTTTTGGTTTTATCCATTTCTTGCTAAACAAACATGATTAACAATATGGAAATTATTTGTTTGCTTTACAAGAATTTTGTGTGTGTGTGTGTGTGTGTGTGTGTGTGTGTGTGTGTGTGTGTGTGTGTATATATATATATATATATATATATATATATATTTTATTTTTGAGAAACTCCAATAATCTGTTACACATGTGCTATGGATAAAATCAAAATGTACTTGTCTATGCAAGACTTCACATATGGAATTAAATTTTTTCACTTGTGTACTACATTTTCTTATTCCTTATAAGTTAATGGGCCAGCGGAAATTTCCAGCCTTGTGTCTACATTACACGCATACTTTCTGATCGTATGTGTACATGCAGCGAGAAGCCATGCTTTGGAACCAAAGAGAAGCCTTCCAGCCTGCTTACCAGTGACTGCTGCTCTTAACCAATTTCACGCCTACCTTAGCCAGTGAGGTGCACCCCCCTTTGGAATGCAGTCCAGTTATTTGAGGACACAGGGCTGCATTGATTCTGCAGTTTTGTTTCTGCTCAATCTAATTAAAAGTGCATTGCTTGGCTGGAGAGTGGAGGTAGCCGAAAGAAAATATATATAATTGCTCCCCAGTGAAAACTGTAAATTCAGCATTGTACCATTCTTTATAATTAGGGTGTAGTTTCATTTTATGTTTGTGTGGGATTTATTTATTTTTAACTTTGCCTTTGTCCTTCTTTTGGGGATCAATGATGATCTCCTTATATATTATTTTTCTTGATCATTATTATATAAATTGTAATCCTTTGTAGTATTGGGCATGATTGATCATTTAAGTATTACTGATGTTATTGTCCCGTTCAAAAAAAAAAATGATGGGAGTTTGTTGTAGGTTTCAAAGTAACTTCTGTGTGCCTTGTCCATGTGTAAAAATGTTCCTGTATAGTTATAACAGAATTTACAAAACTTTATTTATTTTTAAATAACAAGCCGAGAACAGCATGAATCTTAAAGTGGCACTGTCACTATTTGTGGACATTACAGAATTCGCAAAGACCCCCGGCAGTGATATTGCTTTTGGGAGGCGTGCAGGTAAGGGTGAGTTCGGCTTATCTAAAACTGCCCCTTGAGGGTGTGGAAATAATGTTCTAGCGGGTCCCCTTCAGCTGACATCACTACTGTACTCTGACATGTAAATCATACAGGCACAGAGGTGTTTTTTTTTGTTTGGCTCTATAGAGCGCACCTGACTTTACCTCTGCTGGCTGTGCATGCATTTTGGCTTTGATGTCTCAATGAGCTGTAGTCTTATAATGAAAAGTTTGCTCGCTTGCGTTTTGACTACAGAGGCTTCTCAATGAAAAGCATCTGGTCAATCCACTGGCACAGACAGGGAAAAAATAGGAGGGCTTGCAACAGCTGCTGTTAAGCGCTTCACTCCTCTCCCCCCCAAAAAAAAAAACCAAAACAAAACAAAACAAAAACAAAACAACCAACCAAGCAAAAGAAAATACATGCATGCTTTATTTGTGGACTTATATATCTAATTCCTCCCCACTCCCCTCCAGTGGAGTGTTCCTTTTTAAAATTAAAATAAATATATATGTAATAAAAGCTTATAGAGCAAAATTTGAGTTGGGGCATATCGGCTTAATTGTGAGCTGCCACTGGCTACTCAGTTACTCAAACTAGCAACTGGGTAAGCTATTGCAGCATTGGAATGGGGCCACTAAACTATTGTGGTGGAGACATGGCACTGCCCCCCATCCAGTGGGCATCATATTGAGGTTGTACTTACTCTATAATAATATGTGGCGGAACTGAGGTGGGGGCAGATTGGATTTTTGCCAAGGGTGATACAAATCCTTACAGTGGGCCTGGGTCAGACCGTGAGCAGGTTCACTACAGGAAGTAACAAAATATAATCAAAATATTATCAGTCTTTCTACTACAATTAGGGATAGTTTCATATCACTACCACATAAAATAACAGAAAAAAAGTATATTCATCTAAACCTGCACAAAGATGCAGGTTGAAACAGATCAAAACAGTCTGTCTGGTCCATACCTTGTAGACATCTCTCAAATAGTCTTTCTAGTTCTACAGGCACCATATCTCTAGGCCAGTGGTTCCCAACCCAGTCCTCAAGTACCCACTAACCGTGCAGGTGTTAGGGATTATCCAGTTGAGTGTTTTTTAGAATTCTTTTATTTTTTATTACAGGGTAATGGACTGGTAGGAGGTACCTGAAGACTGGTTTAGGAACCCCTGCTCTAGGCAACAAGGATTTTACCATAGTCTCTCCTCATAAACTGCTCCTGAGTCTGTTGCTGTCTTCAAATAGTGCTGGTCCACAAGGCAAAGTGATGATCATACTGTATGTCACTATACACTGCATGAGGGAGCAGAGCAAAAAAAAAGCTCAAAGCTTACATGATCCACTCCATCTCTCCCAAAAGTAGGGAGGCTGGGTGGACTTAAAGGACCACTCTAGGCACCCAGACCACTTCAGCTTAATGAAGTGGTCTGGGTGCCAGGTCCTTCTAGGGTTAACCCATTGTTTTATAAACATAGCAGTTTCAGAGAAACTGCTATGTTTATCAATGGGTTAAGCCTTCCCAAAGCCTCTAGTGGCTGTCTCATTGACAGCCGCTAGAGGCGCTTGCTTTTGAGCACGAAGCGCCCATAGGAAAGCATTGATAATGCTTTCCTATGACTGGCTGAATGGCGCGCAGCTCTTGCCGCTGCGCGCATTCAGCCCGGCGGTCGGAGGAGGAGAGAGGAGGCAGAGAGCTCCCCACCCAGCGCTGGAAAAGGTAAGTTTTTTTTTTCCCTTTCCCCCTTCCAGAGCTGGGCGGGAGGGGGTCCCTGAGGGTGGGGGCACCCTCATGGCACTATAGTGCCAGGAAAACGAGTATGTTTTCCTGGCACTATAGTGGTCCTTTAAAGTAAAGTAAAAATAAATAATTTTTGTGAGCGTATGAGAAAATATGTCCATCTTTTCAGAATGTGTGTTGGTTTAGGTGATTTTATCCCCCTATCAGATTGTATGGAGAAGGTATTTTTACTCCCCTTTTTTTCCATGTTGTGGCGGTCTTGCTGTAGCTAGCCCTGCCTCCATGGCTGAGATAATTAATCTTGATGATCTCAGTTAAGCCAATGCATTCCCATAGGAAAGCACTAGGAGGCTATTGCGCATGCACTAATCCACATCTCCTTGTAGAGATACATTAAATCAATGCATATCTATGGGGAACGTTCACCGCCTCCATGCAGAGCATGAATGTAGGTGCTGCACACTGTGCATCATTGGACTAGGAATCACCACTAATGGCCATCTGAGTGACAGACACTAGGGGTGTTACTAGGCAACAATGTAAACACTACCTTTTCTTTGAAAAGACAGTGTTTACATTGAAAAGCCTGCAGGGACAGGCTCTAGACACAATAATCACTTCATTAAAGGGACACTAGATGAACCCAGGCCACTTCAGCTCATTGAAGTGGTCTAGGTGCACTGTCCCCGTCCCGTTAGCACTGCAGTGTTGAACATTGCAGGTTTTGAGATGTCTGATCAAACGTGTTGTTTATGTTCTTTTAATTATTACTACTGCAGTTTCCTTTCCTTTGTAATGCCCCTCTATTGCTGCTCAGGGTCAAACTCTGATTAAATCCTGTGAGAAGTTTTTTGAATCTTCCTCATTAGCTGTCTGAGTGATTTTACTTGTTATTCCCAATGTATCCTTTTCAGGCAGTAAATATGCTGCTCTTAAAGACATGTCTGCCTACTGGACAGATCTCCACTTCCCATGATGCAGCCTCCATTTTGGGTCCATGCCTGCTGCATTGTTTAAGCCAGTTGCTTATGCAGCAATGTGTAGAGACAGTATCTGACAGCTCTTCCCAAACTCCATGCTTCGAATACATCCTGCACATTCTCCCCTGCAGTCTCTGATAAGCCTTCCCTGTTTCCATGCTTTGAGTTCATCCCTCCCTCGCCTTAGCCATTTCACTCTCATCCAGGCAAGAGTTGAAAGCACAGTTCCTTAGTCTGATATCCTGCATATATAAATTGAACTAAACTGCTTTAGTATTGACATCAAATAGTAATGTCTTTAGCACTGCAGTTCTTGTGGACTACATTTCCAATGAGACTTAGGCAGCCATTCATCTGGCTAACAGTGTTATTCACTAGAGTGAGGATTACCAGGAATTCAAAGTGAATTTCAAAATGTATTAAAGTAGTGGGGTGACGACAATTATGTAAATTGAGTCTTCTGTGGGTGTCATTGTGGGTATCTAAGTCACTGTGTGTGTGCATATGTGTAAATATGCATAGATCCCAGCATTCATATTCAAACATCAACACTACACACAAACACATCCCTCCAATCAAACACCAACACTTCATGCAATCAAATACCAACACGATATGCAAACACACACTACATACAAAAACACTGTGGCAATCAATCACCAACACTACATGCAACCAAACCCCTGCATTCGAACACACAAACTTTACACATATGCACCCCTTCATTCAAACACGAACACTTTATACAAACACACCCCTGCATTCAGACGTACTTCCCATAAGTATGCCACTATTTTCAAGTGGCAACAGTACATACAAACACAACGGCAACCAAATGCCAACACTACACACAAATAGACCCCTACGTTCACATACACCATACACAAACATGCTTACATACAAATACTGCCAAATAAAACTTATTCTATGGGGGGGGGGGGGGTTGATGTCTGCATGAAGACATCCAGCATAACCAAAAACTACCATAGAAAAACATTATACAAATCCTAATGCGAGTGCGTTAGCGGAGGAGGAGTGGAGACTGAATGAGGGACTTTGGGATGCTGAGGAACATCGGTCCTGAAACCAGGTAAGTTATAAAAGGATTTTTAACCCTTCAGCACCACTAGGTGTGGCACGAGTGAGGGGGGCACTGTATGAAGCTATAGTGCTAGGAAAACAACTTTGAAAGCTTAAAGGGACTCTCTGTAGGCAACCACAGCTTAACATAGTGGTTCCGGGGAAAAGAGACAGTCCCTGCAGTGTAAACACTGCCTTTTCTAAGAAAAGGCCATGTTTGCATTTCTGCCTAAGGCCACCTCAGTGGCTGTCACTCAGACACCCACTAGATAGGCTTATTTTGCTTTCCTGGATTGCAGGACCAGCATTCAGCGTCTTCATAAGGTTCTGTCATTTCCCCCTCCCTCCTAGTAAATAATTTAATAAAGATAAAATCTTTATGAAATACTGATATTGAGTGTGTTGGATATTTACTGAAATTCCAACACATTTAAAAGATATACCAAGACATAATAGGGATGTCTCTGTATTAGCATGTTTCCTACTCTTGACAAAGGCAGAGCTACCACCATCAAGTTTTCTCATTTCTCTCCGCCAGCACTGTTGACTGATGTAGGGGAAAAAGGCATTGTCCACTGGAGGATCCTGTGGTCATGAGAGTACAACACTGATGTGGGGTCCTAGTTGATGAAGCACCAGGAGCTGAAGAGGATTGTCAGGAAGACTGTGGCAGCAGCTGCATTACATTATACTTTTTAATATAAACGTTTTTGCACAAACATACCTTTTGCTGAAAGGTTGAATTTTGTTAGCATAATGTTTTGTGATTCTTACATCCCTCCAAAACCGCAGCGAGTCTTTTACTGAGGTATACTGTCTGCATTTTTTTGAAGTCACAGAGGCAAACTTGGAAAGAGTCTATTTAAATGTTCAAATAAAGATTGTGAGTTTGCTTTGCTTGTGTGTATGTCATTAGGAACAGTTTAGTACCCCCAGCAGTTGACATAAGTAAACAAGTTAAATAAGTACATATTTGAGAGTAGACCATGAAGTTTCCACCAATTTTTGGCAAAGTTGTTGCACTTTTTTTCTCTTCTTTCATCCCCTATATTTAATTGTATGTCTGGATTTTGTTCATATGTTTTATGCGGAAATTACCTTTCATAATCATGACTGCTGACCCTCTCCCTTTTTCCTTCCGTTACCCTCTTCCCCCCCCCCCCAATAACTCACAGACAACCAAATTGTGGGTAAGGGCAACTGCCACAGATTGTATTAGCAAGCCAGCATAACATAAACAACTGTCAGCTGCTGAACTTTTCCAGCAGACAGCTAAACATAACTTTATTCTTCCTGAGCCTCTTCAGCCTTAAGTCCGTCCTCAACCAGACCAAGCTGCAACTCCCCAAGCCCGTCCGGGCAATGATCTCAGTTCCACTTGCTGGTGAAGGACAAATCGCCACGGCAGCCTCTCACCTATCCTCGCAGAGGACTGTGTCGCCCTGAAGCCATGCCTGTTCAATGGCCGACTGTAATCCCAAATTGAAAATATCCAACCCAATTTCATTCAGGTGGACCCCATCTGTCCTCATTAGGTTTAAGTTGTTCCCTTCCAGCTCCACATGACGAGCCACAATGCCACCCAACCTCCACACAAAACATGAAATAGTCATGTTGAACCGCCATCTGCTGTGCTCCACTGCCTTGGCATGTGGCAGCGCCCCCCAAGCCAGACGCGGAATGACTTCGGACCACACCAGTGTGATATCACTGAACAGCCAAATCGTGCTTGCACGCATAAGTTATATATACCGCACGGCTCCGTCCCAAGTAATTCCCCCCCGGCATGAATTCATAGAACCACTGGCCCGGTCATGAAGCGACAGAGCGACGTACTCCGGATACAGTTGGTGCCAACCCAAACCCCGGATCTCCCGCCATCGTACCCTAACCTGCTCGTGCGGGAGCAATAGTTTCCGGCCATACAGTCTCTGCTCTGCACACCTAGCCGCCCAATAAATAAAGGAGTGACCGATGATCCAAACATACCGGGGAAACCGGAGAGAAGACAACACAGCATAATGCACCAAAGCTCTACAACAGGTGGGGATGAATGTACAACTGAAATCTGCGGGTATCCCACTGACCCATTCGCTGAATTGCAGCATCAGACAGCCCTTCTTGAGGCGCCTGCATTGCTGCACCAATCCAAAAAGGAGTGGGGAGAGTTACCTTGATCCGCTACTCCCAACGCCCGCAACTCTGCCTTAAAAACACTGGAGAACTGAGTCAGAGTTAAGACTGACCCATTTGCATGAAGCAAAAAGGACTCTGCCGCCTCCGGCCATGACCACAAATATTGCCCTATCTGCGCCACTGGACATCACCTTCCCTTAGTAGCACCAATGCTAACCATTCTCATCCTAGCTGGTCTGTTTTGGACCTCAGAATGAACAACTCCACCCTGTTCAGCGCAAACATCCTCCCTCCGGGGAGATGCCCAGGCCCTATCTGACGTGGCCACCAACTCTCCTATACACAGCGCGGCATAAAAACAGAGAAAAGGCTACCCGAAACAGCAGCGCCTTGAAGGCGGAGAAGCACACAGACGAGAGAACACCACACAGTGCATCCAACAGGTGGACGGACACTGGCTGCCTACAATCAAAAACTCTCTTCCTTCCTCCACCCCTGAAGCACCCTCTGGACCACAAACTCTTTGGAAACTTCCTCCCACCCCATACAACGCATCAGAAAGGAAAGAGACACTAAACTGCGTTCCACCGGCGCCATGGACGATGCACGCTCCGTAAGGTTGACCGGTAAGCCAATGTAGACTGCAACCTACCCTCAGCGGAATACAAACCGAACTCTCCCGCATAGTCCAGCCACCGCTCCCACACTGCCCGATAGGCTGTCCACGAAACAGGAGCCAGCGATCTCCTAAACAGGTCTGCTAGGTTCCGAAATCAAGGGTGGGACATACCAGACCATCGGCCTCGGCTCCTGGAGCGACTTCCCGAAAACGATCCCACTGAAAGCGAGAAAGAGAATCGGCAATAACATTAGACACCCCGGGAACATGCATTGGCCGAAACCAAATGTTAAACTCCAGACAACGCGGCACCAACCAACGCAACAGAGCCAAAGCTGGAACCAAACCCGACGATAATCAATTCACCACATGGACTACACTCATGTTATCTGTGCGGAAAACCACCTGCCTATTTGCGAGCTCCTCTCCCCACAATTCCACCGCTACCACAATAGGGAAAAGCTCAAGAAAAGTCAGGTTCCGTATCAGCTCCGCCTGCTGCTGGCCAAGGCTCTGCACCGAAGCCTATGGAGCCAGAGGCATCCGTAAACAACTCAAGGGCCACATTTGATATTGCTTCCTGTCGCCAAAACGTCCACCCATTGTACCCCGCTAGGAACTTGCTCCAAACCCTCAAATCATCCTTAAGCCGCTTGATAACCCGAATAAAGTGATGGGGAAGACTAATGCCGACAGTAGCAAGAGACCTATGCGTACAAAACACCCGACCCATAGGCATGATCCAACAAGCAGAGTTTAGATGGTCCAACAGGACTGCACTTTCCATGCACCCCTCACCTGATCGACCATGGTGGTAAGGATTCCCAATTTGTCCACCGGCAAATGAAAAACAAAGATGGAGTCAATCTTAATACCCAGGAAGGAAATAACCGCCTTCGTCTTGTCCTCCGCCACTGGAATCCCCAAATCTAGCATAAGTGCCCTAAATTGTCCCAACAAATCCTCACACCGCGAAGAATGCGCAGGACCGATGAACAAGAAGTCGTCAAGATAGTGCAGGAGGGAAGAGAAGCCCGACACCTGCGCCATGATCCATTCCAACAAAGAACTAAAAACTTCAAAATAAAAACAAGAAATCAAGCAACCCATGGGAAGGCACATGTCATAGAAAAAAAATCCACCTGAAACTGACACCCAAACAAATGAAAACAGGGTAAACTGGCAGCAACCGAAAAGCTGACTGTCAGACTTAGCCATCCGGGCCCTGCTTCCCAAACGAAGTGTATTGGACCCGACTATCCTCCTTCGCTATCCCATCGTTAACCGAGGACCCCGATGGAAAGGTCTAGTGATGAATAAGGAACCAGGCCCAATGGGGACACCAGCAAATTATCGAATGGAAAACGGACTAGCCATCTGTCCCATCACCACTTCTTTTCTCAGCTTAGCTGCCAACACCGCTTCCTTACCCTGGATGGAGGACAAATTGTGCGCAAACTATGCCTCCCCCAATAGAGTAAATGGGATCTGCAGTGGCTCTCGTTGAAGAGCCAACAGGTGCCCTTCTTGTGCCCTGCGGGCGGCCGAAGGAAAGGACGATGTCGATGGACGACAGGGAGTCATTAGAAGCAACCAAAGGTTGCCATCCTGCATTCCAAAATCCAGTTTCGGTCGTACCACCACTTTCTGCCTAAACTGCTGGTCATACTTAAACCAGCACTATCCCCCGTACACCTTATAAGGCCTCCAATTTAAATCCAAATACGTAAACAATGATGGGGCGTGCTCCGGAAACCTCGCTGACATAATGCTGGCATAGGTTGCAAGTCCTTGCAACCAATTCCCGAAGGTACAGGGAGCTGCTTACCTTTTTCACTCTCTGTCTCCTCGCTGCGTTGCGGTTTATCCGCCGATTTCCCTATCAAATGGGACCTAAGAGATGAAGTCCTCATACTCGCCCTTAAAGGGACACTCCAGGCACCCAGACAACTTCTGCCCATTGGAGTGGTCTGGGTGGCAACTCCCACTACCCTTAACCCTGCAAGTGTAATTATTGCAGTTTTTTATAAACTGCAATAATTACCTTGCAGGGTTAACTCCACCTCTAGTGGCTGTCTACAAGACATCCACTAGAGGGCACTTCCTGGATCATAGCACAGATTTGTGCTAGAGCGTCACTGGATGTCCTCACGCTGTGTGAGGACCTCCAGCGTCGCTCAATTCCCCATAGGAAAGCATTGAAAAGCGGTGTTCTACTCCAGAATATCCGCTTCCATCCTCATCCAGACTTCTGTGTTCTTCAGTGGCCTGTGACGTCTGCGTTCCCCGACACACAGGCGTCACGTAAGCACCACCAGTGTTCCGACGTGCATCACACGCCCTCACTTCTGCCGATGCTGGAAAAGAAGGGTGAGGACTGCAAGTCCTCACCACACCAGCGGCGCCATCTTGGGACCCGCCATCTTGACTCCTAGGCCCCCGACCGGGCTGTTTGACTCCTGCCACTCCGATCACTGCTCCTCCTCATACCGGTGCCAGGATTCCGCCCCAGGGGGCCAGCCTCACTCGGCCCGGACTATTCGCAGATGTTGGCGCTGCCCTGGATCTCCGAACTGGACCGCGGCCTGGAACGGCGGGCCCGACGTCCTCTAGTTTGCACCAGCCCTTCCTGAGAGTCCTGGACATCGTGGACGCTGTACAGCAGCCTGCATAGGACTCTGCGCCGTGGGTCCTCTCTGGAAGGCCTGCAATATAGTAAGCTGGGCCTCTCTGGACAGTTCAGGGGCTTGAGTCATGATTTTTGAAAATAGTAATTGCAGTTTTTCTTTACAGGACGACCAGAAACAGCACTGCCAGGTTCTGCCAGGTTCCCTCCTCGTGCTCTCCAGTGGTCTGGTAAGTCTTTTCCCAATGTCCCCGGTCCAGGTGCATCTCCATCATTCTATCCCTTGTTGCCATGCCAACCTGTCCGGGCAGCAGTCATGCTCCCCCCTCCTTATCCACTCCGGGGGTTGGCCTGGCATTATTATTGGTATTTATATAGCGCCAACTAATTCTGCAGCGCTTTACAATATTATGAAGGGGATTTAAAATAAATGAGACAATTACACAATGACACAGGAACAATAGGTAGATGAGGGCCCTGCTCAAACGAGCTTACAGTCTAGACATGTAAAAATAGCGATCACTGCAGACAGTTTGGTGCTCCAGAACAGCTAGCACAGGGAGACAAAACACCCATGGTGTGTAAATCTGTCTTTTTGGGGGTAGGTGAAAATTACATGTCTTGAATACTTCAGTGAACTAAAAAAAAAAAACTAATTGCAATTTAGTAATAGCCATGGTGTGATTACTGTTGAGTTGGATAATTTTTTTAAAAATCTATTATTGTTGCCTAAAGTTTGCAAATGATCTTTTCTATTTAATAAAATCCTGTGTTTTGTAAATAAACCCATCCACATTCCGTGAGCACTTTAGTACAGCAGTTCCTGGGAAGGTGTCAAACAGCGCCAATAAAAAGAAAAAACATGAAGACCATTAGCTTAGTGCTGGGAGTGCAGACTTTCAGCAGGAATGCCAGTGCTTTCTTTAGTGAATTGCTAAAAAGATTTTCACAGCCAGGAATCGGATTGACTTTAGAGACCCCCTATAGGTAAAACTGACCACCTACCTTGTTCTTTGCAATTTGCTGCCAATCCAAAGCCATTGAGGTCTGATTCTCAGGTTTAGTCCTGATCTGATCTGAAAACAAAGGATCTAGGCACTTCAGCAGGACTTGCAGACTTTAATCAGGAAAAAGGTACAAAGTGATGACGTTTAAAACTGAGATTTGATAAAGACCACATTTGTTATTCAAAACGTCATCACTGTATTTCTGTACTAATTAAAGTCTGAAATGTCTACTGAAATGCTTTATATATATATATATATATTTGCATTTGCAAGGGGTTTGGCCACCTCTGGTATTTTTATTTTTTTTGGCAGCAAGTGATATTAACTTTACGAAAGTGGCAGAGACTGCTAAATATTATTCTAGGCATAAGTAGTACTATCGATTATATCATGTAGCAATAAGTCATTATTTTACAGCATTCTTGTAGTAGGATGACCTAAAATCGTATATACATCACCTGCCCCTTCGGAGTTTGTCCGGGAGTCTTGCCATCAAAGTGTTTTAATTTGTATGTATTTAAACAAAGGAAAAAACATAAAATTATTAACCATTATAACATATTAACTGTTCGGTCAGCGTTGATTATCTGGGTTATAACTGAGCCTACACGTGAGCAATATCTGAAAAGCCGAGCCGCTAATTTAATTGGGTTCAACTCTTTTTTTTTTTTTTTGTTTAGTTTTTTTCTAACTTTGGGGGTATAGTTAGGGTTATAGAGAGTCGAAGTTCGTCAGTGTAGGGTTGAAACAGACTGTGAGATGTATATCTCCATGGAATATGTCCACACCGTTCAGAGTCATCAAGTTGTCTGCAAGCATTGGAGAGGGTATGGGTACAGAGCAGGATTACGAGAGCAGATAGCTCCCCTCACCGTGTGGATCACTCTCCTACATCTCTAATACTCCATCGCTCCCACACTTCTTCAAATGTTTTGTTGTGCCTCTAGTATGAGCTGTTTCTGATGCTTTTTTCTGATGACATATTTTATAATAATGATTGCCAGAGAAATTGTAGACTTTTTTTTAAAAATTAAATGTGATTAATCTGTGTTTTTTGTATTCTAAATCTATTTTAAAGAAATGCCCCAAATACCAATAAATACAAAATTACCACCAATAATTGGCAAAGTTGTTGCACTTTTTGTAAAAGTTTATGGTGCCGGGAGTGCCCTATGCCCAACCTCACTGTAAGGGGTCAAACCGCTTCTGCCTCTACTTCAATTCAGACAGAAGCTCTTTTAATAGAGCTAACCTGGCTACGAACAACCAGCTAACGCGCTCAGCCAATGCTCTAGTTCAGCACTTCAGGGCTTGGCTCAGGAGAGTTAACACAAACTCCTGAGCAGGAGTTTCCAGTTCCCACTGAGCTGTAGAAGAGACTGAGAGCTTTGTTTGGCTGACCCCAAGAAGTCCCCAAGAAGTCAAACCATTCTAAACTGTTCTAAAATGAGAGCTGTAGTAGTTATGGTGTTTGTAGTGTGTGTTAACTTAAAATAAGGTAGTAGGACAAAACCCCTAAGATATTAACAGGTGAGGTTTCTGTTAATTAACTAGTTTGTGGTTAAATGTGTGATCTGACCCACTGAAACATTACAAGCAGCAATTGTTATTCATCATCACCTGCATATCTTAAGTTGGGTTTTGAAGGATTCTTCTTGGGCATAGAAACTAGAGAAATCCTGTTTCCACAACTATCCCCAACAGAGTTCCCAGCTTGACATGAAACTGAGCACAGATAGGCATTGTTTTTCAAAATTCATACAGCATTTCTGCAGATACCCTTCGCAATGAATGTTGATTTAAACACGGCTTTCTAATAACCAAAGCAAGGCTGTTAACCAAAAGAAACAGTGACCAGAAACCAGTTTTAGAGGCCCCCTCTAGATATAGATATATGGAGATATATATATATATTCTCATGACTGCTGACTCCTTCGATCCCCAAATCCCGTTACCCTTCCATTCCCAATAAGTAATGCAACACCATGTTAAGTGGGTAAGGGCAACGGCCACAGCTTTATTTAAACCAGCATAACCAAATACTGTCACCTGCTGGTTTTACCCCGCAGACGGGTACACTTTAAACTTCTTCCAGAGCCTCTTCAGCCTGTCCTTCGTCATCAACCAAATTCAGGCTGCGACTCCCCAAGCCCGTCCGGGCATTATTCATTTACCAAACTTGCTGGCGCAGGAAACCCGCCACCGCAGATCCCATCCCTACTAGAGGGAGGGGGATGCGTCCCCCAAAGCCAGCGCTTGTGTCATTATTGGTTGTAACCCCATTTTAAATGTATCCAAACCGACATGAGTAAGATGTACCAAATCAGTATAAATAGAATTATGGTTATCTACTTCTAGTTCAACATGAGGAATCCCCAATCCACCCAAGCATTGTAGGAATCGTGAGAATGTTGAAGCGACATCCACTTCACTATACCCCTTTTTGCATTGCGCGCTCTTGACCCAGGTAATTAACACCAGCGTGGTTCAGCAGAATCAGCAGTATAACTGGTTCCGTCACATATCGCCGAAGCGATCTCTCCAGATCAGGGGCGTACCTAGAGCATTTGGCACCCGGGGCGGGTCCTATTTTTGACCACCCCCCCTCAACTTTAAATATAAAAACAACCAACATTTTTTTAAATGTATTTAGCACTAAGCAGTGTTTGTGTGTTTGAATGTATGCATGTTTTTGTATGGAGTATATGTGAGTGAATGTAGCGGTGTGTTTGTATGTAGTGTTGGCATTTGATTGCAAGCATGCATTTGTGTGTTGTGTGGTATTTGAATGCAGTGGTATGGTTATATATAATGGTGGGGTTTGTATGTAGTGTTGACGTTGAAATGCATGAGTGTATTTGTGTGTAGTGTTGGCGAAATTTTTAGATGTCTGCACATATACACATACACGAACATACACACACAGATACACATTGACACACATGCAGACATCGTGGCGACTCTCTAGGAACAATATATATGGGGGGGCAAATAACATACCACAGTCAAAACAGGAGTGGGAGGGGGAGCAGTAAAACTTTTCACTAGGGGATGGGGTAATATGCTGCTATTGGCTGTCTGATACCAGCATGCTGTGTTCTGCATGCTGGCATCTGACTACACATTTGCCTATAATTCAGGGAATGATCTACTAAACAGCTAAAGGATTAAAAAAACGCCCTTTTCTTATTTTCAGTTGTTTAGTAGATAAATCCCTTATTAACCTTATGTGGGATTGCAATATTTTAAGGACAGGAAATAAGGGAGCTATCTACTAAACACATACACAGATACACATAATCACAGATATACACAAACACAATCACTGACCCACACACATACAATCAGACACACAATCACATACACACACAACTACATACATACACACATTTAATAATTAAGAGGTCCACCCAGCCTCCCTACCTTGCTCTAGAAGGGCTGGAGTGGATCCTCAGTCCCTGGTGGTCAGTGGTTGCTGCTGTGAGCTCTCTGCTCTTTCTGCACAGGTCCATCGCACGCCCTGTAATGACGCCGAGGCCGCAATGACATCATATCCTGGCTGCCGGCTTACTGCAGGGCGAAGACCGTCAGACACAGTCAGATGCACACAGTCCCACACACAGTCACTCACACACAGTTACAGGCAGACAGTCAAACACGCAGGCAATCACACAGGCAGACAGTCACACATACACAGATTCACAGACAGTCACACACACAATCATCGGCAGACAGTCACACACACACAGTCACAGTCACTCACACACACACACACCCACAATCACAGACAGACAGACAATCACAGGCAGACAGTCACACACACACACACACACACACAATCAGTTAGACAGTCACACATACACAGAGACAGTCACTCACACACACCCACAATCACAGGCAGACAGTTACAGACACACACACAGGCAGACAGTCGCGCGCACACACACACACAGTCACACAGACAGACAATCACACACACAGTCACACAAACAATCACAGGCAGACAATCACACTCACAGGCAGTCACACACACACATAATCAGTGGCAGACAATCACAAACACAGTCCCACAGACAATCACACACACACACACACACACACACAATCAGAGGCAGACAGTCACACACACACAGTCAGACAGTCACACACACACATACACACACAGGCAGGCAATCACACACACAGAGTCACACAGACAATCACAGTCACACAAACAATCACAGGCAGTCACACACACACACACACAGGCAGACAATCACACACAGTCAAAGACCGTCACAATCACACACACAGCACACACTCTCTCACTTGCAGTGAGCTTGGGCTGGAGGAGGAGTGGATTCATTCCTGCTGTGCTGTAGTTGGGAAAGCAGGGACTCCTTCCTGCTTCCCCTCTGTGTGCAGCAGTATGAGGCTGCATTTAGCTCCGCTCCCACATCCGACTTGGCTCCGCCCCCATGGCCGTTCTAGCTCCGCCCCCAACTCTCCGTTCAGCCAGGTCTCCTGCTCCCAGCCTCTGCGTGTGAGCTGTGTCGGCTGCCTGGCGCCCCTGCTGCTATGGCACCCGGTGCAGCCACACAGCTCACTGAACACCAAGCCTGGCCAGCCCTGGTGGCACCCCCCTGCCTGATGGCACCCTGGGCGGACCGCCCCCTCCTTAGTAAGCCACTGCTCCAGATAAAATTGCTCCCAGCGCAACCCCCTAATCCCACATCATCTAACATTGACCTGGTGATGAGTAATCCCAAGATCCTAGTCATACGACCAGGTCTACCTGACAAGCTGCCCAATAAATAAAATAATGCCCAAGCATCCAAATATATAGAGAATATCTAGCAATAAAGAAATCAACTGAACATTAACCATACCCAGGCACCTATAAAAGCACATTTTAAAGGCAGAACATACAATCGAAAACCTGCTCATTCCCAGCAGTCTGACAGACCTAACCTGCTTGCCTGCAGAGTCAGACCGATGCGGAATGAATGTGTTGAATAACCACTATCATTTTTATTTTAAAAAAAATAAAAATTTGGGGGAGTGGGTAAGTCCACTCCTAACGAGCGCAACACCAACATAAACACTCTAGTGAATGAATAATAACCCATATGCATACACTGGAACGTATCTCCAAATTATGGACGCTCCAATCCGAATCTCTCTACCACTAACCACTTGATCAGTATTAGATCGCCAAATTAGAAATTTGTGAAACTAAAGAACCTTCTTCCTAAAAAGGGGTGACTGAGCTCTAGAACTCCACCAATCTGCCAACGCATAGAGTTGCATAAAAACACACAGAAAAGGCTACCCAAAACAGAATTGCCTCCAATGGGAAAATATAAATAGCAGGCAGGATCCCTTCTGTGTCTCTCAGCAAGTGCACAAATACAGGATGCCTAACGACCGCCACCAGTTTACGTCTCCAACAGTGCGATACCTGCTGAACCACAAATGCTTTAGTCACATCTTCCCCTCACATGAAATGCATTAAGATTGAAAGAGATGTTCCACTGACACGAATGTCCCTCGATGCCGCAAGTCAGAAAGAAAGGCTAAGTGAATAGCAACCTACTTTCTGAAGAAGACCAACCAAATTGATCAGACACCGTCAGGTATGCTGCCCAAGACTTAGGAGACAAGGACCTCTCAATCAAGTCAGTCAAGTTCCGAAACTGAGGTTCCAGAAGAATTCAGGGCCCTCCACAAGCCTCTGCCTCTGGAGTCACCTCCTGAAATTCTTACTACTGGAGAGAGTCGGCAATACATTAGACACACCTGGCACCTGCACCCAAACCAAATATTAAATTCCAAGCAACGTAGAACCAACCGTCGCAATAAGGCCCAACCCGGAAGAGAACCCAAAGATAACTGGTTAACAACATGAACCACACCAAGGTTATCTGCATGGAAAAGAATCTGCTTCTTTGCCAAAGCTGAGACCCACAGCTTGACCGACACTACAATCGGGAATAGCACCAAAAAGGAATCTGACCACGCCAACGGCCCACACATAGCCCTCAGAAAAAAACACCAAAACCAACCGAGCCGCAGCCTCTGTGAACAGCACAAAGGCCAAGTTAGACACTGTTTTACTGCGCCAAAATGTCTGACCATTGTAACCCACGAGAAACAAAACGCCAAACTCCCAAAAGGCGAGTAAAGTTAAAAGGTAATGAATACCAACGACAGCCAAGGAAAGTCAGTGACTGAAAGCACGCCCCATGGGCATGAGTTACAGCCAGAATTCAAATGGCTCTGTAGGGATTGCAGAATTCAAATAGCCCAATAGGGAGCCCCCTAGATACGACACTAGATATGACAACCTGAAGCTTAGTCTAAGGCAAGCGAAGGACTTTATTAGCCAACTGTATCTAAATCCCCAGGAAGAAAAGTCGTACTAGTTGGAACCCCAAAATCCGCCACAACCCTATGAAAGTGGAACAACAAGTCCGTACAAACCTGAGAACCAGACTAGTGCAGAAAGAGGTGGACTAACCACTACACTGTGAGGAGTTAGTCAGACCGACAAACAAGAAGTCGTCGAGATAGTGAAGGAAGAAGAACAGCCCAACACCCACGCCACGATCCATTCCAACAAGGAACTGAAAACTTCAAACTAAAAACAAATCGAACAACCCATGAGAAGGCACATGTCGAAGAAAAATCACCCTGAAACTGACACCCCAACAGATGAAAACAATCTGGGTTACCAGGCAGCAACCGAAAAGCCGACTGGATAGCGGACGTCGCTAACAGGGCCCAGAGTCCTACTCCGCAAACCAAATCCAAAGCCCGATCGAAAGAAGCGTATTGCACCCGGCAGTCCTCCTTTGAAATCCCATCGTGAACAGAGGACCCCGACAGGTAAGACAGGTTTCCGCCATACGCCACAGCTCTACCTCCTTCCCTAGCTCCGCTGCAAGGACCCCCTCCTTACCCCGAACTGAGGACAGGTTAGGCGCAACGACGCCTCCCCTGATTGAGTAAATGGGAACGCCTGAGACAGAGTGAGAGCCACGGCACCTGTCTTTCCGCCCTCAATGGGGTCCTCTCCCCGAGGAATGTAATCCCTGGACGCCGACCTCGGGAGGGGTTTTCACCTCTTAAAACAACGGACGGCTGAGTGAGCCCCACCACAGTAGGAGCACTCATGCTTAAACTTACAACTCTTGTAGCCTCTGCACAACAGATGCCCTTCTTGTGACCCGCCGACGCTCCTCTGGAAGTGCCGGCGGCCGACAGAAAGTAAGATGCAGACTTATTTAAACCAGCATTGCCCCCATGTACACCTTATAAGCCCCAAAATCAAGTCCAGATGCAAAAAACAGTGACGGCGCCTTTTCCCGGAAACCTAGCTGATAGGATGCTAGCTTAGGTAGCAAATCCCTGCAACCAATTCCCAAAGGTATGGGGGAGCTGCTTACCTTTTTGCCCCCTCCAAAGACACATGTAACCCCAGGGGTGCAATGTCACAGACAGTTCCCCCTGAAGTACTCACCTCACCTGTACCTGAAGGGGGAGGGAAACTAAATTTAATAAAGTAATTTTTACAGAGACTACCAGAGGAAAGACACTGCCAGGCTCCCTCAGCATTGCTCGCCAGTAGTCTGGTCATTTGTCCCAGAATTCCCTGCTTTCAACTGTAAAACAAACTGTATCCTTTTGGTTGCTATGCCAACCCCTCTTGGTTGCTACTTGTCCTTACCTTATCTTATCTTGTGCCACTTTACCCCTTCTTTACTGCTTCTATAATGTAAGCTTGTTTGAGCAGGGTCCTCAAAACCCTCTCTTCCTCTGCGTCCAACTCCTCTTGTTGAAAATACATGTCTGTTAGTCCACCTATTTTATAGCGCTACGGAATTTTAGAGCTTTATAAATAATTTGTAATTGTGTGTATGGGACTGGTTACACCCTCGGCACGCGTGACTTGGCATCTTGGAACTCTGTTCCGCTCTGCCAAATGTAAATTCTTCTTTTAAGTCTGTCGTCAGCACACACTAATGGAAGTTTGTGACTCCAATCCCCCTTAACTGCACCCCTTCCTCCTACCTATATCCTTTACTATTTTATTTATTTTTTTGTCTCTTGTCCTCCTTCTCTTCTTCTTCTTCACTCCCCCTTCTTTCGCTGGCCCAAAGTGCACACTCTTTGAGCTGGTTAAATGGTCCAATCAAAGGTTTCTTTATGAGAATCCTTTCATTGGACCTTCACACGAGGAACATTCCTACCGGCAGGATTTAAGGTAATTTAAAACTTTTTTGTTTCGTTTTTTAGGGAAGGGGAAACCTGAGTAAATAATGTCCAATAGGGCATTATTCAAAAAAAGGGAAAAAACGATTGGGGTAACCCTTTAAACATTACTGAAACTATCAAACAAAGTGCAATTATGAAAGAATGTTGCATAATTAGTAAACTATCTTCAATCTCAGCTTCTTCAACCAACTATTGAGGGGGGAGGCAGATGCCTAGGGAATCACACTATGCTTTGGGAAAATGTGGTTAGCAGAGCGTTCAGGCAAAAACACGGGATAAAATTTAGATCCCTCTTTCTTTTTTAGAAAACAAGTGAGGAGTGTGCTCTAACCCCCTGGACAGCACTGGAAGAATGTTACCTAAATGATTATCTAATTGTATATGGGAGTGTCATGTATTTAAACACATTTGTCATTGGTCTGTGACTTTGTGCTGCAGTCCCCCACAAGGTCCAGGGGGAGTGCCCCTTGCATGGGGACATGCATATAAGGCCAGTTGTGGCTGCCATTAAATCATTCCAGCTTGCACTCCAAAACTGTGTGTCGTCCTGTTATTGGAGGGAAAGAAGATTTACTCCTGTGTCTGTTGTTCCAGCTTGCAGGGGATTCAACGGGGAAAGTCCTTGTAAGGACTAAAGCTCCCAGGACTGAGTGGCGTCCACTGCCTGGGGGTGTCTAGAGCGAATTCCCCATTCGGCTCCAGGAAGGAGTGGTTTCAGGGCTCTAGTCAAGCCACGGCGACTGTGGGCAGAAGTGGTGCGGTTTGTCCCCTATTCCAGCTAAGAAGCAGTCCTTGGCGGGGGTACCCACCCAGGGGTATAGGGAGCTCCGTTACATTGGTGGCAGGGGTGGGATGGCTTCCTAGCCTTGGGAAAACCAGCACTACTGCAGTATGGAAGGCCAGTACTGGCGGGCTTCAACGCTTCAGCACCGACTACAGGATGTGCTGCGCAGTATGGAGTACCCTATCCCAGAGGATAGAGAAACAGAGTGGAGGGTGGCGCTTTGTACCGATCTCTGGAAGGAGGACCTCGACCAAATTTGACCCTTCCGGAGTGAGAAAATCCTAACCACCAACCAGCGCTAAGCGGAACAGCTAGAGCTGCGGATGCCGTTCCTGGGAAACTAGACCTCAGAGGAATGGGTAAGCGAACTGGAGATGCTAGTTGAGACTGAGGTGTGGCTGGATAATTCTTACTGGGCCCTTCGGTGGCATGCCTACTACCTCTAAACATGGCTGATCGAGTACAAGTGTATTGAGGTGGGAGACTATGATGGCCCTGGTTTGTTGTGGGATGCTTTTGAAACTAATCTGAGGTTCTGAGAAACCGACAGTGCTCGCTTCTGGTTCATCCAAGCTGAACCGGCAGACAACGGGGACCTTACTGGCTTAGCAGACCTACAGCCTGACCTGTTCTGTCTGGCCAACTGGGAGTGGGAGCTTGAGCAGAACTATGTTTGCCTATTTAGCCGTGTAACACCGCCTGTCTATGACATGATGGGGCTTATGAACTGTATACCACCGGGAGCATTTCCTCCCCTCCTCCCCAGCAACTGAGCCTGTCATCAGGAGACCCGGGCACTGTACCACCTACTTCCCAACCAGCCCCAGAGATAGAAACCTTATTGACTGGTCCTGTGAAGACACCCAGTTGGCAGGTGGAGATGGGACTGAGGTCTCTCCACCAGCCCTACAGGGGGACGCTACAGGGGGAAGAGACAACTGGTCTCGCTCTCCAACCCCAGCTGGAGACGGTTGGTTCTCCTCTGCTGTGCTGGTCAACCGGGGACCTCTTATACTAGTCCTGTGAGGACATCCAATTGGCCAGGGCAGATGGGACAGAGGTCTCTGCTCCAGCCCTACAGGGATACTGGGCAACCGATCCAGATCCTCTACTGGGGAGTAGGGACAGTAAGTCCTACTCCCCGGCAGCAGCTTACCTTACAGGGAGAAGAGACGTTCGGTCTCTCTCCCCAGCGGCAGTGCATCCTACAGGGAGATGAGACAATCGGTCTCATTCCCCAGCAGCAGTGTGCAGTACAAGGAGCGGAGGGCGTCGTCCTTCCTCCCCAGCGGCAGTGTATTATTGGGAAAAGAGACGGTTGGCCTCTCTCCCCAGCGGCAGACAGAGTTACAGGGAGTGGAGACAGTCGGTCTCACTTCCCAGTGGCCGAATATGTTACAAGGAGTGGAGACAACGGGTGCTACTCCACAGCGGCAGGGTGTGTTCTAGGGAGAGGAGACAATCGGTCCCTCTCCCCAGCGGCCGTATGCATCACAGGGAGAGGAGTGTATCGTCCTCTCTCCCCAGTGGCATGGTATTATATAGGGAGTGGAGACAGTTGGTCTCACTCCCCAGCGACAGACAGAGGCACCATGTGAGGGGACAGTTGGTTCTCCTCCCCAACCACAGGGAAAGATACAGGAAGTGGAGACTGTCAGTCCCACCCCCCAGCAGCTGGGGCTGTCGACCACAGACAAGCCCCCTGGCATGGAAGTTGCAGATGGGACTGAGGTCTCTGCAATAACCCTACAGGGATGCTGGGCAACCCGCCCAGATCCCCCAACTGCAGAATCCCGGCCAAGATGAGGATGTCAGCGGCCACTCCCTTGACATCTTCCCAGCAGAAGAGCTGGCAGCCGGGCAGAGGCCAACTTTCCCTTTATCCAGAGTCTGAGGTTACACAGGCCATCCCAGCTGTAACGTTGGCTACAGAGCAGAGCGCCGCTGGCCTCTGCCCCAGTGGCGGATCCAGGGGGGGGGCAACGGGGCAATTGCCCCCCCTCCTCCCAACCACCCTCCCCCCCCCTAGAAATCCGCCGGTCTCCCTCTCCCCTGCCAGCAGCACATGCAGGTGCCAGCCCCCTCCCCGGTCCGCAGGCACATTGCTGACAGCCAGCGGGGGGAGGGAGTGGAGAGGACCCGGGAGCTCAGCCTGCAGCTCCTCCGGGTCCTCCTCTAGCGAGATTTGGAGCGTTTCCGTGGTTACCACTGGGACCACCAGGGATCGAAATATGTCCCCCTCCTCCTCAATAAAGGTAAGAAGGGAGGGGGGACATAGAATATTCTATTTTAATTAAATAAATACATATATTATAAAAACAAAAAAGCCCCCCCTACCCTTATCACACACTCTATACACACCCTGCCCCCCCATACACACACATACTGCCCCCATACACACACACACACACACACACACACACACACACACACACACACTGCCCCCATACACACACACTGCCCCCCATACACACACACTGCCCCCATACACACACATACTGCCCCCATCACACACTGCCCCATACACATACACACATACTGCCCCCCATACACATACTGCCCCCCCATACACATACACACATACTGCCCCGCATACGCACACTGCCCCCCATACACACACACACATACGCCCCATGCACAGAGGAGGGATTATCTAATTGTATATGGGCATGTCATGTATTTAAACACATTTGTCATTGGTCTGTGACTTTGTGCTGCAGTCCCCCACAAGATCCGGGGGGGAGTGCCCCTTGTATGGGGACATGCATAAAAGGCCAGTTATGGCTGCCATTAAATCATTCCAGCGCTAATTCCCAGTTTGGCTCCAGGAAGGAGTGGTTCCAGGGCCCCAGTCAAGCCACGGTGACTATGGGCAGGTTTGTCCCCTGTTCCAGCTAGGATGCGGTCCTTTGGCGGAGGTACACGGTAGGAGTACAGGGAGCTCTGCTACAGTAATGCTCATTGCATAGGTTAACTTTGAATGAGTCAACAAATAATTTTGCTGAATAATATATGGTGCAGAGCGTTCCCCCAACACAGTACCTCTGCTCTGCACAGAGTATAAAATATTATTATATATAAAATATATAGCAGCAGTGTGCAGTACAAGGAGCGGACAGACTCACAGGCTCACGCACAGACACACGCTCACACACACTTTTTTTGTATTAATTGAAACCCACTCAGTCTTCTTACCTTTGGGAGAGCTGGGTGGGTCTTTCCCTGGGGTCCAGTGGGGCTGCTCTCTTCCTCTAGTAATCTTCCTGCAGCTCCTCTCTGCTCCCTGCGCACTCTGTAGTGATGCCGGGGCCAGAGTGATGTCATATTCCAGCTGCCAGCATCATTAAACAGTGCGAGGGAGCAAAAAGGAACTGCAGTAAGATTACTGCTTCCTCATGCACCGCCTTCAAAGCTCCCTCGGTGGCCACATTAAAGAGATGGCGAAATTTCTAGTCTCCATGAGTAGGCTTTACATTTTTTTTGCACATTTTAAATTTTTACAAGGCATTACAAAATTGAGGTCACAAAATTGAGGTCACTTGCACGGGCGGACTGTACCCTTAAGATTTACACAATCCATCTTTCTGTGAATATGCATGTCATTGAATAGAAATGTTAATGCATGAACCATGGTGAGAAAACATTTTGTAATATTCTGCTGCTTACACATCTGTTTTTAAGAGATTTGATTGTGGGTGCAACTTTCTGTGCTGCGGTGGGGCAGTTTAATAAATGAGATTTAAAAAAATGAGTTACACTTTTTTTGATCACCTGCTTTATATAACTAGTGTACAATATTACATGACGTGTTGCTGGTTGCAAATAGCTGTGAATGGTGTTTTTATTTGGTGGGTATTAAATGTACGAGTTGGAGAGTGTGCCATCCCAGTCTCTTTGGCTTGTTGATCCAATGATAAAATCGTTGAGCTACATGAGGTAAAGAAAGCGTTAGAGGTTAAAGTTCAGTGTACTTAATTAGGTCTTGAAACATTTTAGATTTTGTAGAGGTTCCCACTGTTTAAAGGACCACTATAGTGCCAGGAAAACATACTCGTCTTCCTGGCACTATAGTGCCCTGAGGGTGCCCCCACCCTCAGGGTCCCACTCCCATGGCACTGAAGGTGGAGGAAGGGCTTAATCCCTTACCTTTTTACTCTCCTCCCTCTTCTTCTGTCATCGGCTGAAAGTGCATGCGCGGCAAGAGCCGCGTGCGCATTCAGCCAGTCCATAGGAAAGCATTCTCAATGCTTTCCTATGGACGCAAGCGTCTTCTCACTGTGAAAATCGCAGTGAGAAGCGCGGAAGCGCCTCTAGCGGCTGTCAATGAGACAGCCACTAGAGGCTGGATTAACCCATATGTAAACATAGCAGTTTCTCTGAAACTGATATGTTTATAGAAAAAAGGGTTAAACCTGGACTCTATCCACCTCATTAAGCTGAAGTGGTCTGGGTGCCTATAGTGGTCCTTTAACCCCTTGAGGACACATGACATGTGCGACATGTCATGATTCCCTTTTATTCCAGAAGTTTGGTCCTTAAGGGGTTAAGTGCATTGTTTATTTGGAAGAACAATTAATGTTTGCCTTGTTCAGATGCAGCCTAGTATAAAAAAAGGCATTGTGTGTGTGTTTTTTTATTTTTTTTATTTGCTAATTGCCTAAGCATCATGTCCAAGTTAAAATGCTAGTTTTGCAGATGATTGGTGACCTCACTGTCCATTGTATCATCTCCTTAATATTAAACTGGTTTTTTTTTTGTTTGTGTTTTACAGAGGGGTGTTTATGAATATGTCAGCTTGACATGGCAGATATAGAGTAAGATAATGTACTTTTTAAAAGGACACTATAAGCACTAAAACAACTTTAGCTTAATGAAGCAGTTTTGTTGTAGTCTCAATTCTCTGTCATTTAGGAGTTTAATCATGTTGCGTGTGCAGTCCTGATCTCCCCTCTCCTGCATGCAACTACTCACAGGGTAGTTGGCAGTATCAAGTGAAAGAATCAAACAAGCACTCCTTGCTACACCCAAGAAATTTACACGAGTGGGATGTGTAGTGACTGAGTGTGATTGTGTGTTGGTTGTCTGAATGTTAGTGTATATGGGGTTTTATTAATACATGCATGTGTGGATATACACATGTATACATATTACTATAAATCACATGAATTGAGCAAAACTTTTTTTTTTTTTTTTTAACAAACATTTTTAATCCTGTAAAGCACACAAACTCGTACACATAAACATTCTCTCTCACACATTCATACAGTCATTTTATTTATTTTTTTGTTTTTTTTTTTCGGTCCACCCAGCCACCTCTTTCTGGGGTCTAGCGCGGGTGAGGCTGTTGTGATCTTTGTTCTCTTACTGCAATGCTTCGTTGCGTACACTTTAGTAATGCTAAATGCTAAAGTAATGCTGGATGTCACATCCTGGCTCCCGGCATCACAATATATTTTGGCAGAGTAGGTAGCCATCTGACTTTTTAGGTGTGTGAAGGTCCCCCACCAAGAGCCTTGGCCTTTCTGTGAGTGATGTGTCTGTTATTATGTACCTGTGCATGTGCCTGAGAATCATTCTGTATGAATGTGTGTGTCTGGGAGCGTATGTGCGTACAGTGCATAAGGTAGTTGCTTTTGTTTTGTGTAAAAGGGGCTGCTTGTGGTCTTTGTGTTGTGTTTATGGTAAAGTGGTGTTTCATGTGTGGGAAGTGGCTGTGTATGATGATGACTATTAAGTAACTGTGATAGGGGAAGTAGGGGGGGGCAAGATGAGAAGTGGTAAATGTGTTAAAGGTTGCGTTTACCAGGGTAAGTGTTGCAGGGTGAGTGAGTGTTACAGGGTAAGTGTTGCAGGGTGAGTGCATGTTGCAGGGTGAGTGAGTGTAACATGGTTGGGGGTTGGGCATGATTGTGGCTGGGTGAATGTAGGGGTGGCAATGTGTGATGGGTGAGGGGGGAGTGACCGTATATCCGTAGGATATTTAAAACCGTAAAGTAATTCCTTTTGTTTATTATTTTTGATTACATTTGCTCCTGCTTACCGCCTGTGCAGGAAGGGGAGAATGATACATCACCTGGTGGTCTGGTAGACTCCATGGCTCGGTGGGCCCGTGTCTGAGCACGGACCTTGAGCAGTTGGTTTGGCCACATAATAGCCAGTGATTTAACATATGAGGAAAAAAATGTAAAACAATGCAATTGTAACATCACTTGGATTGCATTTTATACTTTTATTGGGTGCTGAAATATGCTCCTGATTCCAATGATCAATATGCTAGTTATAGGAGTCCAATGAATAGAAAATGTAAGGAAAAGTAAGCTATACTTTAACCGCATTGCAAAATAGAAACACACCAGAGTAGTAAGTACTATTAAACAATGAGGCATGACGAAGAACTATCCCACCAAAATGAGGACAATTGGGAGACCTGTAATTTTGTGACTTGAGAAAACGTAACCAGGACAACGACTCAAGTAGTTTGCCCTTCCGTAGATCTATGCTTAGGTCTCATATATAGGTTTTAGCAATGCCATTAAAAAGAGAAATTTGCCCAGTTGTGTCTGAGACTGATCTCACCCACAAGGGCAGTCCAAATTTGAAATGCTGACCGGTTCCCTCAGCACAAGAGATACAGCAATCATAAATGATCATTTAGGTCTTCATTGGGCCTCTTTACTGTGCAAGAGGTCCATGTCATGACTTCATTGTATGGAGGGTGGAGTTCTGTAATCTCTAGAGAACATAATATAGGTGCTTAATACAAGTAAATAATGACCTCGAACGCAGCTACAACACTTAACTCCTGCAAAGAAAAGCAGAGTAAATTGATGTGAAATAAACCACTACAAAATACAGTGAAACGCTTAGTTGTAAATGAAAGGCACTCACCCCTCAAATATCGGAAGAAATAATTCAGTAAACCCCCAAAAAAGAAGGAAAAAAAATCTAGTGCAATTCAATATAGTTAAATAATCCCAATATCTCAAAGTGCACACTATTTACTCACATTGGATAGAGCCTGGAAAGACCAGCTTGAATCTTAAAGGTTTAAAAATAATATCAGGAAGTATTACTTTACTGAGAGGGTAGTGGATGCATGGAATAGCCTTCCAGCTGAAGTGGTAGAGGTTAACACAGTAAAGGAGTTTAAGTATGCGTGGGATAGGCATAAGGCTATCCTAACTATAAGATAAGGCCAGGGACTAATGAAAGTATTTAGAAAATTGGGCAGACTAGATGGGCCGAATGGTTCTTATCTGCCGTCACATTCTATGTTTCTATGTTTCTGATCAGGTTATTGAGAGCCACATCAAACTGTCTCTGAGTAAAATGGCTTGCAGTGCCAGTAACACCTCCACATGTCAGTAAGGCAGCAAACACAGGCAATTGCTTTTAATATACAAGCAGGGTATTCTAGGCTCTACCCAATGTGAGTGAATTGTGTGTACTTTGAGATATTGATACACTTTAACCATATTACTTACTTGATCCCATTCTCGTTAATATTTTTATTAGTGATATTGCAGAAGGTCTTGATGGTAAGGTATGTCTTTTTGCTGATGATACTAAGATATGTAACGGGGTTGATGTTCCAGGAGGGATTATCCAAATGGCAAATGATTTAGAAAAAATGGCCAGAGCTATGGCAGCTGCTATTTAATGTGGACAAGTGCAAGATAATGCATCTAGGATATAATTTTATTAAAGGACACGGAGGCTCTTATTAGGCTTATCTCTTTCTTTTATTCCTCAGCAGCAAAGAAAGGCTAAGGTGTTTATTTGTAGAAAAAAGAAAAGAAACATGTATAACTACCCTCACAGGGTTAACATTACATCATTATCTCCTATCCAATAGGAGCAGTCCTTCTCTGATATCCTTTCCTGTAACCTCCTCCTCTTCCTCTTTCTTTGCTGCTGCCTCAGCTAAGTAACACTTTGTTTTTCTTAACTGTCATTTTTCTTTGTATTGTGTATATATATGTGTATAGCTTTACCTTTAATTTATGCCTGTTTTTTTTGACCTGCTTTAAGCGCACCAAAACGCATTGGGCGTTTGGTGTCAGCCCTCCCTGAGGCTAGCCCTCCGTGGGGAAGCCCTCTCCCGCATTGTCCCGCCGATACCCCGCGCCCCCCCCCCCCGCGGGCATACCGGCCCTGAAATTACCGCCGGGTTGTTTATTACCCTCCTCGCCGGTCACGCAGCGCAGGGAACCCTCGAGGACCGGCCCGGTTCTTTCTCCCGGCTGAGGGTTCCCCCGCCGCGTCCTCTCTTTAGTGAATGCTGCGCGCGCATGCGCGGTCCTCACTGGCATCCATCTTAAAGGGGCGGCGATAATGAAATTTTGCCGCTCTTTTTCTCCCCCAGCTCGGTCAGCCCATTGCAGGGTGCGAGCTGATTGGTCTGATTAGTGTGCCTGTCAGCTTACCAGTGCTCCCAGGAGTCATTCCTGAGGGAACACTCGGTAAGCTAACAGTGCAATCTGTGCTTTTGCTGTCCTGCTGCCTTGTCTCCTGCCTTTTAGTAGCTCTCACTACTGCCACATCAGGGTATACATATCTATAGTTCTGCCTTTTACGCCCCAAGATGCAGACCCCTGAGGATTTCTCTGCCCCTGGCCCCAGTGATAGAGGGGATACCAAGGCCCAGCACAGGCCCACTGTGGCTGAACCCATAACCCTGCAAAGGGACGTAGTGGCCCCTCTGGAGCATTTGGACTCTGAGGAGTTCCACTCGCTCCTGGACGCCACCATGTTTAAATCAGTTACCCAAGCTATCTTTACTGCCATGGGGGTTATGTCAGATAATTTGTCACACTCCATCTCGAGTGCCATTAAGGTATCTAACCCCAACATGACTCACGCCAGGGCCGCAGAGGGGGAGCTTTTACACAGAGAGGGCCGTAAGGCCATGAGTAAAACCCACAATGTGGGAACACATGCCTCCAAAACTAAGTTGACGGACAGGGTACGTCCTGTCACACCTGAGGTTGTGGGGCCCCCACGAAAACGAGCCACCCGCCGGGCAAAAGCGGCGCGGACATGGAAAAGGGCAAAAGCCCTAACAGATTCTTCCGACTCTAGTTCGGATAATGAGGAGGTTTCGAACGAGTCGGACCAAGTAGACTCAGATGAATGGGAAGTTTCCTCCCCGGACCGTAGTCCGACACGCAATCCAGCCAACGCCTCGCATGACACGGCGGATGCAACCGCTATTCTGGACCCCAAGGGCGAACCTTTGTTCGACCCGGATACGTTACAAAATCCTAGGTCGGCGGAGTGGTATCCGACCGATCATGTAGCATGATACATAGCAGCCAGAATCCGCAAACCTTTGGATAAAGCAACCAGGCAAAAACTACGGGCTGAATGCCCACGCCCAACAGTGCCCGATATGGCCTGCGCCACGCCAGACATCGACCCAAAAATAGCACAATTCCTGGGTAAGTCTGGCTAAAAGGCAAAGAAGGGACTTGATTACTCCCTACAACATTGTAAAGATAAAGTGCTGGATACATTGGGCCCTAGTGCCAAGATTTTTGAGTTGGTCGAAGCGGCCTTAAATGAGGGAACGCCTCTTGATTTACTAGCCATTAGAGGCTGGGCCCAGAGGTCGATATGCCTCATCGGCAACGCAAACGCTGCGAGGGCCACCGAAAGGCGCAAAACTATATTAATGAAAATCAAGCCCAAGCTCGTTAACATGGCCCTCACCGAACCGGGACCGCAAGCCAAGGGTCTCCTGTTCGGAGACAACTTTGTTAAAGAACTGGGAACTTATGTGAGCACATTTAAGGCCCTAGACAAGGCACAGACGAACTTAAAACGAGTGTTCTCCCCCAGAGTTTTTGGTGGGGCCGGCAGACACCGGGGCCGTCTGCCCGGCCGTTCTTCCCGCGGTTCTTACCGGGGATAGAGAGGTCCCGCCACGGCTAGATTCCAGCCGCCAGAGAGTCGTACGCCCTCACCCTTCTTTCCGGTCAGGGCCAGACCATGGCAACCTCGAGGACCCAGAGGCAACTCGTACAGCCGACGACCTTGTGGTAAGTATACCGACTGTGGGGGGCAGACTGTTACACTTTTTATGGAGTCCTGGCAACAACTGACAGCAGACATATGGGTCCTCAACACCATCAGGGGTTACCACATAGGGTTTGTACGGCCCCCGGTCCAAACACTCAGGCCACACCGCATAGTTCTCTCCACACGAGACAAGGGCTTTGTGAGTGAGGAGATTCGCACCCTCCAAGAAAAAGGCACCATATATCAGGTCCCTTCACCATCCCCTGGGTGCCCAAGAAGGGCGGCGGAGTACGCCCAGTCATCAACTTGCGGCCACTAAACGCATTTGTACGGTACCACCATTTCAAAATGGAGGGTATCCACTGCCTGCGAGACCTGCTCAGGTTAGGGGACTGGATTGTGAAACTGGACCTCCAAGATGCCTATCTTACAGTCCCCATTGCGGAGGAGTGCCACCACCTGCTACAATTCCAATGGGAAAAGACGACATGGAGATTCCGCTGCCTTCCCTTTGGACTCTCATCGGCCCCTTGGTGCTTCACCAAGTTGCTGAAGCCAGTGGTCGCCTCGCTACGCAGCAGAGGCGTACGGATGATCATTTATCTGGATGATATGCTGATCATGGCACACGAGGCCCATCAATTGCAACAGCACCTGGCATGGGCATTGACATTGCTACAAAATTTGGGATTTCTCATCAACTGGGAAAAATCGGTGCTTACCCCGTCCCAAAACATGGAATTCCTGGGTTTCCACATAGAGGCAACTACCGGGACGCTCAGCTTACCGACGGACAAAGTCATACTCCTCAAAAAGGAGTCAAAGTCAGACTCGTCAAGAGACCAGTACTAACACTCCGGCAACTAGCCGGAGTAATCGGACTCCTCTCAGCCTCCATCCAGGCAATCTTCCCGGGGCCACTGCACTACAGGGCCCTACAACGTCTAAAGGCCACACAACTGCGCTCAGGGCACGCGTACTCCGACTCTGTGCCACTCGACTACGAGGCCAAACAGGAGCTCACATGGTGGCTGCAACATATGGAGGCATGGAACGGCAGAGCAATATTCGGGTCTGCCCCGGACTTCATCGTAGAATCCGATGCGAGCACACACGGTTGGGGAGCGCGCTGCGGGCCTACCTCCACCGGAGGAACCTGGTCGTGCTCAGAGAAACAATTCCACATCAACGGTTTGGAACTCATGGCGGGATCTTTTGCCCTGAAGAGCCTCCTCGGGGGCATAACCAACTGCTTCATCGTCCTACGAATGGACAACATTTCCGCAGTCCGCTACATCAACCACCTCGGTGGCACGAGATCAAAGATATTGGCAGACCTGGCCAAGGAGTTCTGGCAACACTGCCTGGAACACAACATCTCCGTCCAAGCGGAATACATCCCAGGAATGTCCAACGTGGTAGTGGATTGGCATTCCAGACACATACACGACGCCGGCGGCTGGACCGCGATGTGTTCTTGCAGCTTCAGATGCTCTGGGGCCCAATGCAAATCGACCTATTCGCATCTCGGCTGAACTCCCAACTGCCAACATTCTTCAGCTGGAGACCAGACCCAGACGCACTAGCAGCGGACGCTTTTCTCCAACACTGGCCGAACAGCCGATAGTATGCCTTCCCTCCATTCTCCCTCATAGCTCGCACAATAGTACATCTCAGACGTACTCAAGCGTCCCTGGTCCTCATAACACCGTTTTGGACAACCCAACCGTGGTTTCCGACACTAGTGGAAATGTCCATGGACTTCCCGAGACTACTTCCGGACCCCTGGTTCCTTTTATCAGACCCAGAGGGTCCCAGGGGCGACTCAAATTCTTAGCGTGGCTCCTTTCAGGGGACCCTGGATCATACCAGATGTTCCACAAGACACTATCGAAGTACTGGCAGGAGCTTGGGCGCCTGGAACTAGACGCTCCTACCTCTATGCCTGGAACGGATGGACTAGTTGGTGCATGGGACAACAAGTGGATCCCGTACGTGCTCCTGTAAATTACCTGTTACGGTTCCTCACCAACCTGCATAATCAAGGTTTGGCCTACCGAACCATCAATGTCTACAGATCGGCAATCTCAGCAGGGCACCAAGGTATAGATGGAACCCCTATGGGTCAGCAACTTCTTGTATGCAGTCTCCTAAGGGGAATTCTCTTTGCCCGCCCACCACAACCCCGATATACGTCATTGTGGGACGTCAACTCAGTCCTGAAACTGTTGGAGTCCTGGCCTCAAAACTAAGCACTTACGCTCAAACAACTGTCAGCGAAACTGACCATGCTCCTCTACCTGCTATCTTGCAAGAGGGTATCAGACGTTAGAGCACTGGATGTTGATGCACGCTCCTTTACCCCCACAGGAGTCTCATTCAACATCTCCAGACGTACAAAATCGTCAATTACATCAGTCTCATACCCTTCGTTCCCACACAACGATAAACTCTGTCCAGTGCACTGCCTACGAGAATATGAGAAACGGACCCTGGAATTCAGGAAATCAACACAACCAGAATTGTTTCTGGCTACCAGACAACCTCACCAACCTGTATCCACGGTGACCCTCGCCCGCTGGGTGAAATGGATAATGACGTTAGCACACATAGATACCACCGTATATGGCGCACACTCTGCTAGAGGAGCCATGGCATCAAAGGTTTTCACGTTAGGTTGTAGATTAGAGGACCTCATGAGAACAGCAGACTGGTCCCGGGAATCGACGTTTAAAGAATATTACTTTCGACCTACGGAACATGTGTCGAGCCTAGTTATTTCACAGCTTTGAACTAGCCTAATAAGAGCCTCCGTGTCCTTTAATAAAATTACCAGATTTTACTAATTACATGACGTAAAGTCATGATTTTATAAAGGACACGGAGGCGAGTATTAGCCCGCCCGGATCAGATACACACAATATGAGTATCCCAACCCAGGTACGTACTAGGTATTTTAGTAGAAAGAGTTCCCATTTATATATAAGTGGTTCTTGGTAATATATCACATTGATAACGATTGCATGTTTGATTAAACATAACTGGTTACATAAACAGCTCAAGCTGATATATAAGATTAAAACGAAAATAGTTGGCAAGGACACGCTTTACTATTGTTTTCTTTGTTTTTCCAGCGTGAAAAATCCTACAACTCCCAGTATGGACGACGAGTTCAAGTTCAAGAGGATCAGTTCCGGAGGATCCCTGTATTTTATTTCCCATGGAAGAGTTCAAGATCAAGTTCAGTGATCAACTGTTTTTTTATTTAGGTTGTGTTTAGAACGAGTGGATAGTTAATCGATACAGGAACGAACTTTAGCTTCGGCACCATCAAGAAAGAGGAGGAGGTTACAGGAAAGGATATCCGAGAAGGACTGCTCCTATTGGATAGGAGATAATGATGTAATGTTAACCCTGTGAGGGTAGTTATACATGTTTCTTTTCTTTTTTTCTACAAATAAACACCATAGCCTTTCTTTGCTGCTGATGAATAAAAGAAAGAGATAAGCCTAATACTCGCCTCCGTGTCCTTTATAAAATCATGACTTTACGTCATGTAATTAGTAAAATCTGGTAATTTTTGTCTAAAAGGGTTACTCCAACCACCATGATTTCTTTTGCTTTTTGAAGTGGTCATGATGGTAGATGTCTGGATGTGCAGTGTTTCATCTTGAAACATGGCACATCCAGAGATATTTTTAATTGTGTGCCGGGGGCAAGTTGCACCCCTGGTACAGGACATTGGCAGCCCAGAACTTCGATCCAGATTGCCTTTCTGTGCGTGGTTTACGTCTGTCGTCAGCCCGCACTACACACTGGCGACAGAACAGTTTCTGCCTTGCAGGCAGATGTAACCGCGTCTCCCACACCAACATAAACAATATAAAAACAGTGAGAGCACTCAATAAATAGAGAATTTTACCACAGGTTATTGATTGAATATACCTGTAAAATATATTAAAAGAGAATCAATAGAGTAGTACAGTTACAATAACTTATTCTTCTTAAACTCTATATAGTTTAATAAGAATAAGTTATTGTAACTGTACTACTCTATGGTATATTAACCTGTGGTTAAATTCTTTATATATTGAGTGCTGTCACTGTTTTTATATTGTTTTATTTGTGTAATAGGAGTGTACACATTAGGTGATTGAAGCACCATATTTTATCCTGCACTATATTGATTATGCTTCTCCCACACCAAGTGAAGTCCTCCCTCCACTCTGTTTTTTTTTTAAATATCCCATTCTCCTTTCTTCTCTATTTCCTCCCTCCCTATCTCACTCCCTCCCTCTCATCCTTCCTTTGCGCTCTGAGCAAGTAAAATGGTCCAATCAAAGGCTCCTCTTACATCAGAAGGGGGTGCGCAGAGCAGGGCCGGGATCTTTGCCATGAATTGATAAAGGTAAGTTAAAGCCTATTTTGGAGCATTTTTCAGCTTTTTTTTGTAAGGTTGGGGGAGGAATAACCTATAAAATAATGCCAATAAGACATTAGCCTTTTTAGAATTAAAAAAGGGTTGTAGTTCACCTTTAAACATTGTTTTGAGATCCAGCAGGCTGAACTTGATGGATGTCTCTTTTCAGCTATGTAACTATGAAACATCAGCACACACTGTGATTCTTACTACATGTTCAAGTAAGTTTCAAACAACAAGGTAAGATGCTGAAAAAAAACATACAATTGGGCAATATTTGTAAACTAAAAGAAACGCTGCTACCATAAATGGACTCTCAAAGTATGCGGAGTTAAAGGTATATCACCAAACTCTTCTCATGGGCAGCACTTTTCCTGCAAACTTTTCATCTATAGAGAAGTGGAGAGTTGATCTACACAAAGTCTGCTATACCCACATGAAAATTAAATAAAGCAGCGAAAGTCCAAACAATCAGAAACTTTTGCTTTGCATGGATAGACTTCCTCAGGCACGATTGATTGTAAAATATAGTTTTGTTGTTTTTTTTTATTTTTTTGTTTTTCTTTTTGCACATTGACTCGAGCTGTACATTTTCTGTAATTTTTTTTTTTGTATGTTCCTCAGTCTAATTTTAAGTTGTCACTTTTTAAGCACTTGAATATAGCTTTTTGATTTCTGTTCTAATTTGTGAATATATATATATATATATATAAAATCTGTTCAATGGGATGTGGTCATTATTCACAGTTTATTTTTATTTTAGGTATATTACGTATGTGGAGCTGTCTTGGACTCTACAGAAAAGGGCCTCATTCTGTCCCCAGGTTTCCCTAATAACTACTTCTCTGGATTTCACTGTGTCTGGCAGTTTTTTATCCCTACGGGATCCCGCTTAGTGATAGAAACACTGGATTTTGATGTATATGGGAATGCGAGTGATGATGACCTTCCACTTGTTGCTTCTTCTGGCTTCACCACACTTACTACAGATACAAAGGCCAGTAACAATGCTGTTTACACAGAGGCTTCTGTGGTGGATATCTCTGAAAGTGCAATAAATCTGAAAACAACAGTACACGCTGCGTTCCCAAATGAAATTAACAAAGAAATAGTTATGCCTAAAGAGAGGTGGGATAGAACTGATCAGGGAGAAAAAACAGTAAGAGCCTTCCAAAGTTTAACAGCGGAAAATGCCAACCTTAATGAAGGAGCAGGTACATTACAGAAAGGAGACCTTTTAACATCATCAAAAAGTGATGGCAGTCTGGGAAAAGAATCCAACAAGCTCTTGGATATCCCAAATCCGTTCACTGGTAAAATGACGGAACACTTTGAAGGTTACTGGCAAGAGCAGAATGAGGGTGCAACTTCATCATCCATAGTGTTGGGTGATGGAAGTGACCAGACCACTTTTCCTCCACTAGTTGATGTCTGCCCTCATGACGTTCTGTACATCTCTGATCTTAGCACTTTCTCCACGCAGTTTTGTGGCTCCAACTCTCCACTAAATAAAGTTTTGGTCTTCGGATCAAATGTGGAGATGGTGGAAGTAATTATGGAACTAATAACCACCACTGACCGTGGCAGAGGTTTTGCAGTACTATTCAGCTACCAGAACCAGACATCTGTGACGGCGATGGGAGTCATGGAGAGGCAGAGTAAAGAAGACATCATACTCTTGGCTGTGACATCTGCTACTATATCCTTTGCTTTGGTTCTGCTGCTTGTACTGTGCTTGTCTTATCGGTAAGAAAATGTGATCAACGGGAAAAGCGTTATGTAGAGACACTGATTATTTATTTTCTTTTTATTTTAATAAAGAATAATATAAATTTGCTCTACTATTGCAAACTAAAGTTAGTTAAGGGAATAAAGAGCCATGGATTATGTTATGGAAAGTTGAACATCTCTAAATGTATGTCTTTAGGGCAGAAGTAGGCAACCTTTGGCATTCCAGATGCTGTGAACTGTATGTCCACTTATGTTTTGCCAACATTCGGGCTATAAGAGCATCATGAGAGATACCGTCCACATCATCCATAGTGCTTTAAGGGATTTATGCTTCATTGATTTCAGTAATTAAATTACTAAATAATTAGTCATGGTGAGTTGACAACCTAACTGCAAAATTGAGGGGGTGCACTTTGGGGGGTGCTGTAAATCCCAAAGTTCATGCAAAATTCCATGTTAGGGAAACACACTGAAAAAGAAAATTTTTCAAATCTTACAAGGGTACTTAAAATTACATCTCTCACAAATAAATATGACTATTTAGCCACACCATATAGTGTTTAAGCCCAGCACTACTTACAAAGTACACCTATATCTGTGAGTCATTACACTAATCCAAACCTAATCATATAAACATGGTCACTGCAAAGTGTACTGCTTAAAGTTCATTAAGATGCTCTCTTCAAATTGTATGCTTTTGGTCTCTTATAAAATGTCACTGAGTGAAGAGGTTCCATGCTCAACCCAAGGAATCTAGTATGAGTCTTCCTTAGTTGGCACACTTCAAAACTTGATATATATTTTTGTTTGTAATTCTTTATTTTTGACATGAAGGTGAGTACAACAATGCCTATATTGCCACAGCAGCATCAGCAATTTTTAAAAAAATTTTTTGCTCAATTTTTATGGTCATAGCAAAACAGATTTATGGCGTGATGGATTTGCACAAAGTTACTACGTAACCATTTAACGGTTCAAGATCTAGGCATTTGGTCATTAAATGTCTGGTTAAGGTGTTACATTTCAAAGCAAGGCTTAACATTTGATCCCAGAACCAATGGTGACCGTAAGTGTCTAGATGTGTCCCTGAGGGTGAGGCAGCAAGGTAGAGTGCTACTAGTACAGCTAGGGTATCATTGGGCATGTGATGAGTGAGCGGAGGTAATAGTGTAGTGGTATGGTGACTGGCCTATTAGAGGGCCGGCACGGGTTAGCAATAGCATCCCTCGAAGTTGTGGCCAGCATCTGGTAGAGCAATACGTTAGCATGGAATTATGAGCGGTCAGTGAAATGTTTAAGCGTTTGCGTTTAAATGCTGTTTGCGTTTAGGTTCTCTAGGTCATTTCAGGTATGTCTAGTGGCCAGGATTGCGTTACAACAAGGTCCGTTGACTGCGATCTGTACGTTAAGGAACCCTTGGTATATAAACATTTGAACCTGGATAGGTAGGAGAAGATGTATAGTATTTTTAACTAATTTTTTTCTTACTAGTTTGTCAGAAGAATTTTTTAAAACCGTGAATTTGGAGCATTTAAACTACTCCTATCTAATTCTAGTGAATTAAATAATCTTTGATTATGAAATGATTAGCAAACCCTGTTCGTATCAATCTTCCATTGAAATTTGCTTTTTATCCAGTATGAGCCTGTGTTTGGTTTTTATTGCATATGTGAATAGATGTTGATAGTTGAGCTCCGGTTAAGGCTTTTCCCCCTTCTTATTGTGGTAAAAAATAGTTGTACAAAATCTATAGGTTTTAGGGTAATTTGTTTTGCTTAACATTCTTGGCCACCCAATAGTTATCCAATCACGTGGAGGTGGAATGACGTCAGAAGCGTAGTGCATACCTGGGAAAACTAATTTGCTACAATGCTCCTTGTTGTTCAAACTTTTGAAACTTGGTTTCTGTTTTGTATACAATGGAGGATCAGCAATGACCACTAAGCGGGCACATTGATGGCACAGTTCTTATTTCCAGTGGCATTTTTTGGCTCACCCCTTCATTGCTGTGAGTGAAAGGGTGACTTGTCATGTCGCCAGGGAGTCTAAGTGCACTGGGCCAATGTAAACTGGTTTGAAAGAATGTCCTATTTCATCCTCTCTGGGCACAAACAAAGAAAACCACAAGAAAACAAGTTCACATAGAGTCCCTAACCTGTAGCCCCTCAACACATTCTTTTTCACAATGTTTCATGCAGTTTCTATCTGCATGAAACATTGCGCCTATTCTCTGTCAATTTAGCTTGCGGGACTTAATATTATTGGTGCTTTTCAAAATGACTCTCAGTGCCCTCAAATGCTTTGTTCGTAGAATGACTAATGCCTGTGCTGTCAGACAAAAAAAAAGTAACCCTGATTCTAAGAGAGATAATAATTTTGTGTGGCTGGGGTTTGAAAGGGTTTAAGAAAGCATCCCCCCCCCAGCTTTTAGTGAAATGCAACTCTCCTTGTTCTCATGTAACCTGGGTTTCAGTACTTTTCTTATTTTCTAGATTAGAATTATTATGGACACACTGTATTAATGCATGTTCCTACTTCTTCTTTGGTGATTCAGGCAGAAGATGTGTCCCAAGAGAGATCACAGTATTGAACAAGTGACCCCACATCTGGTAAGTAAAACATTTTGTATTTGTATATACTACAGTGTTAATACAGCCACACATGTTCAACTATTGCAGATAAGTTTGGAAAAATTTAAATATGACCATAGTCCGAGACAGCAAAAATGGTTGGTTTCGATAATTGTTTTTGGCTTTTTCCTGTACCTTTAGATTGTAAGCCGGGCAGGGCCCTCTATACCTATCAATCTGTTTATATTGTATAGTCTTTTTTCCCAATTGTACAGCACTGCAGAATGTCAGCACTTTATAAATGGCAGTTATAAATAAATATATTTGTCTACAAATATGATATGTCTTATAGTGCAATTACCAGATTTTACCATTAACATGGTCTAAAGTCATGAATTTATAAAAGGACATGGAGGTGAATATTTCTTATGTCTTTAATCTCTCAGCTGCAAAGAAAGCGTTGGTGTAATAATCAAAAAATAACCAAACCCTGTTAGGGTTAACCTGATAACAGTTCGGCTTATAACATTGTTCATCACACATACCATCATGTAACCTTAAACCACTGAGATTTCAGATGATGCTCCCGATTGCAAAAATCAAATGAAATAGAAACCGTATAACAAAACAGTAAATCGTCAAAAAGGACAATCGTGATCGATGAAATGACGTACAAGTCGAGATCCGACTGGAAACAATCTTCACAAATCCGATGGGATGTATCAAACTGAAATTAGAAGAGAATGTGAAATAGTGTCAAGACCATAACTAGAACTACAATCCAAATAATTGAAATACTTCAGTAAATACTTAAGTTATTATAATAAAAAGCTGACATTACATCAGAAAGTCAAACAAACAGTATTGGAATGCAGAACAATAATCAGTAATCAGCATAACCCACGTAGTACCTGACAAATCCATATGGTATCTATGTGAAGAAAACCTATAAAATGGGAGAAATCATCAATAATAATGAGTCAGGGAGGTGAATATCAATAAAATCATGACTTTACGTCATGTTAATAGTAAAATCTGTTCATTTTATTAAGACACGGAGGCTCATATTTGCTAGTTTGCAGCTCCGAAATAAGGAAAGTAGTAAAATGTGAAGTTGGTCTGAAGTAAACATGAATTCTCTAGACTGCCTCTCCACTGCATTCAGCAGTTGAAAACCCAGAGAAAAAGATCACATTTCATGAGGGGTATCATGGCTTTTCAGAGGTGTCAATCCCAGCAGATTTCATAGTCCTTTTTACTTATTGTGCGAGAGTGATAGTAGATACTGGATGATGAGGCTTACGTAAAGCTACAAACATCTAGGGGCGAGAAACATCACAAAATATCGCTGTTCTCTTATTCTCAGAGGCAAGATACTGGACTCAATTGTAATTTGTGTGGAAAACGCAGATAAAAACTGATTTCATAGACGTTTCTGTCCTTTGAGAAATATCAAAGGAAAAGCCATCGAGTGTATAAGAGAGCGCAGTGAGGCACAATACGCAGACACCGGAAATACATGAAATTGCAATCAGCAAAGTGGCATAACCAATTTTGCAGATTATTTTTGTAGAGACAACTCTGTTATTCGGCTACAATTCAAATAAAGAATAATATTGACATCCCAAATATATTAGTACCTAGGTTGTGGAGGGAGTGCAAATCCATTTACAAATAAAGAGTTGTTTTCACACCAGGGAAACCATCAAATCACAATGACCAGCTGAGATCACTGACCAGTAGAGCTTTACTGTGCAATGGGCCGAACCAACATCAAAAAGTCGAATGACGAAACGGATAGATGTTAAAGAAGTTGAAACGGGATCCACATGTTGTTCCATTCACTAGTGAGTCCAAGAATTCCAGATTAGGATCGTAGTGTTCCTGGAGCCCAAGCTCCAGCCAAAAGATCGAATATCACTTGTGGACCATCTGGCATGTGTCCTAGTCCCCAGAGAGAAACCAAGGCAAGAGCCGGAAGTGGCCATGAAGTAGGAGAGGGTGAGGATTGCCTCCTGGGTCCAAAAGAATATCTGGATGGGAAGGGAATAATCTCAGCATGTCGACGGACATCTCCAGAAGCTTTGGTTTCAGTCCATATTGATGTAATGAGAACCAGTGATGATCAATACCTCGTACCCTACTTCACCTATGAAGATATCTGAGAGAATGGAGTGAAGGCATCCTTTTCCATTGTTCCCTTCTTTGAGGGAAGAGGGCCATTGTTGTGGAAAAACATCCACAGCGAGAGCATCTGGATCCAGTTTACAGCTGTAGAAGTGGGGAAGATGAGGTTTCAACCAAGATGTGACTAGGTCTATGTCTAATGGTCCCCATAGTGATCGCAGTGGAAGAAATACTGAAGGGTCCAGTCACCAATCGCTGGAATCCATCAGGTATCTGGAATTCCAATCCACCACCACATTGGACATCCCCGGAATGTATTCCACCTGTATTGATATGTTGCAATCCAGGCAGAATTGCCAAAACTCCTTATCCAGATCCACCAAGGCATGTGACTAATAATCCGTTTATGTACCTTAATGGAGGCCTCAAGTAGGCTACATAGTGCAAAGGACTCGGCCAAGGGCTCGAGACAAGCGATTTTCTCTTGAGGGGACCACTTCCCTCCTGTACAGATAGGCCCTCAACACGCCCCCAAGTCGATCGCACTTACATCAGAGTTGACAACTGTGTCTGGACTCATAAAAAAAATAAAAATAAATGGCACATCCGTTCCAAGCCTCCATATGTTTTATCCATCAAGCCAGGTCCTCCTTGACGTCACAATCAAGGTGAATAACATCAGAGTAAGACATGCCGAGTCACAAATTTCTGGTCTTGCAACATTGAAGTGCCCGATAGTGAAGAGGACCTGGAAAGATGAATTTGATCGAAGCGGAAAGTACACGATCACCATGGCTAATTGCCAAATGGTTATGAGAGGGCGAGACCACAGTATTCTGATTTCTCTTTTCAAGTACTTCATCTTGGCATCAAGTAAATTAAGAGAATCCATGATGGAGTTTGTCGAAGCCCAAATTCCATCAGTAGGGTGGGAACAAGTACGAACTTTTCCCAATTGATGATTTAAAAAAAAAAAAAAAAAAAAAAAAAGTTTCTGGAGAAATATCACTGTAAAAAAAAAATAATGGTGGAACAAAAAATGGGTACTTAGCTGAGGGAGCCGCTGCAAAAAAGTGGCTTAGGGTCACATGATGGGATATGGGATGAACCATGTTATTGGCTCATGTGTTATATGGTTAACCCTTTCTAGGTTTATTTACTTTTCTACAGTTGTGCATTAATTCCTTTCTTTGCTTCTGAAGGATTAAAGAAAAAGAAAAGCAAATATTCACCTCCGTGTCTTTTAATAAAATTATTATTTTTATTATTATTGGTATTAATATAGCGCCAGCTAATTCCGCAGCGCTTTACAATAAAAGGGGAATTTAGCTAATGAGACAATAACGAAGTGTAACCAGAACAATAGGTAGACGAGGACCCTGCTGAAACGAGCTTACAGTCTAGAGGAGCACTGATTAGTGATTAAATTATCTATTTAATTGTTTCTAGAGTGGAGCTCAAAATCCAGCCTTGGATGTCAGTGAGCTACAGCAAGTAGTACCGGGAGAAGATCTGAATGACAGGGAACAGGAATCGGACAGTCAGGAGGAAAAAGGTATGCATGTATCACGCTTTGATCTCCCTACCCTAGATATGTACTGAAAGCTGTTAATATTTTCACCAAGATATTGTTTTAGGCCAGGCTCCTAAATGTATCTTGCAATAGTTATACACCATTTCTAGGGTGCTGTCAAATTATAGGCATTGTGTGGGTGATTTTCCTATGGTGGCCATATTGGTAGAGGAGGAATCACAACTCACCTTTTTAACCTGCAATGTTTTACAATTCTTTGTATAAAGAATAATAAATTGTGGGATTGTTATATAGAATGGGCCTTTACCGAAACACAAATGGGAATACCAAGTCCACTTTGACTAGTTCATCTTAACAGAACATTGTCAACTAGGTTACGTTTTTGGCTCTGAATTCTATTTATGATGTAGCACATATAAGCCTTTAAAGGACCACTATAGTGCCAGGAAAACAAACTCGGTTTCCTGCCACTATAGGGTCTTTAGGTCCCCCCTCCCATCGGGCTGAAGGGGATAAACACTTACCTTTCTCCAGCACCGGGCTCCCTCGGTGCTGGGGAACTCTCCTCCCTCTCCCAACGTCCGCTTTGAATGCGCAGCAAGAACCGGGCGCGCATTCAAACAGTCCATAGGAAAGCATTTATCAATGCTTTCCTATGGACGTCAGCGTCTTCTCACTGTGATTTTTCACAGTGGGAAGTGCCTCTAGCGGCTGTCAGTGAGACAGCCACTAGAGGCTGGATTGACCATATTGTAAACATAGCAGTTTCTCTGAAACTGCTATGTTTACAGCTGCAGGGTTAACACTAGATGGACCTGGCACCCAGACCACTTCATTGAGCTGAAGTGGTCTGGGTGCTATAGTGGTCCTTTAAACATACGTTTGCAGCTTTCCAGTGATTCTCAATGAAAAGGGATTATCACTGAGCAGGTTGCAAGACAGGTCTGCACTAGCACACTACACCTGCCACTTCCGTTGAGCTAATGAAAGCAGAATAAAAACCCCCAGCCTGTCTGAATGACAGCCGGGGAGGCATTTCTGCCCCCAATTATAATAGTTCAGGTTTCTGTTAAAATCATCACATTTATAAACTGTTGGGAAAAAAACTCCAGACTCATAAAGTACTTCAGCAAGATGCAAAGTTCTATATCTGCCACCCGGCGCCCACACTTTTACTTTGCTCTGCAATTTTCTATTTATTTTTTTTTCACTCTTCTCTCTAAGTTCCTTTTCTGTTGTTATTCACTTCTTTGAATGCTCTCCTACTTCTCTCCTCTTTCTTTATTTTTCTGTACTGATTTATGTGTCTCTTCCCTATAGTTTCATCAGTCTAAGGGGCTTTGGCATAGTCTAAATAATTACTTTCCATGAAGTCCAAGCCCATTCCCTCAGCTCTCTCTCTCTCCGCTGCTCCGGTGTGTTTTATTGTTTTATTGAAGCATTGCCGTACAACCTCCTGCGTTTGTCAGCTTTTGTGGAGTGGAATTCATGCTTCTCTGTGTCTAGGACTGAAGAGAGTGGTCTGTTTCTGCCTGTTCTGGCTTAACGCACACTTTGTTACTATTGTGTTATTATCCAGTCAGGGAACTCTCTCATTGATTATAATCTAATATATCTATCTAAATAATAGATCTTTCTATATATCGAAGATATCTGTCTGTCTATCATATCTATCTCTTGTGGGAATGCAATGAGCTGGTGTTTACATTGATTATTCGGTCACAGCATTAATTTGACAGGTCAGTGGAGATCTTATTACTTCTGTTGATCACCAGCAATCAAAGACCAAGTGAGGTGTGTGTCTGTTTTGGGCATACCTCTCTTTTCTGGCTAAATCCAAGTCACATTGAGGTCAGTGGTAACCCTAGTGCCCCCGTCTCTTGTTTTGCAGCTGCAGACCTATCTAAACAAACCTTGCAGGAGGATCCCTCCTCTTCTATTGCCACTGTTACAAGTGATGATGTTTTTGTGATCTCAGACAGCAATAACCGAGAGAATTTCAGCTTTACCAACTACCCAAAGGTAGGTACATATTGGACAGAGGCTTTGTTTCCAATCCAGCAAAAAACAGACCATGTCCTGACAACGATAACTTCTTACTTTTAAGATCTCTGCTTGTTTTGTCACCTGCTTTCTTACATTTCACATGGGCCACATTGTTGTTTTGAAAGAACTAGGAGGAGTAATTGTACCCAAAAAGGCCAACTACTACTGAAATCTATACCATCATGTCTTGACCTATTGGGAGCTACGTTTGTAATTATACAAGACCATAAAATACTTATTTGCACATACTAATTTAAAAAAAAATTTTTTTTGCATAATACAAAAGTACACAGACAAAAATGTGTGCAAGGATAATTCAAACAATAGATCTAAAGAAAGTGATCAGCAACCAAGTTTTCATTGTAAAAACTTATGTACACACTGGATCTACCATGTATTCAACAGAATTTAAGCTAGAATCGAGATGAGTGTTCATCTAGATATGGCGTTCGATAGTGACAAACATGACATCAATGGTCACTAGGGATTCTGAGTTGGGGCTGCGAGGTCCTCAAGACGAGGGCAGACAGTAGTACAAGGTATGTCTAAGCCCTGACAGTGAAGACATCACTAGGGGAACCTGTTCTAGCTTTCCTTCTTCAAGGATTAAAATTAAAGCTATGTAGAGGACCACTAGTGTCACGCTGACCACCGCATGGTGTCTGGGTGTAGTAGCCCTGTAGTTTTAATCTTGCAATGTAAACATTGCAATTGTTCATATTTTCTTGTTGCTTTTTTATACTTCATTTTACCATAGAGGCATTTACTGTGATCTGGTACACTTAAAAGAAGGCCAAGTGCATCTTTTGACTTTCATATATGGGCGTTTCCCATTGTCTGCGACTACTGTCCTCTATGATATTTTTGATCTGCTCTGTTGCTTTTATTTTGTGGTTCCCATTTTAGTTCTATATTCCATCAGACTGGCTATAAGATAAGTTACACATTATATATAAAGTGCTCCACCTTATTTTTTGTTATCCGTATCTGTTTTCTGGTGTATTGAGATAGGGGGTCTAGCACAAGTGATCTACAGCAGCTTTTTATTTTTTTATTATTCTTTCTTTTTGTTGTGCTTAGAGTTACAAACACATGTGTATCGCCACGACAGCAGATACAAGCCAATGGAATAACAAAGAATAAACAGTTTCATGACAATCATTGACTGCACAATTTTTTAAAAGGGAGCAGGTTAGGTATAGATCTCTATAACATTAGTTTCAATCAAGCTGGAAGCTACGAACGGTAGGATAGACATTTTGAGTAACATCAAGAACGTATAAAGGTTAACATATGATATACAGGCTTAGGTAATACGCTATGGATCCAATGCGACATTTCCATACTATTCAGTGATTCGCTGTATTTAGGTTACATTACATGAGTTAGTGACATTTGCTTACTGGGTATGTTAGTATGCTTGGGGATCCAGAGACATGCCACTGTCCAAAGATATGCTGAGCTCAATCATAGTGTTGTATAACAGCTTTAAACAGAATAGCACGGTAGAGGCAGACAAAATTTTACTAATAAACACTTTAAATCATGTTACTAATGCCACAGAGCTTGCTTGTCCCAGCAGGTGTCCTCCAGGTTCTGTCAAGAGGGAAAGGGAGCATCAGGCCGGTGAAATCAGTTTAGGCAGGTTGCGCAGATTCCGGGCAGTCAGGCAACATGGGGTGATGTGGCATCATGACGGTAACCTTTGCTCAGTTCTCTTTGTGGGAGCTGTGCGTGGTGATGTAGGGAGGTCATGGGCCCCATGGTGCTTGCCTCTGAGTCGGTCAGCCGATACCTGCTGCGGGCACCTCATCGAATTGCAGTTCATTAAGGGGTTTCAGGCTTCTGGGCGCCTGTGTGGTCGTGTACGGTTGTTTAATCCCCTGAGTGGGAGTGCCCAGGTGCACTGTGGGATTTCGGCAGAGTTCCACACTGGGTCCCCTCGGCTTCTTTCTGTGTAGTTTCTTGTGCTTGGCTGAGGTGTGTGGTCTGTTCCACCTTCCCCTTAGGGCCTTCCTCGCAGCTCGAGCCCCGGCTTGGTGCTCAGTGTGTGAGGGGTGTCGGTCAGGTGAGTGGCTGCTTGCGTGCAGTGAGGCTTGTTGGAGTGTCTGGCTTTCTAATTTTAGCCAAAAGGCATTGAAGATGGCCTTCAGCTTGTCGTGTAGCTCGGTCTGATGGCGGGGAAGGCGCGTGGCTTCCACCATGTTGGGTGAGTCGGCTGGCTTGCTCGGCATCAGCTGAGAGCAGTTCTCCCGGGTTGGACCGTGATTACCCCCAACGGTCCCGGGGGGGGGGGTGTAACGGGGTGCATGCTTTGCAGGGTAGCCCCTGAGCGGGAGGTCGGCCACGTCTCCCGCCCGGTGCGCCACAAGGCCGCATCCTGTCTCCAGCTGGCGGTTCGGCTCCTATCTGGTCTCTGACCCCTGCCACCGGTTCCAGCAAGGTCTGGCTTCTGGGTGGGCTCCAATTGTCGCTGAGATCAGACTGTGTGGGGTCTTTTAGTGCAGTAAATGCCAGGGTTGTGGAGGAGCTCAAGCGAAACGTGACTGTCCGCCATGACGGTTAGGCCCCGCCCCCCCCCCCTACAGCAGCTTTTAAATCTTTTTAAAATTTTATTTTTTGCTCTGCATACGAGTACATATACACTGGTAATGCCACGATAGCAATAACAAGCAGTAACAAGCAATAACAAGACATAAAGCATTCACATGGTATCTGAAGTATCTGCACATTTTTACAGGTTATTTAAGTCAAGCTAGGTTAACAGAAACTGGGAGCAGTTAAATGGAGAGACACTTATCACGTATTCATAGCATCTTAGGGCATAGTGAGAACTAATATTGCGGAGATGTGAAAGAGAAGTTTACCAGGCTAAAACCAGATTAACTGATTAATTAGTTTACCACTAGGTGCACTATCCAAGAGGCTGTCTGCTTGTGTCTAATGCCAAAGGACCACATAACTGCTCATGGTTACTCCACTGTGCCCAAGTCGCCATGCCAACACCCTGTTAATCACAACTCATATATAAAAAAAGGTAGAGATGAAAAAGAAGAGACAAAAGAGCAAATCAGTGAATATTATAACATATAGTATGCTTTAAAGTTTGCAACGTGTTGTGATATAAAATGCAGGTACAGAGGACTGTATGCAATAGTAAGTCCAGGGTCAGCCAATTCCTTTACTCAGGAGGTTGGAGAGGGGAGCCAAGGGATCGCTGGCGTTGGCAACTGTGCGGTACTAAGGCTTGGCAGCCCAAAAGCCTCAGGACAGAAGAGAGACCGGCATCATTGAGCCATGGACTCTGAAGCTTGCGAAGTCCAAGTCCGTTCCCCCGAAGGGGATAGCAGAGAGTCGGGCAGACTGTCGCCGCCATCTTCGTCAGATTCTCTGCTTATGTGGTCGAAGCTTTGAAGGTTAACCCCTAGTGTAGTGGATGCAGTGTGTATTAGTGTAATGTATATATAATGAAAGCAGAGTGTTTGTGTAGTGTGTGGGTAGTGTGCGTAAAGTGAATGCTGTATATACTAAATGCAAAGTGTGTGTGTGTATATAATGAATGCAGAGTGTGTGTGTATTTGTGTAGTGTGTGTATATAATGCAGTGTGTGTGTGTGTGTGTGTAGGAAGGTGAGTATTAAGAGGAGCAGCCGCTTGTATTTGAACTGTACCCTTGGGAGTGCCACCACCACTCCGCCTTCTGATCCTACAATCTCTGGTACACGGACTCAGCTATGATGATGCCATTTGCACTTCAAGTGTTGCCTGGAAGCGTTGGAAGAGGGCGTCCAATCTCTGCAGACAAGTATCTACTGGGCTGCTTTGATTCTGCTGTGTCTGTGTCAGAATAGGTCCTTGATGGAGTACCTCTGCCATTTTGCTAGTAGAAGGTGAGGCAGGAGCGGCAAATCATGTGCTCTGACATTGGAAGTCGGCACAGCAGGGATCGGGATGACCCCCACCAGTCCGGAGGGAGGGGGGGGGAGAACGGGTCTTGGCTGTGACTCAGCCCATGGGACTCCACTGAGGAGGTCGGCCACCACTCCCAGCAGGGCCTGTACTAGTCCGCAGATACACATGACCGAAGCTCCGCTTTCGCGGGTCACAAGAATGATCCGATTGGTGCCCAAGGTGTTTGGGATTAACGTGGGTGAGTTTGAGTCGCTGACACCTCGGTATCTACAATATTTAACGGAATAGGGCAATTTAAATGAGGATCCCTATTCCCATGCGACTGCTTAGCATGGCATCCAAGCCCTGACCCCTCTACAGCAGCTTTTTATTGTATCTATTTGTGTGATATCCATATATTGGGGAGTGTATATGTGTGTATATGTGTGTGTGTATATATATTAAAAGATCAACGTTTCAGTCTGCTGCTGCAAACTTTCATCAGGACAGATCACCATGTCCTGATGAAAGTTTGCAGCAGCAGACTGAAACGTTGATCTTTTAATTTGGAGCAATAAAAGCTATTTTTTACTTACAAGAAAGACCGAGGAGTGCTATCTACTTTACCTTTCTATGTTTTTGCTGATTAGCACCAGGCCAGCAGTGGAATACGCAGTGAGTGCAACAAAATTTGTATTTTTGTGTGTGTGTGTATATATATATATATGTGTATATATATATATATATATATATATATATATATATATATACACACACAGACATACACTGTATATGCTGCTTGGCACTCCTCCAACGTTGACAGCAATTTATATTTAGCCTGGGTGCAATCTTGCGTTGTGTGTGTGTGTATATATACAAAAAATTAAATATAGGGAGCACTCACAGGTCTCAAAATAGTCATGCAAATGGTGTTTGGTTTTTTTCCGGTCATCACAAAATTAGCTGTGGTTACAGAAAATCTACGTTTCGACCCATTCGGTTCTTTATCAAGATCATGATTATTATTTTTCTATTTTTGCTTGCAATATATTGTTTAAATCTGTGAGTATATTGAGTCTATGCAGCTGTGTTTATGCATGTAGGGATAAAAATGTAAGAAGTGGATAGGATAAAGGGATGTCAAAGGTTTGAGAGGAATTAACATCCGAGTTTGTTTACATTGGGTGTTTAGTGTTAAAAGGATTAAAAATGTGAAAGGAGACTGTTGAGGTATAACGGGTGTTTAAAATAGTTTAGTGCAATAGGTGGGATAAGTTTAGTGTTTTAATAGGAGTTAAACCTAGGATTAAAGGTACACTATAGTGTTAGGAATACAAACATGTATTCCTGACACTTTAGTCTTGGTGTGGCTGTTTAGGTCCCCGGCCCACCTTGCTTCCTTTCGAAAAGATGATTTTACCCACCTGTTCTTCCACTCAGCTTCCGTAGGAATGCATTGAGGGCTATTGCGCATGCAATTAGCACATTGCTGTGCCAATCAGCATCTCCTCATAGAGATGCATTGAGTCAATGCATCTCCATGGAGAATGCTCAGCGCCTCCATGCAGAGCGTGGAGATGCTGAACACCAGTGTTACCCAATGTGCAGCACTGACACAGGAAGCACCTGTAGTTGCTGTCTAAATGACTGTCACTAGAGGTGTTACTAGGCAGCAATATAAACAATAGGTTTTGGAAGGGGTTACATATAGGGTTAGGGAAAAGGTTTGTTTACTAAGCAAATAGCCTCTCAAACGCTACCGGACTTTCCCTGCTATGTCTTCTGTAGTCCAGTCAGTCTCCTGTGATTCATTACAGAGATGCAGAAGTTGTTATATAGTGTGCTCCACTCAGTGCTGTTCCTGCTCCTCTTGCAAGGCACTTCCTGTGAGAGAGGTTAGTAGTGTTCAGATGGGAAATGATCCCTTCCACTTCCTGTACAGCCGCATACTGAAGCAGCTGGACAACACTTATTTTTACACCCTCTTGCATAGGAGGTTGACTGGATACAGAAGACACTGGCCAAGGCTTCTGATATTTAACTTTCCCTTTTAGAAAACTCGAGCTCCAAAAAGTCAGGCGCGTACCTCCCAACCTCTGGTGTCTGTGAATCGGAACCTGGTGGAAGGGTAAAAAAAAGGGGCAGTGTCTGTGACACAATATGCATCACGGGCTCTGCCTATAGGGGAGGAACCGCCAGAGCAGGGAGCAGTTTTTTCTGTAGAATTGAAAGATTAGCCAGCCTGCCAATCAACTAGGCCAGTCCACTGGGGACAGACCCTGCAGTTAGAAATGGGTTTTAGTGCTCTCTGCAGGTTGTTAGTGACCTGAACATAGGGCAAATGCATCTAATGATACATTCACGCCATGCTTGTTGGGGACAGTTTCCTGATGTCCCCAAAAATGGGACACCAGTGAACTTAGTCAGAACCAAAATCAGTACAGTTGGGAGGCCTGTAGGCATCTGCCTAATGGAAAATCTGGAGCAGACCGTAATACTTATCTCCGGTGTTTAATAATAATAATAAAAAAAAAAAAAAAAAAGTTTCTTTATCGTTATAGTGACTTCTGTTTATTGATAACTTCTGGATTTTCTATAGTAAATACTAAAATCTCAATTATAATTAGAAGATTATATATATATATATATATATATATATATAGTGGAAGGGGTTTTCAATCACAATTTTTCCCCACCATAACCTATTTGGATTTTGCTTCCCAAGCACTACCAAGCCTCACTAAGCAAACCAGTAACCAACCTCATGCTGAAGAGTTGCATTAACAACGAAACAGCTGTCCATGAGTGGTTCACTGGTTTTGCATCTTATCCTAAATTGTGTTCCAAGCAGTTGTATACTGCAAACACAAATTAAAAGGAATCCATGTTTAAAATGGAATGAGGCAAAAATGTGATTCTTTGTTAAACTAATTTGCATATGCCCACCCAGAATCCTTTGCGGTTGTAACATCACTGCTGATTTGAGATTTCTGTGGGAAAAGCAAGTCTTATGGCTTGACTGGTGTGCAGATTTTTGTTTAGCATTGTATTAACTATCCACATACTTCAGGTGGAAGGGGTTTTCAATCACAATTTTTCCCCACCATAACCTATTTGGATTTTGCTTCCCAAGCACTACCAAGCCTCACTAAGCAAACCAGTAACCAACCTCATGCTGAAGAGTTGCATTAACAACGAAACAGCTGTCCATGAGTGGTTCACTGGTTTTGCATCTTATCCTAAATTGTGTTCCAAGCAGTTGTATACTGCAAACACAAATTAAAAGGAATCCATGTTTAAAATGGAATGAGGCAAAAATGTGATTCTTTGTTAAACTAATTTGCATATGCCCACCCAGAATCCTTTGCGGTTGTAACATCACTGCTGATTTGAGATTTCTGTGGGAAAAGCAAGTCTTATGGCTTGACTGGTGTGCAGATTTTTGTTTAGCATTGTATTAACTATCATATATATATATATATATATATATATATATATATACATATATATATATATATATATATATATAATATTGTGTGTGTGTGTGTATAGAGAGCATTTTCAGCTCTGTGTTGCTTTTGTACATTTGTATAGAAATGTTTGAATATGATTTATACAAAAAGTTGTTCTACTTTGTCATTTGCAAAGTGTTTCATAGTGCTTAATTGTATTGCTATTGTATAACATGATCTTAAAATGGTAATTTGTATAAATTGTCTTCTGTAAAATTGTTTAGTAAGCAAATGTTTTGCTGAAGTTGTTGTGTAAGAGTCGCAAAATGTATGTCCATGGATTAATTGCAGCCACTGTGAGGAAACCACGTCCATTGTATAGCATTCCCCTAGGCCAGGGGTAGGCAACCTTTAAGCAACACTGTGCCGATATAGGATTGTGATGTCCCGTAGCGTGCCGGTCCTATTTTTTTAAAATTGAAGTGTGTTTGCTGCCGTATTCTGCTTGTTATTTTTACTGTAATTGCTTTGAATCGTTGTATTTGTGCGTATTTGAGCTATTATATTGTATATGTTCATGAGTAGTTTATGGTATTGTGTATGATACATATGAATGTGGGCTGCGTATGAGGGCTGCTTGTGGGATTGTGTGTGGATGGATATGTCACATTGTGTGTTTGGTAGTGTGTGGGGGCTGTTTGGGGTATTACATGTGAGAGGCTGCATGTGGGGTTGTATGCATGTATGTGGATTGTTAGTGGTGTTGCGTTTAAGCGGATTGTGTGTATGTTTGTGTGAGGGCTGTTCGTATTATTTGTATGAGGGGAGGGTTATTGTGCATTTCTGTGTATATCTAGCAGTGTGGGTGGCTTCCCTGGGTTCCAGTGGGGACCAGGTCGGCCAGATACAGGTCAAGGACAGGAGCTGCAACAGCAACTGTGAGCTGCTATACTACTGTGTGGATTCCCATTCACAAGTGCTGGGAAGAAGTGATTTGAGATCACTTCCTCTGCGTGCTGCAATGCATAAATTGAGGATTGTCCTTCACCACCTCTTCGTATTAGCAGATATCTGAAGTTTCACTGGGACTCCTGATAGGCCAGAGCCTGTTTGGCTCTAGCAGCCTTGAGTGCCGTAGGTTGCCTACCCCTGCACTAGTATTTCTTACAATAAAATAGTGTTATCTCATTTCAGTAAAGCCAGCAGATAATGAAAACTGGAAAACACAGGAATTAGTAGGGCAATTTCCCTTCATATTATCCAAATCCCACTAAATCAAAAGTAGCCATTATTGCATAGCTCCCACGCGTCTTAGCAGCACAGAGCATAAGCTTCTTGTGATGCAGTTCAGTTCATCAGAACAGCTGTCTATGGATTATGGGAATTGTAGTTCAACAGCGGAAGAACAGCGATTATGTCTTCTTCTGTCCCAGAAAACCATCTGTACTTTGTTTAAAGACATCCACCCTGTGGATTTTTTTTATTTATTTTAAAAGCTCTAGGACAACAGCTTAATAGAAGAAGCTTCCCAAGGATACTGTTTGTAAACTGCGGTGGTCTGCAGATGTTGCAATTACAATTGTGAGTTTACTGTGCAGAAAACCATAAATGTAAGGTGAAGGAGGAGAAGACATTTAAGATTATAAGCTTAACTCGTAGAGACATCTGTCACACCCATGTGCTTGAACTTTTAATACCAGTTGGATCAAGGAAGATGCAGTTATATCCTTGTGCTCAGTGTTTGGAAATATTCATTCTTAATGGATTTATAAGAACAGACTTTTTATAATATTTAAAAACGCCAGGAATGATTATCAGTACTTATAGGGGTTTTGTGCTAAAACCTCTTTTACATTACAGCAATGCATTCTCAAGAGGAGTGTCACCAGCCCAGCCTCCGTATCAGACTGGCTGAACTGGGATTACACTAGCGTGGAGCTCGGTACAGATGACACGGGGAGTGAAAGTATGGAAGCGGATCCGGCCAGGCAAAGGACCTGGAGCATTCGGACCTTTAACAGTCTGCTGCCACCAATGCCACAACTGCAGGTGAAATGGAGCAACCGGTTATCCAGTGGTTCCTTCACCAAGCTTGTTGACAGTGTGAGTATATTGGCACAGTCAGTGGTTGGCTGGTTACGGTAGTGGAGAAGGTTTTGGTGGATAATTTTTTTATGTTTTTATTGTATAATATTCCATTGGTACATACAATCACCAACAAGTTAGAACCAGGTTGGTTAGAAAGCAATTGGTTCTGCATCGATTAACAGATATTATAAACCATCTGTGAACATATTTATACAGTGTACAGTGTAGCATAAGGAAAAGCTGATCCCTAGCAACAATTGTTATGTTCCGGTTTAACTGTGCTCCGACTGAGATCTAAGGTATCTAGATCATAAATGAACATGTTGTTCCGTTAATTCCTTAGCATAACACCGATTTGACCACTGGACATTTCTCAATCGCTGCGACTCTGATAGGTGCAGACTACCCTTGGGAAACTGGGATATATAAGATAAATGTAAACATGTTATCTCCCCCACTCCTGAATGCCCTCCATAGGCCAGACTGGCCCAACACCTGATTAGAGCAAAAAAAAAAAAAGTGGGAAGAAACCACCCAGTATACGTAATTAAATTAAATACAAACTGGAAAGATGAACCAGGATTAATAAAATAAGTATAGACCTGTAATAATAATAATAAACATTACATAGTGTAATACAGTTACAATAAAATAAAGTGCGTGATGTTTAGATATTGCACTCTCAAACATAAGGTGAAAGCAGGCTTCTCACCCCACCAGGGGTTATAACGAATTGGAAAGCTGGTAGATTTCAATCCTCATAAATTCCTTAAGTGGATGAAGGAAAGAGAGCCATACATGGTGAAGTACAGTAAAATCACAGACAAATTTATTAAGATTGCACGTACAAGCAGGCAGAAAATCTGAGCATGTATCCACACAATGTGGAACCAAATACAGTGTGGTAATCGTCAAAGAGCCAGCAGGAAGTAGTTAAAGACAAACAAATTAAATAAAAGTCCATACAGAGTCCAAATTATGCTGTCCAACGCGTTTCGTCCAATAGAGGAACTTCCTCAGGGATCTGTTTTTCCATAGAGGGACTTCTTATACTGGTGACAATCATAGTCCATTCGTTACATGTGTTGGTGTGCGTTCCATCCGTGGAACGCACTGATGTATGTGCTGTGCGACTCAGGGAAAAGATAGATGACATAGTTGTGAGGAACAGATCAATCAGAATAGACATAAAATGCATGCGCATGAACGAACGGGAAAAAACCCAAACGCCATGCGCATGTGTAAATCATGATTCCAACACCTGGTCTGACAGTCCCTCGCCTTTGGTAGGGGAACGAAAGCCAGGGACGCCAATTTATCTGCTTAGGTGGAGCCGTATAATTAAGGCCTCAAGTTGCAGTGTGAACGGCGCCCGCAACGTATAGCTGGGCCAAGGAAGGTGGTGGGGATGTGTTCAGTGCGGCTGGGTTTCTGCCCCAAGGAAGGATGTCCATGTTTCCATGAATTTCACGTAATATTTTGCCCTGTTGTGTGTAATCTCTTCCATGTTTTGTTTTATACTCTCTACCCTTGTGATCCATTTCCTCACTGTGGGTGGTTTAGGTTGTTTCCACTTTGCTGGAATTAGTTGATTCGCCGCTACGAGTAGGTGGGTGCATAGTTTGTACCCTTGTAAGAATAGCATGTGTTCTGGAGAGAGTGGGAGCGGGTGATGGTCTGTATAAGTCAATGTATGCATTTCCAGTACTTCTGAATCAGAGGGCATTCCCACAAGATATGTGCAGAGTTTGCGTTGGGCTGTTGGCACATTCAGCACGTATCCGGTGACGAGTTGTGGATCTTATGGATCTTCGCCGGTGTATAGTGCCAACGCACGATGCATTTATAATTACTCTCTTGGGACGTAAGGTTTGTGGATACCTTGTGTGCTCGTATAAATATTGCTTTCCATTGACCTAGCGTGATTGTCCACGCTAATTTGTCCTGCAATTTCTCTGTGAAGTGAGGGAACCCTAGATTTTGGACTGTGTGCAGTAAGTTATACATGGAGGATAGAAGCTTCCTTTTCAGTGAATGGTGTATGCAGAGTTGCTCAAGTTTAGTCAGTTCCCTATTTCCCTCTGGTAACAGATTGGTACATTGTATGAAATGGGCTAGTTGTGGGTACCGGAGATGTTGTATACCGGTAGGGGGCTGTGTTGAGATAATGTGAGTCAGCTGTTTCAGTCCGCTGCCTTGCGCGATCGTTTGTAGACTGAAAAATGTTGTGTCATGGTATGACCTATATGTTGTGCCTGATTGCCCTTGTGGAAAGAGCGAGTTGTGCGAAAGCGGTTATAAAGGCGAGGGGTTGGTTGACAGGTGTTCGCTCTGTCTAATCGATTTCCAGAGTATGATCGTAGCTGTGATGGTTGGGTGAGATTTTTGTGTAATAAACGACTGGCCCAATTTGTGCCACGGGACAGTGTAAATGGGTATTGTAACGCATCACCTGGCACCCTGACTGGGTACCTCCGTTGAAGGATACTCCTAGCACTGCAGCAGACACCACAACCACCGAACCGGAGAAGCATATGAATGCTCTCAAGCATATGAATGCTGTAAGCTGCTGAACAGGAAAAGCATACAATCAGCTTACACTCCTGGCAATCAGCATACAATCCAATTCCCCCAATAACGAGACGACACTTCGTTTTGAGGTCAAGCAGAACTGACTGGACTGGCACATACAGCCTCTTTTATTCACAATCCACAAATATAGTACTGCCCACAGGGTTTTGAAACACAGCCAATCAATCTATACAATACACACAGACACTCCCACACAAAATCATCCCCTCTGCCTGTGATATGATTACTGAACACAATGGTTAATCTAATTATCACAGGCAGAGAAATACCATATTATAAAACACATCACAGGGACCCCAAAACATGCAATAACCCCATAAAAAGTATATCCTTGGAACCGGGGGATCTGGGTGAACCACATATCCAGAATTCACCCAGATCCGTTCAGTACTTTGGAAGATACAGTTTAATGCAGATTCCACAGAACATATGCAGGCTAAATGAAAAACAATTACTGTATAATGTGTCCCCTGTTGTATAGTCCAAAACCACTGCACGATGTCTCTGTGCACCAAATACCAGCGAGATGGCACCGTGTTGAAAAGTCCAAACAGTGTCTGAGTTAAAATGGCCGCCATCCATTGTTCTCACCATGTGCTTTATCCATTGTTCTCACCATGTGCCTCTGATACATGAAATGGTGGCCACCCAGTAACTCCACAGTATGTCCCCAGATGGTTCTTAAAGGGCCAGCAGCAGCACAACACAAATCCATTATGCCCAAATCATGTCTTTAAAGGGCAATACATCCCAGGGGCCATAGTCACATGGCAGGAGGCTGGCAATCAGTCTTCTCCAATGCCCAGTGGCAAGGTCGGTTTCGCCACAGGTATCTCTAGGGAAGTTGCCTCAATCTTGACCCATTGTAACTTTATATTAGTTTTGATCCACTTTTATATCCTGGCCAGGTGTGTGGCTTTGTGGTATTGTGCTATATCGGGTAACCCTAGTCCCCCCGCTTCCTGGGATTTTACCAGCAGGCTGTAAGCTATGCGTGGGTGCTGATGGGACCAGAGAAAGGATGTTAAGATTGATCTTGAGATTCTAAAAAATTTCTTTGGGTGCCCTATTGGTATAGTCTGGAGCAAATAAAGTCTGCGACGTAGCATATTCATTTTAAGAATGTTGAGTCTGCAAAACCAACCAAATTGTGGTTTGTGCCAAGTTTTCAAGTATTTGGATATCTCCAACATCAAAGGAGGGAAGTGGAGTTCGTACAGTCGCACTAACCTGCGTGGTAGATGCACTCCCAGATATTTTATGGCTACGGGTGCCCACGTAAAGTGGAAGAGTTGTTTCAGTGATGTTTCAACTTCTGAAGGCAAAGGCATAAGTTCGCATTTGGAAAGATTCGCTTGAAAATCTGAGGTTTATTATATGTATCCATCTCTTTTTTAGGATGTGGGGGATTGTCTGTATTGGGTAAAAGCGGAGACCTTCTATTCTTCTCCTCTAATTTGGAAGCCTCTAACAAGGCCTCTAATGCCTTGTAAAATTGTTTTGAGCACCAGTATAAATAGCAGGGGGAAAGAGAGCAGCCCTGTCTTGTTCCATTGGAAGTTTTTACCGAAGCCAATAACTGTCCATTTATCCGCAGACGCGCAATGGGTATCGAATACCTGGAACTCAGCCAATTCAACCATCATGGGCCAAATCCCATGTAACGCAATGTTGCAAGCATCAGGGACCAGTCCACCCTATCGAACGCCTTTTCGATGTCGATTGCCAACAGGGCCATTGGCGACCTAGACGTCCTCGCCCAGTGCATCAAGCTGATAAGTTTGGTGGCATTATGCTTAGCTTCCCTGCCTGGCAGAAAACCCGACTGGTCTGGGTTGACTAGCCCCGGAGGCAACGCCTTTAATCTGGTGGCCAGGATTTTTGTGAAGATCTTGAGATCTATATTAATCAACGATATAGGCCTGTAGCTCCCACAGTGAATGGGATCTTTATCTGGTTTAGGGAGTAATGGTATGGTGGCCTCTAGCGCTGACGTTGGGAGGGGAGAGGTTTCTACCAATGAATTGAAAGGTGTTGCTAGGACTTGTTGCATGATCCTATAGTATTTGCCTGTGAATCTGTCCGGACCCGTGCTTTCAACTAATGGTAGAACTTTGATTGTTTGTCGGACCTCCTGTAGTGAGAGTGGGCTATCTAATGCCGTAACTGTCTCCCGTGGGATAGTAGTTTTGATTGGTGGATAAATATTTTATGTGTATGCAACAAGTGACCCTGTCTCCATGGTCATCACTAAGAATGAAAATAAATACATGTTTTTTAAAAAAAATGTATTTCTTTTTTCTTGTATTTTTGCATACTGCCCCATTTTTACCAGAATTTTAAAGCGGCACTGTTCTGCCGAACTTAAAGGACCACTATAGGCGCCCAGACCACTTCAGCTTAATGAAGTGGTCTGGGTGCCAGGTCCACCTAGGATTAACCCTTTCTGCTGTAAACATAGCAGGTTCAGAGAAACTGCTATGTTTACTTTAGGGTTAATCCAGCCTCTAGTGGCTGTCTCAGTGACAGCCGCTAGAGGTGCTTCCACGCTTCTCACTGTGATTTTCACAGTGAGAAGATGCCAGCATTCATAGGAAAGCATTTAGAATGCTTTCCTATGGACTGGCTGAATGCGTGTGCGGCTCTTGCCGTGCATGCATGTTCAGCCAGGGACGTCAGAAGAGGGAGGAGTGTCCCTCTCAAAGTAACTGGCTAATGGTATTCCTAAAAATAAAGTATGATTTAATATTGTGTATTTCTGTTACAGGGTTGTGCTGTACCACCCAAGATTCTGAGTCCTAGAAACCACAGACGAGCCTGTTCTGCTGTGCAAATAAAGGGCAGTTCCAGTCCTTTATATTCAGAGTCTTCAGATAGTAATGCTTCTTATCCCCTCACGCGCTCTGCGCAGCTCACTCGTAAGCTTCCACCCTGCAACCTAAAGAGGACCCGACCTTATTTTGGCTTTCTTAATGGCTCATCTGATAGTCCCCGATCTTCTGCTCTGAGGACAAGCAGCTCTAGGGAAAACCAGATGTGTCAAAATTCTGGCATGGAATTTGCGGGCACTGCCAAAAATGCCAAGTCCAATATACTTCGAGCCAAAGAGCTCTCTGTGGATGTGGAGAAACCAAAGGCTGTTTTTGTGATTTGTGAGGAGGCGGATGACCAACAGCCTCTAGTATTAGATGACCAGCTGAGTCCCAGCAGGGAAATGTTCTGTGTTAATGAGATCGGCTCCACTAGCTGTAAGGAGGAGGTCCAACCAGTTGGACTCAGAAGCAATCATTCTGACTTAAAGCCCTGGGTGAAGACACCAGAAGACTACCAGTATCAGTACACAAAGAAAATGCCTTTGTACAGCTTGGATGAGAATCGAAGTAATTTATGTGTGGCACTTAATTCCAGACATGAATCTGAACTGGGTGGAAAATCTTTATTAGCCCAAATTGGGTTACCTACAGACTGAGTCTGCTTGGGAAACACACTCTGTTTAAATGCCACCCTGCAGTTTATTCCAAGGACTTGGCTACTATATGGCAGCTGATTAGTACTCTTGAGAAAAAAGACATTGATTTTTAGCCAGCAAGTAATTCTGCATTCACATAATCCCCCCTCTTGCTGAAAGCTTGGGGGGGGGGGGGAAGTGCCAAATATTTCATATAAAAGGTAAATCACAGAAAAGCCTTAATGTGCATTGTTGCATATTTAGTGGAAATCCACAATCCTTTTCTATGACTTGCAGGTGGCAGTTGGGTAACGTGGAACAATGTCATGATAAACAGTTATGGAATATTTTTTCTTCTTAAACGCTTCGAATGAGCAACAGAAGTCTTATCAAAGGTTGTACATGACTGTTATATTTTTCTGCTCCATGATAATTTTCTTGCAATGTTTTAAGCAAACTGTGGGTTGAAGCACCATAACAATGAGCAGGGTGGCTTTGAAATTAATTTGGTCACAGCAAAACGCACATCAGAATGGTGTTTAGTTTTTTATTATTATTATACACACCATTTTTCTTGGATTGGGATGAAGCCACTATCCTAGAGCTTTTTTCCTACTTTTCTTTTTACACAGTACTGAGTATGATTATTAGAAGATAACTTGACACAAATCTGATAACTATGTTTAAGGTAACATCCTGATTAAAATTTACATTTTGTTGTAGAAGTTAAAGTAAGAATGTTCACACATTTCTTTCCCTCTTGTTTTATAAGTATTTCTATTAAACACACAGGTTACTAACTATCAAGCACAAAGGAGCTAAATATTCTATGACTTGGCATGTGCTAAAGGCTTACAACGTTTAGCTGTGTACTAAGCATTCAAATTTGTTTGTGAATCACTCTGTATTTCTTCTGTTAATTAATATTTTTTGTTTCACTACTTTGTATAAGTACTCATCACATCCTCTATAAATTCACTATTCATTTCTTGCTAAAAATCCAGAAAGTCCAAAGGGATCCTGTTTGCAATTGTTTTTGCCAAGTTCAATATAAAATTTAAATCCAAAGCCAACACTGACACTAGTCACTCTAATAGGAAATGCAGGCTGACCTTAATGTATGAGACATTAGTTACTAAAAACTTAAAACCAAATTTACAGAAGAGCCAAGTTAGGATTACAGCTGTATTGGGTACATTTTTCCAATTTGGGTATCCTGGCTTTAGTTTTGCAATTTTAATAGAATGAATTTACAGTTTAGTAGTTACAGGTTACTGCCTGCGAGTATGAAATGGATTGATTTTCAATCAGATCTGTCACGCAGGAGTTGAAAAGACCGTACTAGACCCCTAAAGCACTTTTTTTTAACTTTCTAAAATATATATATATAAAGTGCAGATTTCAAAAGAAATTGGCACATTTTATAACTTAACCTTGTTACACCCCCTAGACTGTCAGAAAACCGGTTCTGTTACTTCCTGGTTTGGTTAGCTCAGTAGAGCTAAACTCAAGAGGCAGCAATTGCTCAGAGCACCTGCCTTGCAAAGAGTTCAGACAAAATATGCAAATTTTAGAAGCTGTTTTTAGATACACCCAATTGAAAAATGCATAATTACACACATGCATATTTTTATTGGAGGTATTTCTACTAAAGTAACTTTTTGGCAGTGGAGAGTCCCTTTTAATTTCATCATCACAGCTGAAATGGACCTTTCTTCTAACATTAACATAATTGGAAACATTTTCCAGGTGCATGACATGCAAGCTTGGCTCTTTCAGTCTATTTTGAGATTGTTTAATGTAACCCACCAAGTACCATAACTACTACAGCGTGCTGTAATTGTTATGGTGCCAGGAGCGCTCAACCATGTAAAATGTCACACTGTTTCAGAAGGAATCAACTTCTTCCCAGGGATCCACCGGGCAATTATCCTTTTAGAAAGCTGGAGGTTCATGCTTAGGAGCGTCTGATAACTTAAGCTGTGCAGAACAAAGATGGCGTATTGGCTTGGAGCAATCAGCTAAGTCTTGCATTGCCAGAGCTCTTCATCTGCCTCCGGGCCAGCAAGTGGAGGACGTTGTAGGACCTGGAAGAGTTCAGCTGACAAGTGAAACAGTTTGAGTAATTAGTGGTGGGGGAGCCAGAGCACTCCTGCCGCCATAACTACAGTACGTTCCTTTAAAAAAAAAATTTTTTTTTTTATTATTCAGTAAACAGTTTTTTTTCCCCCTACTTAATGAGGATTGTCAATAATTAAATCAGGGGTAGGCATTCCAGATGTTGTGGACTAAATCTCCTGTAATGCTCTTAGTCATGTTGGCAACGCAAGGGAGATGTAGACAATCTGCAGCAATCCATATGTGGACTACTACATGTTTTAGAGCCAGTTGTGGCCTAACATTTGCAGTTTTCTAGTGAATTTGACAATTATCGCTTAATACAACTTTTGGCTGTGTTCTGAAAACTACATAGATGCTTCTTGTTTCCGATGGCAATGAATATCTAAACCTTCACTGTACCAAAAAAATATAAATCAGACTGTATATAACAAGTCTATTGTAAGTGCCTTGCAGGCCCCAATGTCAGGGTTTTAAAGAATTACATTTTTATGTAAATTTCTCTTATGTTTAGATTACTGGCCTAAATATAAACCTACCTTTAATCCAACAGCAGGAGCTATTTTTTGCTGTAGCCTGCTCTTTCTTTCTCCTAATGACTTTTCTCCAAAGGATGCTTTACATTAAAGGGATCCTATAGTGCCAGGAAAACGAAGCATTTTCCCTGACACTATAGGTTTAAAAGGTGCCCCTGTCCCTCGCACCCTCCCTTAAGCCACTCACCTGAATCCAGCGTCGGCGCTGGGTCAGGCTTTGCCCACGCTCATCCCCTGCAGACATCGGCCGGCGGGGAAGACCTAATGCGCACGTGTGCCTATTGGCCGTGCTCACATTAGCATTAGTCAATACTTCCTATGAAGAAAATCTGATGCTGTAGGTCCTTCATGCATAGGACGTCCAGCGTCTGATAACGGACCAAAGGTCCATTTTGATTCCGGAAGCGCCCCTAGTGGCTGTCTGGTAGCTGCAATGTTTTACATTGCAGCACTAAGTGCAACAGGGACACAGCACCCAGATCACTGCAATGAGTGGTCTGGGTGCCTACAGTGTCCCTTTAAGAAGCTTTGAGGACAGTAATAGCTCAATTCTTCACAGAGACATTGGATGCACACAGCATCCCACAGACTAAAATAGACTGAATAATTTAAAGGGACACTATAGTGACCAGAACAACTTCAGCTTAATGTAGTTGTTCTGGTGAGTATAATAGCTCCCTTCAGGCATTTTTATGCAAAGAGGCAGTGTTTACATAGCCCCTAAGGACACCTTCAGATGGCCACTGGAGGGGCGCCCTGCCGTTCGGTGCTCCCACGCTCTGCATCGGGTTGCTGAATTTTCCTCAGAGATGCATTAATTCAATGCATCTCTACGAGGAGGTGCTGATTGGCAAAAACAGTGTTTGGCCCCTCCCCCTCGCCAATATGCATTGGATGGGCGAAAAATCGGCAATGTTGAGGTCACCAAGGGGGCGGCGCTGGTGCCAGCAGACCCGTTGAGAGCTGGAAATAAGGATTTTTAACGCGTTCTGAGAGGGCAAGCCACCGAAATGAGGGGTTTACATTATAGGATCAGGAATACATGTTTGTGTTCCTGACCCTATAGTGATCCTTTAATCTATTTATATTAGACTGTTCAACAGAAACTAGTAGGCATAAAAACTGCAAAATGTAAACAGTGCCTTTTCTCAGCAACAGCACTGTTGTCATTTGCAAGGCTATAAAAGCTGCACCTATGCCCCAAAATCTCTTTATTAAGAGAAATTGATTTAGTGCCTTGTGCATCCCATTAATATTAACCAGTTGTCCAGGATAATGGACATTTATATATTAATTTTTACTCTCTAGACTAAACTAATTATGAAGACCTGTGTTGTCTCTTACCTTGCCCATATGGAGTGTAGAAAAAGGAAGAAAGCTGCATTAAATGAAATATATGCATTATAAAAAATAAAATAAAAAATAGGTTTTTCTGTACAATGCACATCTTGTTGCTCCAAACCAGATTTAACAGATTCACTTCATCATGCACTAATGGAGAAGTGTAAATGAGCTACAACTATATGAAATTATATATTTTTATTTAAAAAAAAAAAATCTTGAATCTAAATGCATGTAAATAAAATGAAATCTGAATTTTGGATGCCCATTGTTTGGATACATATACTGCCAGGTCATCATACAAAAGAAATATCCGATTTTTGCCACACGCCACATTTTCATTACAGGTACAAAAGAATGGAAGAATAATAATACACTGTAACATTGGAGCTGACAGCTGTTTCTACACTTCTGTTAACGCCTATTTGTCAAACTAGAACAGCATGAGAATACAATGGTTAACAGAACGGAATGATTACCAATCTAATCTGACCCTGTAGTAATATATGACTGCTTCACATTTTTAATCACTGGTTTATCAAGATTCCTAAGAACAATAGGTAAAGTGTTAACTTCGTGTGCCCCATCATCCCCAAAATAAATACAAATTGCAAAATATAAGGCAAGATCGGACACTTGAATTTTACCATCAAGCCCCCTCCCCCCCAGCTAAAAAGTGGCTGTCCTGAGCTATTTTACAATTCAGACTTCTGTATATTTCCTGTTGTGATGTGTTCGTGTTCACAGGCCTATGTGCATGCTTTGTTTTTTTGTTTAAATAAGCATTTGTGTAGCACATCATTGACAGTAGTGTCCATTTCTCTTTACATACGTTTGTAGTTGTAAATGCTAAATGAACACTGGCAAATTACACTTTTAGTACACTGTAAAACATGTGACACAAGCTTGCTCTAAACAAACAAAACAGGACCAACCATCAGGAATAGTTTTGGTGAAGAATGTGTTTATTTGTTTATAGAGAATTCAGGTAAGGTAGCAGGAGTATAAAACATTTACTCTGCCTTTTTTTTTTTTTGTCTTGCAACACACTTCACTGTTATTCCTTTGGCCACCAGGATGTGTTTTGGAAACAACCGGAGGAGAGAAGAACAGACAAAAAAAAAACAAAAAAAAAAAACAGTCAATGCCTTCCAAGCATAGAAATATTCCTAGGAGAAAATACGATGTGCAGGATATGCCAGGATTCAATTAGATCCGCATACAAATGTTAATCGCTTCCCGATTTTACTGTTTACTACAAAGATTTCAAATCAATATGCACAGGCCGCCGCTGCCTCTGCTACTTGAAGGGATGTAAATTGCCCTGAACAGAAGGCGTGCTAGATCACAGGAATTTGGAGTGCAGACAAATGTTTCCAGAGTTTTTTTGTTTGTTTTTTAAATAACCAACACAACTGTTAATAAAGAAAGAACAAAATGTCATATTCAACAGTATATACAGGTTCCCCCTCATCATTATAAACCTCAAATTATACCAGATACAACTAGCATTGCTTAGGAAAACTGCAAAAAAAGGTAGTATGAATCATTATTGCCCCTCATCTGTGTAACATACAAATATCCCATAAACACATCCCAATTATAAGCATATGCTCCACATGTCATGTAGGCCACAGGTTTATACGTGTAGTATAAGAATTGTGACAGATAACCCTATGGACAGGAAGCTGTAAAGTACTCAGAGGCCACATACACTGCATGGAGCAGGTTATCACTTCTTTTAGTGACTTTTGAATGTTCCATATAGTTGGTTTGGATCCCAAGCACCAAATACCCAGGAAGGTGTGAGCAATGGAAAGAGTCAATTCTTAAAGCGTGTTTGCTCACAGATATGATTGAATTTCCTGAAAGAAAAAAAAAATAGTAATATCAAACAAAGTCAACACATACACTCGGTACAGAAATAACACCCTTTAGAGATAATTTTGTACAAAGTAGACATCATATGCAGGAATCTACATGTCTCATGATTCTCTATATTCCTCTAACAGAGCCTTAGAGGAGAAGAGATTTAAAAAAGAAAAATGTTGTTGCTCATATTTAAATATTTTACTCTAGTATTTAGAGCAGAGTTCTCAAACTCTGGCTCCCAGATGTTGCTGAAGTACTGGGATATTCTTTAAACATTAACTTTTTGCTTTGAACCAGTGATTTCTGTTTAAGTGAAAATCAAATTGCAAAAAATTTGTAGGAAATGCTTTTACTTGAAAAATTCTCCAACGCTACTATCATCACAACATACACATTTTCTTTGAACTCAACTCATTTTACAAAACTCAGGAGAATACAAATCTGGAGTGAATAGATTACTATATACCGATTTATTGTTATTGTTTGAGTTTGCTGCATTTACTCTCTCTGTGGCTATGATTTAGGAATACAGGACTTACATGGCATGGTGGGCTTTGACCTGAGTTCTACAGTTCCGTCCCCAGTAGCAATTTGGCCGTGATGTCACGGACACTAAGGGAGAAAAAAATAAAATAAAACATACTTTAGAAGATTATTGTGAAGCAATACAAATGAATATAATAGAATATGTTGTAAGAAGCTGGGGGGAAAAAAAGCCATGGGAGGGTGAGGCAGGAAATAATTTACTTTGGAGAGAGAGGAGGGGAATAGGACTTGGAAGGATGGTAGTAGAAAATGATACTTTGGAAGGAGTGGAGGGGAAAAGGATACTTTGGAAGGAGTGGAGGGGAAAAGGATACTTTGGAAGGAGTGGAGGGAAAAAGGATACTTTGGAAGGAGTGGAGGGAAAAAGGATACTTTGGAAGGAGTGGAGGGGAAAAGGATACTTTGGAAGGAGTGGAGGGGAAAAGGAACATGAGACTTATTGTAAAGTCTAAAATCATTGTATTCCTATACACTGAAGACAAACTTCTCAAATGCAATTTAAAAACTAGGAAGACGCTGAGAATGCAGTTCTCAAAAGATAAAAGATTTCTGTCTCTAGGGCCAGTGCAGGGGAAAAGGATTCAGTTTATTTTACTTGTGGGCTCCATATTGTTGGTATAGTTTATTAAGTTGTTTCTGTCCTCTCAGTTAGGCCTTAAAAAGTAAAAAGGTTACATTCCTCGGAATTCTGAAAACTGAACCGTATATTAACTCCATAAGTTCATCTTCATAACCCTAAACTCCTTTTGTATCTGTTAGTGAAATTTGTTTTGTCTTTTAGATGTATTGTATCTTTTGTCTTTTTACTTGTACCAGCTGTACCCATGTGCTGGAACATGTTGATGCTTTAAAAAAAAAAAAAAAAAAGTATAACCCCCCCCTGCTTGTTCCACTCGGAGAGGGGCTTAGAAAAGGAGGTCTAACCAAAGCTCATTTATATTTCGCCCCCAATTGTCTAGTCACGGTAAACAGGCATCTTCCAATGCAGTTGAACAAACAAAAGGCACAGAAGGTTTTATGGAGCCCAGAAGGCAGTGTATGGCCCTTCACAGCAGGATACAAAGTTCCTTGCAGAGTACTGCAGAGTACTGACGGTCAAACGCTAGTTACAGACAAGGCATCCATCCTGAACAAGTAGTCAGAACATTAACAGTCTCTCTTCAGCACCAACCAAATTTGTGCACTTCATTGCATCCCGCAACAGCCAAATATTAAAACATAATTGAACCAAGATTTCCACTCTTGAAAAGACTGTTAAAGCTATTAAGCAACTGAAAAGTGTCAAGGTAGCAGAAATCAATGGAATTCTGCCTTTAGTCTGGAAGTATGGGGGCCAGGGCCGGCGCTACCTGTAAGGCGGACTAGGCAGCCGCCTAGGGCGCCCCTTGGGAGGGGGCGCCGCCAGGAGCGCCGGCCCCGCTCATGCTGCAGCCGCCCGAGCGCTCTGTATTGAGCCTCAGGCGGCTGCAGCTTTGCCCGGGCGGTGCGTCCATGAGGGCGGACCGCACCGCCCGGGCGCAGCCTGAGGAGAGGCTGACAGGAGGGACACGCTGAGCGCTCCCACCTGTCAGCTCCCTCTCTGTAGTGTGGCCGAGCCCTCTATGGCATGGTCCGACCGGTGTTCTATCAGTTTGGTATACCCCGTCAGATTGCTATACCCACGTCACTTCCGGGGAGGGGAATCAGCTGTCTCCTGTGCTGCACATGCGTGCTAGCACTCCCGCTACTCCTCCACAGCAAGGTCCTGGAAGGTAAGTAAAACTAGTTTTACACTTTCATTATAGTTAGTGCATTCACTAAGCTTAGGCACACGGGACATTTAGGGTTAAGTGAGGGTACAAATTAGGGTTAGGTAAGTGATTCTAACCTCTCTCACACTCTATTCTTACCCTAACCCTTGGGGTAATGGTTAAAATAAAGTGTGAGAAATCACTATTTAGTGATATTCCCCTAATGTGAAATATCACTAAATAGGAACAAGTCCCTAATCCTAACCCTAATTTGAACCCTAACATTAACCCTAAATGTCCCATGTCCTAAGCTTAGTGAATGCACTATCTATAATGAAAGTGTAAAACTAGTTTTACTTACCTTCCAGGACCTTGCTGTGGAGGAGTAGCAGGAGTGCTAGCACGCATGTGCAGCACAGGAGACAGCTGATTCCCCTCCCCGGAAGTGACGTGGGTATAGCAATCTGACGGGGTATACCAAACTGATAGAACACCGGTACAGGGAGCAGCTGTCTCCTGTACCCGGCCGGACTAACAGGAAGTGCACACTGAGTGCTCACTTCCTGTTAGTCCGGCCGGGTACAGGAAACAACAGCTCCCTGTACCGGTCGGACTATACTGGGCTCGGCCACACTACCACACAGGTAGGGGAGGGAGGGGGGAGAAGAAAAAAAAAAGAGAGGGAGGGAGGGGGAGAAGAAAAAAGAGAGGGAGGGAGGGGGAGAAGAAAGAAACAGGGGAGGGAGGGGAGCATGTCAGGAGGGAGGGGGAAGAAAGAGGGAGGGAGTGGGAGTGGGGAAGAAAGAGGGGAGTGAGGGGGGAGAAGGAAACAGGGAGGGAGGGGGAGAAGGAAACAGGGAAGGAGTGGAGGGGGGGGGGAGAAGGAAACGGGAGGGAGGGGGGGGAAAAGAGGAGGGAGGGGGGGAGAAGGAAACACAGGGAGGGGGGAGAAGGAAGAGGGAGGGAGGGGGGGGAAGAAAGAGGGAGGAGGGGGAGGAGAAGGAAACAGGAGGGAGGGGGGAGAAGGAAACAGGGAAGGGAGGGGGAAGAAAGAAACAGGGAGGGGGAAGAAAGAAACAGGGAGGGGAGGGGGGAAGAAAGAAACTGACAGGGGAGGGGGGAGAAAGAAACTAACAGGGAGGTGGGGGGGGGAAAGAAACTAACGGGGGGAGACATTGACAGGGAGGGGAATTGACGGGGAGAGAGAAATTGACAGGGAGGGGGGAGTGACAGGGGAGGGAGGGGGAATGAGAGTAACAAGGGAGGGGGGGAGAAGAGAGTGACAAGGGAGGGGGGAGAGATTGACATCCATCACACACACACACACACATCACACACAATGCACCCCTTACACACAAAGACAATGAACCCCTTGCACACAGAAAAACACACAATGCATTACACACACACGCAATGCAACCCTTACACACAATGCATCCCTTACACACACAGAAACACACAATGCATTCCTTACACACACTCAATGCACCCCTTACAGACTCACACACTTCATCCCTTACATACACAGAAACACACCTTGCAGCCCTTACACATACAAACACAGATTCACACAATGCATTCCTTACACACAAATCAGGACATTCCCTACACACTCCATCCCCTGTGAACAAACTCATTGGTGGAAAATGAAGGTGGACCCTGGGACCCAGACCTTGAGCTGTGTAAAGGGCCCCCAAAAAATGGAGCTGCTTCTCGTTCTCCCAGAACATTGATTTGTGTGACCACAGTTACAAACAGCCTCCAGAGATCCTGTTATACACCAGACCAGTGGAGCCAGACTGCAGCTAGAGCCCATCATCATCCTCATCTGCTTGTAAGTAGGTAATCTAGTATATTATTCGTGGCACTAATCTCTAATTTACCTCACATTAAAGAAACACTATAGTCCCCAGAACCACTGCACCTTAATGTAGTGGTCCTGGTGTCTATAGCCTGTCCCTGCAGGCCTTTTAATGTAAACACAGCGGCACTGCAGCACTAGCGTTAGTTAACATGGCAGGTCATATGGGTGGGGCATTGCGATGTCACGGGGGGGAGGAGGGGGGCGTCAAACTTTACTTTTGCCTAGGGCGGCAAAAATCCTTGCACCGGCCCTGATGGGGGCCCAGCATTACACACTAAACTTCATGATTTCTTTGCTGCTGTGAACAAAGCAAACTTTCACAGGACCTCTTTGATGCAATAATCACCCTGTATGAGAAAGGGGATAACACTGCCGGCAGGAAAAATATTTGCAAGAATACTTTTGAACAGACTGGTACCCACCATTGCAGAAGAACTCTTTTCAGAGAGCCAATGCGACATAAGAGCTAGGAGGAGCACCAACAACATGGTATTTGTTCTCAGAAAGCTCCAAGAGAAAGGTCAGGAACAGAACAAGGAATTGTAAATGATGTTCTTTGACTTAACCAAAGATTTCGACAAAGTGAGCATAAAAGGTATGTGGCAAATCTTGGAACGTCTAAGATGCCTCCGTTAGTTCCTCAATATGATCATTCAGCTACACAAAAATCAATGTGGCCAATTCAGACACAGCAAAGACCTCTCAAAACCCTTTCCAATAGGCAACGGTGTAAACCAAGGTTGTGTTTTTTGCACCAACTCTCTACACAATCCTTTGGAGCTTCAAGTTTCAAAGGACCATTGTAAGCCTTGAGGAAGAGGACGGTGTCTACATCTGTTACCGTACTGATGGTTGATCACAGGATATAAAATGTTTTTTTTAAATTAATTTAGGTAATTCATTTTGTTATGTGGATGGGAGAAAGGGGGGAGGGGGAGGAGGAGAGAGAGTGTGTGTGTGTGTTTAGGGGAGGAGTAGTTTTCCATTTACTGTTCGTTGGACATTGTTGTTTCATTTAAAACCAAAACAAATTAGGTTTACCATTTTCTAAAACTATTTTTTATATCAAGCATAATACTTTTATACACACTGTATTTCATGCTCATAATGTAACAAAATGACTTTCAATTTGTTAAAAAAAATAAAAAATGCAGAGCACAGTTCTCTATCTGGGAAGAAAAAAAAAGAATAGTTTTTTTCCTGGCTTCACAAATCTTGGAAATGTTACATTTCTTAATAGGAGTCTGTGCAAGCTTTATAGAAGACAAAATAAATTACATAAATTTGTATGCATGAAAGTATATCTTTCAAGACAGCTATGTGATATGAAAAAGTCTCGTACCAGAAGGCTTTGTATCTTGTCAGTTAATACACAAAAAATAAAAAAATATGTTTTTGGCAGTTCCAGATGATGGGTACCTGGTAAGTCGACAGCTGGGATGTTTTGCCTGTATTGGTAGGTAAGGTCTCTGAAGTTCCTCAGGCCACAGAAGTAGCAAAGCACTGTGGTTCCATTTATCCTATAGTCTGTGGGGCAGAAACAGTGACAGTTGAGAATAACAAAAGAACTGGAATGTAACATGCTGACATGGTCAGATGCAGATGGAAAAAATTAAAACACTATAAAAACAAAGATGATTACATAATAAGAAAAAACAAAAAGCTACTGGGTTTCTAACTCTGCAAAAGAAAGGCTGCTCTGGAATGATTTTTAATTTTATAATTGGCCTCTGATAGTAAGTTTAACCCACAGTGAGGGCAAGTTTAACAATTGGCCTGTTTGTAAATTTAACCCGCAGCGAGGGCATGACCCAAAGGTTATATAGTGTATTACACTTTACAAGTTTGTTGATCCACACTCATAGGGAATCCCCAAAAATACATCAGGAAGAAATCATTGAAAAAACGCACATTTATTGAAGTCAAAAAAGAAAATACACGTGGCAAGACACTAAAACAGCAGTCGTCATGTATGCTATATTGGTCCAAGCATGTGAAAAATAATTTTAAAAAAAGGTTGTGCAGTGTACCTGCAGCTGATGTACAGGGGGAGACCACCAAAGAAGCCGACCCTAACGAAAGATTAAAGAAGCCTTGGACGCGTTTCGCTCCACTCCGGGTGCTCTCTCAACATGTCCTAGTATCTTGCCATATGCATTTTCTTTTTTGACTTCTATAAATGTGCATTTTTTTCTATGATTTCTTCCGGATGTATTTTTCGGGATTCCCTATGAGTGTGGATCAACAAACTTGTAATGTGTAATACACTATATAACCCTTGGGTCATGCCCTCGCTGTGGGTTAAACTTACTATCAGAGGCCAATTATAAAATTCAAAATCATTCTAAATATCATTTATATTCATATTAAAATAAGACCAAGCATATTCTATGTATAGTACTGTAGCTTTATGGATCCACAGGGCTAAAATTTCTGGCACTGAACTTCTTAATACTTAATAAAAAAAATAATCCAATTTAAGGAGCCTTGCTCACAGAAGTTGAGTTTGACGGTAATTGCCAATTGGCCCCATTAATCTGCCAGTTCTACCCATTAATGCACAAGAACTAATTAAATAGATTAAAACAGATTAATGATTACGGAAAGGAACATATCGCCAGGGGTCCTACAAGCCTTTCTTTTAAAAACATATCTTCTTTAATACAAAATCCAGGAAGCCACGTCATGTTTACTAATAAGAAATTACAGAATGCCATCATATAATGAATAATCAGGGAAACACTGTACATGATTTGCACTGATTATTTATTTAGAGATGGATATCTTTAATGTTTTAGAAAATTATATTATTGACAAACAACATAACGATGCTGGTTTCGGAATTCATAAAAAGGCAAAACAAAACAGTGCAGAGAAGCAAAATCTATTTATTGATGAAACCTAATAAAAGTAACAATAAAAAATTTAAAAAATATGTATGATTTTAAGTTTGCGGATCTCTCTTAATTTTGGTCTATATCTCGGCCATAGTTTAATGTGCAGCCCATTCCCTTATTTTTTTTTATATGTGTTTTTGATATTTAAAAAAAACCCCCAAAAAAACATACCAAATGCAAAGAATATATTACCGTAATTTGTTTTTACAATGTAGTCACATAGAAATGATCAACATCACACTTGACAAATACAATACCACATGGATTCTGGTATATTTACATGCCAATGCAAACATAACTTTTTTAAATTAACACCTTACTTTAAAGTCCCTGGACTAAACAGGGTTACACAGACATTTCATGAAGATTTACTCGGCGACTGTTCTATTGTCTTTGCACCTGCCCCATCTAGTGGATGCATGTATGCATTACAATAAGCACAATGTAAAAATCCTGCTCTACCGAAAGAAAAATACAATAGATGGAAAGATTTACCTGGAAGCATGAAAACTCCTCTTTGAACAGCTGCCAGACTTTCATTCAGTAAGTCTCTCCATGTTAAGCCTCTGGATGCCAGGTAATTCTAAACCCCAAAAAATATAAAATATATATACACACACACACATATATATATATATATATATATATATATATAAAACGGTTTTACAGCAAGATTTTAAACATAGATAGACAATTTTATTGGAGGCATCAATCTATAAAAACACTGTAATCAATAGATTTTATTAAACTGGCAATGGTGTTCTGGTTAAGACATTTTTAATGCTCTTTTATTGTCAAAAATTCCACAATTCTCATCCCAGCTGGGGTTTATGGAATATAGAGTTCAGCACTCAAAATTTAAATCATAAAAGACATGCATGATATCACTCAGAAAGCTACAAACAAGTTCTGAGAACCTTTGTGGGCACAATGTACAAAATCTTCTATAGTCAGATGAAATAACTATACTCTGTAAAAACAGATAATAGTGGGTAGACATGTAGCAGGCACTCCTTTTTTTGCTTGCAAATCATTTTAGCTATGGGTAACTGGATGAAGAAACACTGGGACAGGACCGTCCTACTATACTTAACAGGAGAGCTAGAATAAAAAAAAATAAAAAAGGTGGCTCATTATGTGATATTGCAGTCACACACACGCATATCTATCAATCATTACACTGTTTCTAGTGTTCTGACAATTGCTTTCATTGTAACTGAATTCACAAATATACAATTTACAAATATGAAATGGACACTCCACTATACAAATTCCAATTAAATTTAAAAAGTGACTGTTTATTAGATATACCCAAATGATAATTTGCATGCATTTAATTATTTTTTTATTAGCGGTATATCTAAAAACAGCAAAGAAGAAAAAAAGGGGGTGAAGAGTTGCGCTATAAAATGGATAATCTCACAATATATAGACTATATGTTAAATAAAACAGAATCCATACAATAATAAAAAATAGATAAAACAAAGTCCATGCAATAGTAGAGATCAAATACTAAAATGTCCAGTAAAATGTATAAAATTGTCTCACTGATATATGGATAAGCGTGTATACAATCCTCAGGAGTAGATCCGTCCGGGTTGTGAATAGTCCATATATGTGAAGATAAAAACACGAAAAAATTCCAATAGTGTAGTATGTTACTTGAAATTTATATAAAATGGAGGATAATACACTCACATTTGATGGAGCTTTGGACCAGCTCTTGGATGAAGGGCACTTAGCGGTATAATCCCCGCTAAAGGATAAATGGTGGCAGTAGATCTGTCCGTCCAACTTGGTATCCGTAGTGGTCCGTAGAATATATGGAGACAATAATAGTGCTCTCAATACGAAAAGATAAAATAAAATAATAATAAAATATACTCACAACGATAGAGCAGAAAATACTGCTCTATAGGTACAGCTCTGGTGGACTAATCCCCACCTATGCATTGCTTGAGCAGGATACAGTAAAATGCCAGGAAAATTAATAAATAGAAAGAAAGTGTATGTACAATAAAATAAGATTGGCCCTATAAAAAGGAATACCAAATAAAACTTTTATTGTTAAAAATACACAATATAAAACCATTTAACGCGTTTCACCTCTGTGGCTTTATCAAAAATGGCAAGAAAAGAGTACCTGGCATTGAATCAGTATATATAACATCTTACAGTAATCAAAATTGGCGCCTAAAGCAATTAGTCCAATTACAAAACAAGAATTTTCAAAAACATTTTTTGTTTTACAAATGGACATAAAAACTCATGTAATACTTTGTGGGGCTTATCTAAGTCCTAGAGTATATGTACATATTAAAAACGAAGGGTATTTTATAAAATGTGATGATTTTAAAAAGATCATGTGATCGGAACAAGGGGGCGTGCGAGTGGACGGCACACGCCGCACGGCTTGCTTGAGGGCTGTAAGGGCTCAAAAACCATGTGACCGGCAGTTGGGAGCTATGCTCCTAGGGAAATGTAGTTTGGGACGGTGGGGGCGTGGCGACTGGGTGGCACACGCCGCGCGGCTCGCTTGAGGGTTATACAACCCTCAATAAACATGTGACCGGCAGCTAGAAGCAGTAGTTTTGCCGGTCACAGTGCACGTGGGCGGCTGACTGACAGCTAATGTCAGCCAATCGCCCACCTCCAAAGCCATATGTATGGATGGTCTTGAGAACCAAAAAGCTGAGAAACAGATTGCTTACAGTGTGATGAAATATAGTGTAAACGAAAAAGTATACATTGATAATAGAAAATATATTATTATTTGAAAATATATTATTATTTGAAAAGAGAGATGGAATTAGGATTTGAAAAATGGGATTAAAAAATAGACAAAATAAACAAAATAAGAAAATTGATAAAAAGTGAAAATGAAAATAAGAATAAGAATAAAAAATAAAAATAATAAAATTAAAAATAAATATAAATAAAAATATAAAAATAAAAAAAATAAAAATTAAATTAAAAAGATCATTAAAAAACACTGGCACATTCTAGAACAAGATGATAAACTTAATAAAATTATTCCTAACAAGCCGAATATAGTTTTTAGAGGAGCTCCAAATTTCAAATCTATTTTAACCACTAATTTTACTAAAAAAAAACTCAAAATATAAATTCAGCATCTCTCTTTCCACAAGTTAAAGGGTTTTATAAATGCAAGACTTGTATTGTGTGCAAAACTACTGATTCCACACTACCGCCCAAAATTGGCGAATTTACTTCCAGTAGAACTAAAATCACTTATAAAATCAAGGAGTTTATAAGTTGCAATACAAAAAATGTGATCTATTTGCTTGAATTCCCATGTGGCTTCCAGTACGTTGGAATGACCACAAGGTGCTTGAAAACCAGAATAAGCGAACATTGTAGAAATATTAAAAATGGATACATAAATCATTCAGTATCCAAACATTTTTTGAATCATAATAAAGATCCTAAACTATTAAAATGCATAGGAATTAAGAAATGTACCCTACCCTGGAGAGGAGGTGACATTAGAAATATTTTGGGAAAAGTAGAGATGGAATGGGTTTACAAATTGCAGACTCTTGCACCACAAGGTCTAAATGCAGACTTTGATTTATACAACTTTTTATAATTAAATTTTTCTTTTAAATCAATTTAAATAAAAAGTTTTATAACTCTGAACCATTTCAGAGACATTATTTTGATTTACAATTACCTTTATTTCTATACTTATTTTTATTATTATTTATTTCTATATTTATTTATATTTATTTTTATTTCATTTTCATTTATTTTTATTTATATTTATTTTTAATTTTATTAGTTTTATTTTTTATTCTTATTCTTATTTTCATTTTCACTTTTTATCATATTTTTTTATTTTGTTTATTTTGTCTATTTTTTAATCCCATTTTTCAAATCCTAATTCCATCTCTCTTTTCCATTATCAATGTATACTTTTTCGTTTACACTATATTTCATCACACTGTAAGCAATCTGTTTCTCAGCTTTTTGGTTCTCAAGACCATCCATACATATGGCTGTGGAGGTGGGCGATTGGCTGACATTAGCTGTCAGTCAGCCGCCCACGTGCACTGTGACCGGCAAAACTACAGCTTCTAGCTGCCAGTCACATGTTTATTGAGGGTTGTATAACCCTCAAGCAAGCCGTGCGTCGTGTGCCGCCCACTCACCACGCCCCCTTGTTCCGATCACATGATCTTTTTAAAATCATCACATTTTATAAAATACCCTTCGTTTTTAATATGTACATATACTCTAGGACTTAGATATGCCCCACAAAGTATTACATGAGTTTTTATGTCTATTTGTAAAACAAAAAACGTTTTTGAAAATTCTTGTTTTGTAATTGGACTAATTGCTTTAGGCGCCAATTTTGATTACTGTAAGATGTTATATATACCGATTCAATGCCATGTACTCTTTTCTTGCCATTTTTGATAAAGCCAAAGAGGTGAAACGCGTTAAATGGTTTTATATTGTGTATTTTTAACAATAAAAGTTTTATTTGGTATTCCTTTTTATAGGGGCAATCTTATTTTATTGTACATACACTTTCTTTCTATTTATTAATTTTCCTGGCATTTTACTGTATCCTGCTCAAGCAATCCATAGGTGCGGATTAGTCCACCAGAGCTGTACCTATAGAGCAGTATTTTCTGCTCTATCGTTGTGAGTATATTTTATTATTATTTTATCTTTTCGTATTGAGAGCACTATTATTGTCTCCATATATTCTACGGACCACTACGGATACCAAGTTGGACGGACAGATCTACTGCCACCATTTATCCTTTAGCGGGGATTATACCGCTAAGTGCCCTTCATCCAAGAGCTGGTCCAAAGCTCCATCAAATGTGAGTGTATTATCCTTCATTTTTCATTTTATATAAATTTCAAGTAACATACTACACTATTGGAATTTTTTCGTGTTTTTATCTTCACATATATGGACTATTCACAACCCGGACGGATCTACTCCTGAGGATTGTATACACGCTTATTCATATATCAGTGAGACGATTTTATACATTTTACTGGACATTTTAGTATTTGATCTCTACTATTGCATGGACTTTGTTTTATCTATTTTTTATTATTGTATGGATTCTGTTTTATTTAACATATAGTCTATATATTGTGAGATTATCCATTTTATAGCGCAACCCTTCACCCTCTTTTTTTCTTCTTTGCTGTTTTTAAGGGTTTTTGAGGGATTCCCTTTTTAGGGTTGCAGCTTCCGTTTTTTGTTACTTAGCGCAGACTCCTCCTCCTCCTCTTTTCCATATCTAAAAACAGCTTGCAAAACCTGCAGTTTTCTTGTCTGCTGCCTTTTGCCTTTGAAAGCCCTGCCCTTCTTACCCCACCAAGTCTTTCTGTGGTTGTCCAATCACAGACTTCCCAATGCAGCTCAAGTCTTTGAAAGGCAGGTGCTCTGAGCAATTGCCTGACTCCTGAGTTTAGCTCCACTGAGCTAACCAAACCAGGAAGTAACTGTTGTCTGCTTGAAAGCCAGTGGGTTGTAACCAGGTTCATTTATAAAAGTGTCAATTTCTGTTGAAATGTGTGCTTTTTGAATTTTTTTTTAAAAAAGGACATACTTGCTTTCCAGCAAACAAAAGTGCTTTAGGGATCTGAAAGACCGCTTTAAATGCACAAATGAAATGATCCATTTACATGGTATATTTCTCTACTAATAAAAGCAGCACAAGAGGAGCACACTGCTTTGTAAGATCATGAATACAGTGTTTTGGATACATGTGCAGAGAGCATAAATATCTGGATACGTAATGCAATAGTCACTTAACAACATTAGGATGTTTCATTATGTCCTACCAATACTGGACTTAAATGCTCGTTTAGTTGTTATCCTATCATTTTGGTGTGATCAGGGTTTCACTCCCTGCTCACACCATTGAGACCCATGTATCAATCAACAATAGGGGTTGCATTCTGTCAACTGGGGCCATATATCCGTTAAGGTTAGGGAAAGGGTGAGGTAAAAAGGTAAATAGATGTTTAGAGGTAGTGTAAGCATAGGGGTAAGGTTGGTATTATGTAAGAGTTAACTACCAAAAATGTATTTAAATTAGTCATACGACCCACGCATTTAACAATCAAGACTGATATGTGAATCTATTTTTAGTTCTTTTTCTTTACACTGGATGTGTAAGGTTTCCCCCCACTTTTTTACATTTTATTAATACTCAATACTTATAGGGTAGTAAAACAAAGCCCTTCCTGCTCTTTAAAATAACAATATAGATAAATATATAAACGTGGCAGGTAGGCTTACACCTAATCGCCATTTGAGTGAAAAAAAAAATACTATTTATCTAAATATGCATAGGGAGTGGGGGTAGTGTGCAGGAAACTCTTTTCTTTGGTTTTTATTGTATGTATTGGAACTGTGGTCATTGCTGCCACCCAGGAGTAGTGAGAGTCCGAGCACAGCACTTATTTGTGTGTATTTATATATAAATATAAAACACACTGCTCAAATTCTAGGTTTTGTTTTGGTTCAAAGTTTGGACAATCGCCCCTGGTTTTAACTCCTTAACCATGATGGAATGAATCTGTCATGGATTCCCTTCCCTTATGGATCCATGATTAAATAGTTCTAGGTCATGCAGTATTTTAGCAAACGTGAACATTAAACAGAAACACATTCCTGCATTCTAACATTAGATACGTACACAAACATTCACACAAAAGCACTGCACTCACACACAACCCTGCAAAGATGGGCAAATGGGTGGGATATTGTTTTTTCAGAGGAGTTTGCAGAGCAAATTTGGCGGGTTTGATCATAGTGGCACATTCTAGATTGTGTATGCAACAACAACAAAAAACACATTTTATATTATATATAGAATATAAGTGCACTCTGGAGACTGTAGTAGTAAAGCAGAATGCTTTTATTTAGCCACTCATCTTCTTTCCTATAGTATGGCTGGAGTTGACACCGGAGCATCATTAAAGACCGGGAACTAGAGTGCTGAGATTGTGGAAATTTATATATACACCAACAGAGAACGGTGGTGGGGAAAATATTGTGGATGAAAACCCCTTCCACCTGAAGTAAGTGGATAGTTAATACATTGCTAAACACAACGCCTACCCAGAATCCCTTGCAGTAGTGAGAGCACTGTTAAAGTGAGATTTCTGTGGGAAAAGCAAGTCTTATGGCTTGACTGGTGTGTGTATTTGTGTTTAGCAATGTAATATATATAGAAGGCTTGGCCTGTAATTGTGGGAGGCACTTGGATCCCTATTTAAACCCAGTAAGCCCCTGCTTACCCGTCGTCAACGTTCTCGGAAGTGCTTCGATTTACTTCCAGTTCACGTGTTCCCGACGTCATTCTCCACCCGCCGGCAGTGCATTGGGTCTTCTTTCCGGGTTAATCCAGATTCAGTGTTCACTGCAAGGTCCGGCCACTGTCGGGTGCCTGGCTGCTCCACGAGGCTGTCTCCCCGAGTAAACCATGAGTTGTCAGTACGGGATCTTCAAACACGCCATAGTACTATTAACTGTGGAACCCCTTCGACTCTCCGGGGTCCCCAGCTACGTACTAGCAGATTTGCCCCCCTCCCCCCCCACGAACTCGCAGGGTACACGGCGTGTAAAGGGACCCCCTTTAATAATTACCACGTACCAGCTTCGTTTAGCTGAACTGATGGTTATGTAGAGCAACCCCTCTACTTATGTGCGGGTCTTTCGTGGCCATCTCCCTATTTCATGCTGTATTCGGCTAATTCATTCATAGCACGGCTATTTCCATTTAAGCTTGTTTCAGCTTTTTCGTATGCCGGGTAGTCAGTTTGTTTAGCTAATATCGCCACCTTGTGGTTTCACAATGTTGATTGGTAACTTTCTTTTAATGTATGGCAAACTTTAGTTTATCTGCATATGTATTTTATTTCCTCTGTACCTTCATTTAGGGTATATTAATGTCATTTATTAACAACTCAGTCAATCACTCAGTTGAAGCAGCAGTGGTTAATTCCGGTCAAATCAACGTTGGAATAAATCGTTCATTATTATGGTCAGTTAAAGGTCATTACTAAAGTATTTCTCCTTAAAGCTTATTTGCGTACTTTACTTTGTTTATTAGTATGTTATACGAGTTATTACTATGCATATCTTGGGCATTGCTTATTGCTAACTACGCTATACAGTATCATTTAGATGACGTTATATATACACGTTTATATGTTGTTTCTCCCTTCTGTTAAGATAATACTATTACTGACTCTGCTTACAAACGGGCCTTACTGGTTAAACGCAACTGCAGCAGTTTAAAACTTCTGGTTATCACCCTACCAAATCATCTTAACATTTTCTACTTTTACGGTTAGTATCTACCCTTTTGCTTGGCGGGGCAATTTCTATGGTTTCACCTGGAGGTTAGTTTGTAACTTAAATTTGTGACATATTTTAGGTTCAAGTAAGGATTATTCTTTCCACTTCAGTATACGTCATACAAGACAATCTTCATGTACGTTACCAATTAAACCCAGGCAGCGTTAAGAGTAAGTTTAAGCTCTCATCAAATTAGGTATGATCCCATAGGCCTCTTCGCCTATAAGTCAAGTGGTCCCGCAAGGCATACTATCAACCCTTCCGTTCAGAGGTTCGTGCCCAATCGTCCCAAAGCATAGTTATAGCCTTGCATCAAGTCATAGTTAGGGCTTCACCCGTCACAGCCAATCGATATTTCTTTCTTTTACGTGTCACCGAGAGGCCAACACCGCGCCACCCACCTCAGTGGAACAAAGGCCCCACAAGCCAAATCATAGGTAGTGCCTCTTATAGCCACTTGGCAAGTGATCAGGGCATCACCTGTCACCAACATAAGCTAGTTAATACAATTTCGCCTGTAGGCACTACTCTAGTAAGCTGGCTCACTACTGAACTATACGGCACCATACTAACCTTATCCATCTGCCTCACTTTCTTAGCATGTCCAACGCTTCTATACAAGGAGATAATCTGTCGGTTACCAGCACCCCACTCACATAAGGCTCACAGAGGAGGCAACCCATTCCTCCAAGTCCAGCTTCCAGCTATCGTTCCTTGTCTACCCCTAAACTCACCGCGGAACTCAAAAAGAGGAATATCCCTTTCCCGGCTACAGCTATTTAGCTTGTTAAACTCTACTGAGGACGACGAAAGGCCTGGCCCTAGTTCAGAGTTTAATGTGCAAAATAGCCTGGCTGAGTTGCACGTCATGATGGCCTCCCTTGTTTCTTCAGTAGCAACTATTAATAATAGGTTGGATAATCTGGAGTCAAATAATATTCCACCCGATCCTGATGTTCCAGTGCCCGTTGCTCAGTCCGCGCCTAACCCTGGAGGTAACATTAATCCTCTCCCAGCTAAAAAAACTACCAATATCATAAATCCTATTCACCTCATTCCTCAGAATCTGAGACATGACATAATAGAGGAGAAGGACATTAACTTGGCTTGACTACTGATAGCATCTCAAAACGTTGTCGAGAACAGGGCGTATACGTTTGATGATCTGTCAGTAGTTATGAAGTCTAGAGACCCTAGACTAAATAGGAAACTCAAAATCCCTGAATTTGTCCTGGCATTCGGTCTGTACAGAGACGTGATTTGTAAGGCTTTTCCCTTCTGTAGAGAAGAGCTTGACTTACAACTTCACAAAGTTATTGAGTTAGCATATAAGTACGGGGGTTATGCTTTTTACGATTATCATAAGTTATTCGCATCCAGATCTGCAGCAACACTGTCTCAATAAAATACTATTACAGACTAGGGACAGTTAGACACTGAACTGTTTCTCATGCATTTTGCAGGTCTCAAAACTCCATCCTGCACCATATGCTCATCAGCTGCTCATTAGGTCAATTTCTGTCCTGAAAATGTAGCAATCCCTTCTACCAGTAGCGCCAGCGCTGATTATCAGTCCACTACTACCCAAAGGGAAGTGAGAGACAAGTTAGGAAGGACAATTGTTTTCCTGGGTAAAGCTCAAGTCTGCAATAATTTCAATGCCAGGGGTTGTAGTGCTTGTAGGCTTCTTCACGTGTGCTCACTTTGTTTCAGAGCACACGTCAAAACGATGTGCCCCAACAGGTTGTACCCTAAAAAAATCTGCCACTCCATTAAACGTAACTAATTTGCAACGCTACCCGTCTAATCATCCTTCTTTACATCTGGTGGAATTTCTCACGGCTGGTTTCACTAATGGGTTTCACACAGGGTTCGTGTCACTCCCCACAGGTATCTTGGAATGCTCCAACCTACAGTCAGCACTCACAGATCCAGACACCATACAAGAACTCCTACAGAAAGAAGTCACCAATGGTTTCATGATACGCCCTTTCACAACACCACCTTTCACATCCTGGAGGACAAACCCCTTAGGTATCGCCACAGGGAAATTTAACAATAAAAAGAGACTGATTATTGACTTTTCTGCACCTCACCCTTCCTCTACACCTAGCCTAAATGCACTGATCCCTTCAGAAGACTTTTCCCTTCAGTACGCCAGAATTGGCGATGCCATACAAGCAATCATTCATTCAGGGGAAAGCGGCCTGGTTGAGTAAATCTGACATTACTAACGCCTTTAAATTACTTCCCATTCATCAGTCACTCTGGCATATGCATGGAGTTAAGTGGCAGGACAGCTACTATTTCGCTACCAGACTAACCTTCGGCTCCAAAAGTAGCCCCAAGTTATTCGACATATTCGCCGAAACTTTAACCTGGCTCCTACTGAACTTTTGCAGATGTCCAGTAGTCATACACGACGACTTCCTCACCATCGAGCCACACCACTGCACACCACAAAGCCTTGATCACATGCTCACTCTGTTCAAAGATTTAGGAGTCCCGGTAGCACAGGACAAAACAGAAGGTCCCAACACAGAGATTACTTTCCTAGGGATTACGTTCAATTCTGTCTCTATGCAGGCCAGCATGCCCCAAGAGAAAGTAGACCGAATTCTTTCTTACATAAACATCAGCACGTCACAAGGCACTTGCACCAGGAAACAGCTACAGTCACTACTCGGTTCACTCAATTTTGCATTGAGGATAATTCCACAGGGCATGTCTTTCATTTCCAGAATCCTCTCTCTATTGCACGGTCTCCCTGACCACGACTCCACCACTTCCATAGACGAGTCAGCTAGAGCTGATCTAAATATGTGGCAGCTGTTCCTGTCCTCTTGGAATGGCAGGTCGCTATTTGTTCCCCCCATTTCTGACGATTCCCCGGTAGTTTGGACTGACGCATCAGGTGCCATAGGTTATGCAGCTATTTTTGGTAATGTATGGCTATACTCTTGGCCAGTTGAGACCACCTCGCTGGATAATTTCAATACCACATCAGCACTGTTTGAAATTTACCCTATCGTAGCAGCTGCACACACTTGGGGTAAAGAGTGGAGTGGACAGTCAGTCACATGCTTTTCTGATAACTTAGCAACATGTAATATCGTTAACAAAGGCCGCTCTCAGTCCCTCACGATTATGAACTTGATTAGGAGACTGACCTGGCTAGCGGCTAAGCTTCAATTCTGCATAACCTGTATTCAGGTTCCAGGTGTTCGAAATACCGCTGCTGATTCTCTCTCACGATTTAATTTGCAGGAATTTTTCAGGCATCATCCGTCTGCAAACTCGCAACCCAGGGAACCTCCGAGCTTCACAAACCTAATTATGTGCTAAGTTCTCTCTTGCACCATAGTAGGTCACTCACTCAGGCAGGCTTATCCCTTAATACGAGGAAAGCTTATTCCAGAGCATACGAATTGTTTAAAATATTTGTTTGCGATTATTATATAATAAATGTTTTTTCCACTGAAACTATGGTTGCATTTATTACTTTTTGCCACATTTCTCTTAATTTAACTTACAACACTATCAAACTCTACTTAACGGGTATACAACACTACATGTTAACCAGCTATCCCAACAAAACTCCATTCCTAGCATCCTACCCAGTTAAAAGTGTCCTCAAAGGTGTCCAGAGACTAACAGTACACAATCCCACTAAGAGACTTCCCATAGACAGTACTCGACACGTCACCCTTTTGAACAAATCACAAACCTAATTATCAAGTCCGTGGCTTACTTAGCGTTCTATGATTTCTTGAGACCCAAAGAATTTTCTGTGGAGAAACATCCGACTCTAAGTCCTGCCTCCAGAAGAAACACCTAATTAAAAAACAGGACTACTACATCTTATCTATTACTCATACCAAAACGAGCCAAACAGGTCCACCGGTAGAAATTAAATATTATCCTACCTCTACCAAATGGTGTCCTGTCCAAGTATTGGATAAACTAGTGGAATCCCAAATCACCTCCAACCCAGATTGTCCACTATTAGCTATTCAAGGGAAACCCCTAACCCCCACTAAACATTTTATGCTCTACATTCGTATGTTATTACTCCGGCTAGGACATAACCCACACGCCTTCTTGTGCCATTCATTCCGCATTGGAGCAACCACAGCTGCCTCAGGTAATCACGTAGTAACTCACATCATTAAAAATATGGGGCGGTGGAAATCATACAACAGATACATCCCCAATCCTGAGAAAGAAATAAGAATGGCTTTCTGTGAAATGTCTAAATAACGTATTGCTTAATAAACGTATCTGACTTTGAGAATCGCTTCTTATATATTTTTGCCCTCTCTTACAGGTCTAACCTCACGTCAGTTTCGGCACACCTCAACTGACTTTGCTCTTACTAATACGGCTTCTTTTATTATGGTTTCCTTGCGTCCTCGAAATGTGCCATACACAAATAGAAGGCTTGGCCTGTAATTGTGGGAGGCACTTGGATCCCTATTTAAACCCAGTAAGCCCCTGCTTACCTGTCGTCAACGTTCTCAGAAGTGCCCCTCCCACCGCACCCTCAGCTTATTATCATTTCACCTAGGTGGGCCCTCTTTTACAGGTCTAACCTCATGTCAGTTTCAGCACACCTCAACTGGCTTTGCTCTTACTAATACTGCTTCTTTTATTATTGTTTCCTTACGTCCTCGAAATGTGCCGTACACAAATATAAATATATATATATACATATATACATATATACACACACACACACACACACACACACACACACATACATACATACATATGTATATATGTCTCTAAGGAATACAATGCTTAAAATGGAATTAGCCAAAAATGTGATTCTTTGTTAAACTGACTTGCATGTGCCCACTCAGAATCCTTTGCGGTGGTAGCATCGCTGCAGGTTTGTGATTTACGTGGGAAAAGCAAGTCTTATGGTGTGCAGATTTTTGTTTAACACTGTATTAACGCGATATATATATATATTTACCATAAACTGGTCAAAAAATGATGGCATGAGAAAGAGATATTCGAAACATCAAAACTTAATGAAGCAGTTTTGGTGTATAGATCATGCTCCTGATGTCCTACTGCTCCATTTCCTGCCATTTAGGAGTTAAATCACTTTTGTTTCTGCAGCCCTAGTCACACCTCCCCTGGCCATGACTCACACAAGCCTACATGAAAAAATTGATTCATTTTCAATCAGTCAGAACACAGTGTGTGTACTTTAGAAGTTTTTTTTTTTTTTGTCTCTTGCTCTGTTAATTGAATTTTTTCACACACAAGAAGCTCCTGCACTTTCTAGTAGGCAATTAACAGAGCAGAAGATTAGAAATTCTAACTTAAACACACTGTGCAATAAAGGAAGTTTAAACTTAGATCTCTCTTTACAGAGAATGTGCAGGTCAATAAGATAGGGCTGCAAAAACAAAAAAAGATGTAATTTCTGAAACAGGGTCTACAAGTACTGGGGGAGAAGGTACAACACCTACACTCCACACAAGCAGCCCTGTCCAGACAAGTCAACCTACTGGATGACAGGGGGAAACGCAAACATTTCAAAATCAGAGCGATGCAGGAATCTGTGCCGCTGAAAGAATTACTATACTTCATCAGGTGCCTAGTGGCTGCACTACTACCAACAAGACAAGCCAAAACTTTCCTATTTGATGGAGTTTACAGAATAGCTAAATCCCCGCAAGCACCTAACGCAGCTCCGCGATACATCATATTGCGGTGCCAATCGATGTCAGACAAATTGGGGCTCCTGGCAGCGCTACAAGGGAAGACTCCTTTCGAGTTCGAGGAATGCTGACTCTCCTTTTTTCAGAACTTAAGCAGGGCCACACTAATCTGACAAAAAAAAAAAAAAAAAGCATCCACTCACTAAACCTCTCCAAGCAGCAGGCATTGCCTACAGGTGGTCGACCCCAGGGACCCTCTGGGTTACCAAAGACGGCAAGCACTACAAGGCCACAGACCCCAGAGAGGGCCCAGAACTAATGGCGGCACTGGGACTTCCTGACCTAGAGACTACCTCGACGACGCAATCAGACCACCAACCTCGGAACACGGATACAGCACTGGTCGGCGCACCCAGAACGCACAGAAGCACCAAGACCTGACGCACACGGCCTACACTAAGTTCACTTGTCTATTTTGTTATGTAAACGTTTGTTTGATTATCTACTTTTAGTTAATTCCTATGTTGCAACAACCAAGTAACAGTCCACAAGCCGAGAAAATGGCCTATTGGGGTTACAGCACCCAGCTCCAGTGAAACCCTCTCCCCTCCCTGCGTCCCTGGCGTAACAGGGTACTAACAGCAAAGGATCTCCATAACCTAGATAGACGTCGAGCTTTCAGTCATATCTGCCACCACTAGAACTATGCCCTAACTGGTCGACCTTCTCACACTCCCACAGCTCCCATCCACCTAGACGTACACTAGACATGGTTACGCAACCACTTTGCGACTACACGTAGCCGTCACCACTACTACACACGAGCCCAAGGCCCACAGTGCACAATCATTACAGGCGACATCCAAACAGCTATAGATGGGTACCAACACAGGTGCAGGCCACACTTACGCAAGTGGCACCTCAGTGGAACGCCACAACGCACCACGAGCCATACACAGCCCATGTCCTGGGCCCCATGGGGCGCGCCATAAACCATTAGCCTTAAGAGAAAAGACTGGGGCTCGACTCCCATAGCCAGAAGTTATAACATGTACCACACGCCACCCTACTTGTTCATGTCCTCGTTACAACATACCAGTCCAATATAATCAAAAATGTGTGCGAACTGTACCTCAACCATACCGTTTATTTACTGTGAATTGTTTTCAAATTGTGTGTATATGCTGTTGTGGTACTACACGTATAACTGTCTTTTCATCACATGAAAAATAAAGAATTAAAAATAAAATAAAAATTAAAGCCCCTTTTGTTCTTTAAAAAAACTAAATATGTGTTGGTGCAATAAGTGAGAAATAAGGAAATTGCATGTGAGCATACAAAGCAAAAATTGCTTGTGCCTTTAAGTACAAAACAAACCATCTGAAGTTACTTCCCTAAAGGGTTAAGCTGCAATTGCTAAAAAAACAAAAAAACAAACAATTTTTTCATGTTTACAAATGTCAGCAATTTAATAACAAGATCAGTAGATCATAAATGTAATAAAAAGGGCTAGATGTCTTACCTTTAGAATGTCTGACTCATAGTTGTTATTGTTTAACACAGAATCCAAACATTTTTCTCCAAGATTTAATTCTGTGGAAGAAAAGTGAACAGCCCAAATGTGTTAGAACAACAACACACAGCAAAATGTTTAACCTGCAAATAGCAAATCAGATTATAAAATGATGATATTGGACTATGCTATTTCAGGTAATGTAAAATGGGATGCTCCTGTTAACTGCTGCAACTTTGTCACTTTTACAGCACTGCCCAGAGTGAGAGAATGAAAGCAGAAAGAAACTCACTTGAAAATGCACGTAAGGCATGTTCTAGTGATGCTTATGTTTCCTGGGACTCTCAAAGTTTTCCAGTGCCACATTACTCTAATGGCTATCACATGAGTCAGAATTCTTGGGTGCAGGGAGACAGCAGGTCATTGCCATGATGCCTCACTCGTGAGTCATCCTGCCTACTCTGGCTAAAGCACAAGTGGCACGGCCCATGGGTGTGGGTTTTTAAAGAACTGTTATACAGAGTATGTCTACTGTCACAAAGTCACTATAACAGCAAAAGAAGGGAAAAAAACAAAAAAAACAAAGGACACATCAGTGCTGCAATACTGATTCAGAGAAAACACTTTTTTCATTTGACTTTTCCTGTTAGTATGGATTGATGACATTAAATGTTGGTAAATAAACAGAACAGGATGCAATGCAACAACAGCCAAGAAAAACAAAAATCAAAAACACACACGACCATGTAAAAAAACCAAAAAACATACAAAAAAAGCAGTTACAGTTAAAACACCAGCACCTTACCACAGAATGGAGCAAGGCAGCCGAAACAGCCCATCCTGCTACATCCCCAGTACATGTGACAGAAAGACTGCAAACACACAGAGCCTGTGGAATGATGGAAATAAACTTTAGGATAATGTGTCAAAGGAAATCAATGGTAACAAGTGGTAAAAACAAAATATGACAGCAAATACCTTTCACAAACTCAGAGTCAGATAACAAGAATAGAAAGCTAAGACCCCAGAGAAAGTTTAATTACTTGGTTTAAATTAAAAATACATATAAACATTATAATATTCACGAGATATTTCAATAGGCAGATCATGATATAAAATCCAGTAGTTTTCACATGCATTAAAAGCTGTAATCTCAAGGCAGCATCAGGACATACACACAACCCTAAAATAGCAAAGCCGTTAATAACAAATAAATAAAACCAGCAAAAAAAAAACAAAAAAAAAAACAAAGTTAAAGCTGAACGGGAAATACTGCCATCAGGTTCAAGAGACATTCACAAACAACTCTACTTGTTTGTGGTTTACTATGGCATTTGCAGATCCTCTCAACGGCACATATTAAAAACTGTTATAAAGTCAAAATTTTGTTCCAAATCTAAAGTTAAAAGTTAACTTTTTGTTGTAGTAGTTTAACTGATTTATTGACATGAAGTATTGAGGAAAGCAAATGCAAACAACTTTGCAACAAAATCTGACAGGTCTTTTTTTTTTGTTTTTTTAATGTCAATTTTCTTTTATTGATCACAACAATATGACAGTTAGACAAGGTTATGCAATCACACTTCTTATGTGGGTTGAGCCACAATGAACGGTTGTAAGTCATTAATACACAAATAGGTAAGCCGTGTGAGGTGTTACTCCCTGTTATATTTAATCACATTAAACTCCTAAAGATGCTGTGGGGCCAGGCTTTCTTACTGTGACAGTATAAAATCTGTAATCATTACCTCTTTTTAAAATTATATAAAACAAGCAAATTAAAGTGAGGAGAGAATCCACTTAAGAAAATAACTATTAACGTGGGCTGGTTACATAGTTTAGCGCTGGAAGGTCTTTTACATCACACTGCTCTTGCACGCAAGACATATAGGAGTCCATTTGTCATTTCCTTTAATGCCCATAAAGAAACAATACTATTAACCTGGTGTGGTGGAGCCTCTCCATCTCTCTCCCAGTGGTCTGTTATCTTGGAGGAATTTGAAAGCATACCTGTCGTGACGCAGGCGTTAACAGCACTATATTAAGCGCTGCTTCTCCTGGATACATTATTTGCCCTCCCAAGGCACAGGCTCTTCTCTACTAGGTAAAGGAGGCCAGGTTGGCGCAGTCAGGTTCATTTTAAGACAGGCCCCAAATCATATTTCAATTGGTGGATGATTCTCCTGCTTCATCCCTGAGACACGGCACTAAAATTTTAAAGGGACACTATAGGCCCCCAGGCCACTTTAGCTAACTGAAGTGGTCTGGGTCACTGTTTCAATTAGTCATTGCAGTTTTAGAGAAACTGCAATTATTACCTTGCAGGACTAAGAATGCCTCTACTGGCTGTCAATAAGACAATCAGGTAAGATTCATCTGTAGGAAAAGGTTACTGATTGCACAAGGTTTGAATTCCTGTTGGTAATTATAAGGCATTTGATTAGATTACTTGCTATTGATTGCTGTTTAAATTAGCTATTGTTTGCAAATAAGCAGAGGCCTACCCAGATGTTAAACATTCCTAGTGGGTGGTGATTTTAGGAGTTATATAAGGCTTGTTGCCATTAGCTTGGCTAATATAGCTTAGTTGCTACTTCTAAGTGCTGTTTCTAAGTGTGTAATTGGAGATATTCTGGAGAGTGCTGTTTCTAAGTGTGTAATTGGAGATATTCTGGAGATAAACTGGAGGTAATCTGAGGTATTCAGGAGGATAAATACAAAGTTAAGATTTGTTTGATTTAAATTATTCTCCTAATTGGAATGGCAGACTTAGTTCAGTCTAATAGTTGCTATGCATTTGTTTCACGTTCCACTTTTTGGAGGTTTGGTTGTTGTCTAATCTGTAGACAGTTCTCTATCTTGCGGCAGGAGATTGTATTTTTGAAGTCTGAGATTTGTAAATTATCTGGTGAACAAACTCAGACTGGAACTGCTGCAAGCCACTGCCGCGAAGACATAGGAATGGCAGATGGATTACTGTAGGATCTGGTAGAGTTGTGGATAAAAGGCATTTTGCAAAGTCTGTTGCTCTTCATAATTCATTTTCTGCACTTTCAGAGTGTAATGGTGTTGTGGAGAGAGGCACTGAGGCTAGTGGTGTTGTGGAGAGAGGCACTGAGGCTAGTGGTGTTGTGGAGAGAGGCACTGAGGCTAGTGGTGTAGTGGAGAGAGGCACTGAGGCTAGTGGTGTTGTGGAGAGAGGCACTGAGGCTAGTGGTGTTGTGGAGACCGGCTTGGAGACTATGGTGAGGCCTAATAGAAAGCAGTTGTTGTTGGGGGATTCCATCATAAGAGGTGTGGAGATGGACAATGGTGGTCTTGTGAGGTGTCTTCCCGGAGCTACTGCTCACAGAGACAGGAGACGTATCTGTAATATTGTTAAGCAAGCAAAGCAGGAAGGGGAATTGGATGTACTTGTCCATCTAGGGACAAATGACTTGGCTTGCAATGAGGTTTCAGAGGTTAAGGAAGTTTTTAGTGTTTTTGCCAATGATATACGGCAGGTTGCTTCCACACTGTCATTATCTGAAGTTCTGCCTGTGCATAACACTCAGAACGACAGGCGGATGCGTATTAGGGACTTTAATTTGTGCCTTGGTGAATGGTGTCAGGAGCAAAGATTTGGCTTTATTTTTCATGGTAGCTCTGTTTGGAATGGAGATAAGCTGTACAAAAAAGATGGTTTGCATCTTTCTCAATAGGGAACAAATTTTCTCAGTGAGCAGTTCAGAGATTTTGCTAGGATGTATTTAAACTAGGAGGGGGGGGCAAAAGGGTGATAAAACATCAATCCAATTGTCCCCCAAAACAAGGACAGAAGGTGCCTGTAGCAAGTGTGTTAAAAAATGATAAGCTTAGAGTCATGTCTACAAATGCTCGCAGTTTAGGGAATAAGATCCATGAACTTGTGGCAATAATGGCAACTGATAGTGTAGATTTAGTCGCTGTTACTGAGACATGGTATAATGAGAAAAATGACTGGCACATAGCAATACCAGGTTACTCTTTATATAGGAAAGATAGGTAAGGCAAGAAAGGGAGAGGGGTGGCCTTGTATGTGAAGGATAGCATAAAATCTAGCCTAATAAAAGTTAGTGAGGCAAACATAGAGCCTGTTTGGGCTACGTTAGAATTTGGTAATCACACAGTAACTCGTTTAGCTTTGATTTATAGGCCCCCAGGACAAATTGAAGAGTTAGATAATCTACTAGTTGAGGAAACAGCTAAAATGACAATGAAGGTGGAAGTTATCATCATGGGTGACTTTAATCTTCCTGATGTAAATTGGAAAACAAAATTAGCTACTTGTGCCAGGAGAACACATATTCTAAACTCCCTACTGGGATTGTCTCTAAAACAAGTTGTTGGGGAGCCAACTCGTAAAGAGGCCATACTAGATTTAGTGTTAACAAATGGAGATTTGGTATCAGATATTACTGTAGGTGAAAGTTTAGGATCCAGTGATCATCAGTCAGTGTGGTTTAATATAAGAACTGTGACTGAGTCACACCACACAAAAACAAAAGTTTTAGACTTTAGAAAAGCAGACTTTTCTAAAATTAGAATATGGGTAGATGAGTCATTATCAGACTGGAGCAATTTAAATGGAGTCCAAGAGACATGGGATTATTTAAAAGTTGCACTATTGAAGGCAACAGAAAATTGCATTAGGCTTACCAGTAAAAGCAAAAAATTCAAGAAACCACTGTGGTACTCCACAGTTGTGGCCAAAATAGTTAAACAAAAAGTTAGCATTTAGGAATTATAAAAAAAACAGAGTGAGGAAGACAAAATGATCTATAAGATTAGGCAGAAAGAGGCTAAGCAAGTTATAAGAGCTTCCAAATCACACACAGAAGAGAAAATAGCACAGTCAGTAAAAAAGGGGGATAAAACATTTTTTAGATACATAAATGAGAAAAGAAAAGTAAAACAAGGATTAGTTAGATTAAAAACAAAAGAAGGAAGGTATGTAGAAGAGGATAAAGGTCTAGCTGACTGCCTCAATGAATATTTTTGTTCTGTATTTACAGATGAAAATGAAGGAAAGGGACCTCAGTTGAGAAAAAGGATAAAGGAGTCATTTATTACACGTGAGTTTACAGAGGAAGAGGTTCTATGTCAACTGTCAAAAGTAAAGACAAATAAGTCAATGGGACATGATGGAATACACCCAAAGCTATTAAAAGAGCTTAGTGGTGTACTAGCAAAACCATTAACAGATTTATTTAACCAATCATTGTTAACAGGAGTAGTCCCAGAAGATTGCAAGTTAGCGAATGTTGTGCCCATTTACAAGAAAGGTAATAGGGAGGAGTTGGGCAACTATAGGCCAGTAAGCCTTACTTCAGTAGTGGGGAAAGTGATGGAAACCATGTTAAAGGATAGGATTGATGAACACATGGATTTCAAGATCAGAGACAACATGGGTTTACTTCAGGGAGATCATGCAAACTAATCTTATTGATTTTTTTGATTGGGTAACTAAAATTATAGATCAGGGTGGTGCAGTAGACATTGCTTACCTAGATTTCAGTAAGGCTTTTGACACTGTTGCACATAGAAGGCTTATCAATAAACTGCAATCTTTAAGTTTGGATTCCAATATTGTTGACTGGGTAAGGCAGTGGCTGAGAGACAGGCAACAGAGGGTTGTAGTTAATGGAATATATTCGAAGCTTGGACTTGTCACCAGTGGGGTACCTCAGGGATCTGTACTTGGACCCATTCTCTTTAATATTTTTATTAGTGATATTGCAGAAGGTCTTGATGGTAAGGTATGTCTTTTTGCTGATGATACTAAGATATGTAACAGGGTTGATGTTCCAGGAGGGATAAGCAAAATGACAAATGATTTAGGTAAACTAAAAAAATGGTCAGAATTGTGGCAACTGACATTTAATGTGGATAAGTGAAAGATAATGCATCTTGGACGTAAAAACCCAAGGGCAGAGTACAGAATATTTGATAGAGTCCTAACCTCAACATATGAGGAAAGGGATTTAGGGGTGATTATTTCTGATGACTTAAAGGTAGGCAGACAATGTAATAGAGCAGCAGGAAATGCTAGCAGAATGCTTGGTTGTATAGGGAGAGGTATTAGCAGTAGAAAGAGGGAAGTGCTCATGCCATTGTACAGAACACTGGTGAGACCTCACTTGGAGTATTGTACACAGTACTGGAGACCGTATCTTCAGAAGGATATTGATACCTTAGAGAGGTTCAGAGAAGGGCTACTAAACTGGTTCATGGATTGCGGGATAAAACTTACCAGGAAAGGTTAAAGGATCTTAACATGTATAGCTTGGAGGAAAGACGAGACAGGGGGGATATGATAGAAACAATTAAATATATAAAGGGAATCAACACAGTAAAGGAGGAGACTATATTTAAAAGAAGAAAAACTACCACAACAAGAGGACATAGTCTTAAATTAGAGGGACACAGGTTTAAAAATAATATCAGGAAGTATTACTTTACTGAGAGGGTAGTGGATGCATGGAATAGCCTTTCAGCTGGAGTGGTAGAGGTTAACACAGTAAAGGAGTTTAAGCATGTGTGGGATAGGCATAAGGCTATCCTAACTATAAGATAAGGCTAATTGGGCAGACTAGATGGGCCGAATGGTTCTTATCTGCCGTCACATTCTATGTTTCTAACCAATAGAAGCACTTCCTGGATCCTAACAGACTTTTGGTTGCTTAATGCTGGACGTCTTCACGCTCTACATGAGGACATCCAGCGTCAGAGAAACCACAATAGGAGAGCATTCAAGCATTGTTTTCCTATGGGGAAGGCCTAATGTGATCGCAAAGATCGCCGTGCATGCGCATTAGGTCCTCCCATTGGATGGCACTTGAAGAAGCTGATCGCTGACCCAGAGGGTAAGGGAGATCGGCACTGGAATCGGAAAAGTTAAATAAAGAGTTGTTTTTTTGTAACTTTTTATGTCCCATGGATAGGGGTGGGGGGCAGAGGGCACTATAGTATGTAGAATTTGGGGAATTTGCTTTCTTATTCAGAAGTGACTGTTACTTCTAACTAATTATTGTTATCACACTTTTCTAACTGTATGAAGCAAAGACTACTTTGTAATCAAGAAATGTCAATGCTGCATTTTTTTATGTAGTCTGACACAGAATTATACGTAAATATATAGTGAAAGTATATGTATTAATCTCTAGGTTTAAAAATTTATCAGAAAGTAAATTCTTACACTGTTGGGGTGCTACGTGAGGGTTCTGGTCACGCTCTGCCCTTCGGTCTGGCATTGGCTGGAAGCAACAGGTGCAGATAACATGGGTTCCTCGGGAACTACATACATATTCTTGAGTAGCTGAAAAAATTGAACAAAAAGTACGTGAATTAATATGCTTTTTGTGAGGCAAGGAACCACTGAAAGGGTTAAAAAAAACCAAAAAACTAATAAATTAAGAAAGTTTACTTATGAACTGAGGCTATTTGCACCTTAAGAAACAAAGAAGGAAAATTACACCACTGCAAAAATAGCTAATTTTTCTCTATTATATTGTCTAAAAGAATGGCAGAACAATTACATACTGTAATTATACATGAACTCATAATATAAATACACACACTAATATTTAATATATTAAATAACTATGCACACACCTGAGTATACATGTATTTGTGTCAAAACACACACACACACGTACGTCCATTCTCCTCCCCAGTTACCCACCTTAGCATTCTTCCATGTCTCTTTCCTTAGAGACTCATTAGCTCATTTTACTCTCCGTGCTTGATATTCTCCCCATTTCACTTTCTTAATGCCATGTCAGACCACTTTCTATTAGCACCTTTCTAACCCTTACTCCCAATTTAGCATGCTCCCCAAGACCCAATTCCGGCCCCCTACTTCATGTTCTCTTTCACCAGTGTCCCTTAGAACCATCCCTTGTATCTCAGAGGACAATTAGTGCCCTTAAACGGGACAGGATGCACACTACCCTTTAAAATTGCAGGCGTGTGGCACAAATATGCAGGAAGAAAGGCTGCCACAGTGTGTCAGCCAAAGTCCCGCCAACTCCCTGACAGTTCTAGCAAACACTGTTGGCAGTCAGCTCACTGCATCATTCCTGCGTTGCAGTGAGGCTGACAGGAGCCAAAGAGAACTGTGTAACTTCTCTACCTGCTGGGTAAGGGAATCCAAGAAAGTAGACTTGTTCTTCAACTGTTACAGATTTCTGCACAGTGCAAAGGAGCAGTTTGCTTCTCAGGCTCTCTACAGTATATTACTAAGGAGCACCATTACAGAAAGAGGTCAAGTGGGTAGGAGAATGGGATAATATGCAAATATCACAGATATAGATGTTGCACAGAACTTATGATGGTCTGCAGCAATCTCTACAAAAGGGACCAAACACCAACATCCCCTTTGCTGCGTCCCCTTACTAAATAGCTATCGCCTCCCTATTTTTAGGATTCCTAGTCATGATGGGGCTTTGTGTAGGCACTGCGTGCAGGAACCTGTTGCTTCTATTCTGGGATGGAGAGTGGGGCCATGTTAGGGCAATGTGGGATCCAATGAGGGCCAGTGAGAGTGAGTTGGAGGCAAATAGTGCCAGGGGTGGTATAGTGTGGGAACAAAGAATACAAAAGATCAAATTTTGGAAGGAAGGTTCCAAAAATACAGTTGATTGCTTAGTGAATTCTTATGGGGTACATCACAACACTTGCTTGTCACATGTAGTGCACAAATGACATAGATGGAATCTGGGACTGAAATTCACACAACAGGTGGCAAAGGACCTGGAGTTCAAAATCTTGCTACTAGCCAGGCGTAAAGTTTACTCTCCACTGCAGCATGTCAGTTTTAGTTTTTTTTAATCCCAGAATGTCTATGTCAATCAAGGTAACTACCCCCTACCCCTGCTGTTATTCTCTCTCTGATAGGCAATGTTTTAAGCACTCTCCCACCATATCAGACAATACTCTATTTCTCTCTACCTTACTAGTGTCACAAAAAGAACTCTCACTACTGGACCACTTGCACACAACACACACCGAGCACAAACCAGATTTGAACAACACTGCAATGAACAGTCCATAAAGAAAAAGCTCATCTCTGTGATGTACAACATGATCTCAACCACCCAACCCCACAACCCACTGGCCTTCACCACATCCTGGGAAAAAGAACTCAACCTGGCCTTTACTCCAGACACATGGCATTTCATATTTAGACAAATACATAACTCTTCGCGCAACACACTAACACAAACGGATTGTGCGGTGGCATTACACCCCTTCCAAATTAAAATCACTCTTCCCACCACTACCAAACCAGTGCTGGAGGTGCCACAATACTGAAGGTAGCTCAGCACACATATGGTGGACATGCCCAACAATACACAAGTATTGGAAACACATACAATGTCTGATTCAAACAATACTATCCATACACATCCCGCTCACACCAGACATGTTCATCTTCCTCATACCACCTTAAACAATACCCAAACCAAAAACGACCCTACTACTCCACATGATCTCAGCCGCAAACCAACTCATCCCCATATATTGGAAACAACCAAATCCCCCATCCATACGGGAATGGATACGAAGGGTTGAGACTATCAGAGGTCTCGAAGAGACCAGCCACTCTATAACAGATAAATACCACCTATACACCGCCACCTGGGAACCTTGGAAGGCATACCTCAAAAACCACCCTACATAACCCACTGAAACCGGACACACAGGATTACCACTGTTCGCCCCTAACCCCCCACCTCCCACCACTATGGTAAATGTATACAATGTAGACCAAATGTAACAGTTATTCGAGAGCGATGCGCTGCCTATGTCACTGTGGAGTTAGCATAGCAGGTGTGGAACTAGAGCAAGAGAAAGCTCCTCAAGGAACCTTATGTAATATGCCCTCTAAAGGTTAACATAGTAATGCTGAGTTATAAAGCACAGGATGGCTACAAATCATGGGTGTTACAGTTAGACAGTAGCATTAAAGCTCTAGGCTGACTACCTCAGAATGATAATTGTTTATTCATAAAATAAAACTGCAACTGGAGAGTCGACATAATGTGCATTATTACAATAATTTAAGTAACCTGCAGGAAAATTAGCAGAAGTAGATGGGGCATCTCCCAGATTTTGTGATGCTTCAGTTCCAGCAGGTGGTAGGTAAGGTGGTGGTGGCTGCTGCTGCATGCCGTGCCGTGCATATCCTGGACATTGCCTGCACACTGTGTATGGCTGGCTGAAAAAATAGATAGAAAACCATCAAATTGGGATTTAGATAAATTGAGGGACTGGGCAAATAGCAGAGGAGATTCAATATAGATAAGTGCAAAGTCAAGCAATTTGGATTACAGGACCCAAAAGCAATTTATGCATCAAATGGGGTTGAGTTAGGATAACAGTAGATGAAAAGGACCCAAGAACAATTATAATTGTGACTCTTTATGAATCAATGGCAAGACCCTACAATAAATATGCAGTACAATTTTGGGAACAAGTTTTAAAGGACAAATTGCAGAACTAGAAAAAGTGAAGTGGGGAGGCAACAGAATTAATAAGAAAGACAAAAAAAAAAACAGTTATATAAGAAAGGGTAGAAAACCACAGTTGTTTTCTTTAGAATAATAGGCAACACAGAGGAGATATGATAGCACTATACAAATATATGCTGGATTAGTACAAACGGCTATGTGCTAACCTGTTCATTAGCAGTAATATACAACAGACTGAAAGAAGGGTGCTTTCACTTACAGTAGAGGAAAGAGGTTGTTACAGTAAGAACAGTAAATATGTGCAATGTTCTATGAAAGGAGAGAGAGAGTGTGTGTATATTATATAGTATATCAATAGAAAGGGTGCACTCTCCGGTCTTTTTAAATATTTCAAAGTTATTTATTTTGTTACATATTGTAACACATTGATCGACGTTTCGACCCGTTCGGTTCTTCCTCAAGATCTTTGAAATATTTCCTCAAGATCTCGAGAGCACCCTTTCTATTGATATACTGTATACCTCAGCGTGGAATAGCACCAGGGCATGGGATCCTCAGTGTATCAGCAAGGGTGAGTGCCAATAAATATATATATATATATATATATATATATATATATATATATATATATATATATATACACATACATATGAAGTGTACATATGAAGTATATACACACACACACACACACACACACATACAGAATATTTAAGAATGAAATTAAAACAGGTTGTTGTTCCAAGGAGAAATCTGATTGCCATTACATTGTAAAAATTATTTCCCCCTTTTTGTGGCAGAATTGGAGATTAGTTAAAAATATATATATATATTTTTTTGGATCAACAGCATAAAAAGATGTGTTTTAAAGACTGAACCCAACGCATTTTGTCAACTTTTGATAACTATGCAACTTTGCCAGAGCCTGGTGTTTGAAACTGTGTGAGGCTTACAAAGCTGCAGGCTAATAATTATTATTCTTGTTCAATTGTGTCTTAATAATGTCTACAACGGCTGAAAAATTTAATTCTATCTATACAGCCAAATACTGGATAGTGGAAATAACTGAGCCACATCACATACAGTAGCAGTGTCAAACCTTATATCTGAAGATTCACTGTCCACATCTGAAAGTTCCAATAGGTCTTCTGAACTACCCTCTTCATCTGAGAAAGACCGACGTACTTTGGGCTGCAACATGTCCTGTGTGATCTTATTCCGAGCATCCATGCTGCGTCTGTCTTCCTCACTACGGCACTTATCTGTGCATTGCGGAAAAAAAATAAACAGTCTTAATTGGATGAATATCAAAGCAGTGAAAATGATTGCGTTAAACAAGCCATTGACAAAGTGTGATAAGGAAGGATTATCTTTATCCCTGCCAAGTTACAGAAAAAGGAATGACCGTCATTATTTTGGAGTGTAAAATAAAACTTAAACCAATACCATTATCTGGCCAGGTGATATAATTTGTTTCCCTTTCTTCTCTAGAATCATTTAACCCCTTAAGGACACATGACATGTGTAACATGTAATGATTCCCTTTTATTCCAGAAGTTTGGTCCTTAGATGTTAAGCATGGGAATTAAACCATCACAAAAAAAAATCCAATACAATATTTATATATTTTAGTGCTACATATAGAACCCTTAATCTCCTGGCTCACAACCTACAAACCCCCCAGTCTCCATTAGGCAAACATTATTCTGAATAAAACCAGGCATAGGAAACCATATTTAAAAAAAAAAAAAAAAAGAAATACATGTCAGTGTCTGCGAGTTCACCGACATTAGCTAGAGAACTCTAGCTTTTAAAAGTGCATTACAAAAATCAGATATGGGATGGAAGGGGGAGCTGACTGCCTAACTGGATGGCTGCACATAGCATCTGCTCTATGAGAGAAGTTAAAAATGGTCTATTTCACCGATTCTCCTCTTGAGAAAACCAGCAATCTGTGCCCCTGAGAATGCATATTCCTCTTTGAGTCTTCCTCTATAGCCTCTTGAAATACAGTGCTCAGCTATAATCATAGGTGCTTCAATGGCGTACTCGCGGGTGGCCACTGCAAACGTTACTGTTTCCCCCCTACTGGTGGAGTCATCCCGGCACCAACTCACAGGCTAACTCTCACAGTCATTGGTGGCATCATGACTTAGCTCTGCGTATAAGCTAAGATGGCGGACGCCACGAAAGCTCCCATAGCACGAGGCTGGATACCACACAATACACTTCAGGTGTGGCTAGACAAAATATTTGAGGACTTCTGGATCAAAATAAGTTTTAGACAATGGCAGTTTATGGACAAGAGTTGGCGTGATATAATGCCACAATACTCACCTCGTGATGCTCAATGTTTCACAACTGGCCCAACCTGGCTGAATACTATCTCATTCGAGAAAGAGCAGAGGAACATCCGGCATCTGTCGGGGTCCAGGGTTGTCCATTGCTTGCTGCCGTATCCCCTGGCTGAGGTCACTGAGGGGAATATCCCTGGTGCATATCCCATACCCTCGGAGGAACCATCATTCAAACCAAGCTGAATCCAACACCTTCCGGGATATTGTTCATGGTGCCAGAATTACCAGGAGTCGTGGCAAAACCATTTAGGTTCTACCTGAGGTCTGGGGCCAGCGGAGTGGCCAGTTCTGGACAGCTGGGACTTTGTCTCGGAATGGGAGCCTAATTGCAGGGATGGGTATTGGGTGAATTAAATGTACTACCCATTATTGTGGGATATTGTTTAAGTTAAACAGGGCTAGCAGTCCACTTATCACTGATGCACTTTACCATAATACCAACATTATCCTTTATTTTTATTTTGTTAGCTTTCACTGCATAAGCTGGTCTTTAATTTTGGCTAACACAATACGTATTATCATGCATCACCCCCTTCCTCTTCTATGATGTGCTCTGATGGAGGTCTATATGCCTTTGTTTACTTTTCTTGTTTGGTTTATATTATCAATATGACTTAGCCTCAGACGCTCATCCCACTGTAATATTATGATAACGTGTGTAGAGTTCTACCTCTGACTCGGCTCATTTTAGCCCCAGTACCAAATCGGCAGTTAGACATGACCACTTGCAGGTTAACATTCTTTAAACTCTATCAAGGTTCGCAGCCTGTCAGTAATAATCCTCAACGCGACACACTTGTTCTTCTTTATCAAGATCATTGTAAGTAGTATCCCTACACAATATGAAGTAGGGGCACATTCATAGCCAAGTTTCTGGGCATCATTTCTAAAGCTATAATAATAAATAGACTGTGTTTACTTACACATACGGGTACAGACAGTGACAATTTTTGTTTGTAATGGCTTACGTGTGGCATCAGTGAACTAGCAATAGAAAGAACTTTTGTATATCCACAGGACAGGGAGTTCTTTTTCATTATCTCCACGTTTTATGGCAGTGTGACCCAGTGAGGTCTCAGTTTAATTTAATTTTGTTAATTTAATTTTGTTAATTCCCCTTCCTCTTTTTTTTTCTTCTGTAATATCTCTGACTTCTAAATCCATATAAGAGCATAGTTTTGCACGTCAGAGCCAGAATATGCATATATCCAATGATATATCCAGACTGTATTTTCTTTTTATCGCCTTTTCCCACCTTCTTAGGCTATGCATTTACATGCTGTGCAACTCAGTATTTTAAATTTACATATATGTTCAATACTGCTGTTGGTTTTCGATAAGCAAAACAAAGGTTATGTTTTAATGTGCAGTAAATGGTTTTTATCTTTATTGTGCTTTGAAAGATAAAACATTAAGAAAAGCTATTACAAAAATCAGAAACTGATTTTTTTTTGTGTATCAAAATGAACTCCATTTACAAATTTTTGAATTTACAATAAAGAAGTTAGTACAAGAAAGGGAGCATTGTAGAAGGAGTCCTTGATGATCAGCGTCATAGTTTTAAAAGGAAAATAAGCACCATAACAATGTGTGTTTATTGCATAGATACTTGTAACTGCAGTGACCTGCAACTATTATTGCAGCTATATGTAAAGCTGTTCTCCCTCTGACATCAAAGGAGAAATTATTAGCACCTCCCTTACTGGATAAATTGATTTCTTTGCAAGTAGCTAACTCTCCACTCCAGCTCTTACCAAGAGCTCCAGCCATGACTGTAGCTGTCAAAGCTATGAACAGGGCTGTCAAACTCCTAGCAGCTGCGGTATAGCTGAACTATATATCCCATAATCCTTTGCTGAAAAAAATGATTTATTATGCTATTATGTGTGTGTGTACATTTTAGCAATGACACACATATTTATAAAATCCACAACTGCTATTTTACACCATACTATATGTATGAATAAGCCCTACGCTAGCAGCATTAACCCCAAACTTACAGAAATAAACCTACATCGGCAGCCACACTGTACTTAAGAATTAAAGCTGAATATAACGCAATAAAATGGTGCTTGATACCTAGTAAGAAGATGGTTATAAGAAAACAAAGGATTTATACCATTCACGGAGAATATGAACGTGCAAATAGGTTATGGCACTTGTTGAAAGGAGGTACTAATTGTCAACCTTTTCAAAATTGAACTTTCCTTACTACTGGAAGCTACTTGCCTGGGTGCTGGAGCAGATAAGCTTCCACCAGATTGTTCAGTATGTGATTTTTGCAGATGCGCTCAACTGGGCAGCGGCATGTTGGACACAGGGAGGAACGTTCCATCCAGCCGGAGTAGCACGCAGCACAGAATGTGTGCATACAGGGCTGCAAGCTGAGGAAGAAAAGGTTACAATATTTTAAATACTAAACTAATATAATGTATGCGTTTATTCACTAAAGTAAAAAGTGTAGTAAATACAATAGCAAACTTTAAAACAAATGTACAAAGTGCAGATTCAGGAAAATTCTTCATCTAATAGTTATGCTATTTTAGCCTATATTTTGTATATTGCTTTATCATCTGGTGTTTAGTGAATAACTCTGCAATCTAAACCTGCACAAGAAAAAATAAAAATGAGACTTAAAAGGAACACTCCAAAAACCATAGCTACTACAGCACTCTGTAGTGTTTGCTAGTAGTTTGAGAGCTTACCTTTGCTCCGCCAGGTTCCAGTCTCATAGGCTGTGAAAGAACAGCTGAGCGTGGTGTAGTGTTTATGGTGATTGGAGTGTTCCTTTAAAGGAATTCTCTGAGCACCATGCCAAGTACATCTTAATGATGTCAGCTAACACTTTCAGTCATTGGTCACCAATAGCAAATAAACAGTAAATATATCATACATTTCTATTCTTTACTCACTATTGGTAGAGACCATAGTAGGCTAAGTTTTCCTCCCTCTTGCTGCACATATAGGGACACTATAGTGACCAGACCAATTACAGCTTAATGTAGTTGTTCTGGTGAGTATAGCCTGTCTCTGCAGGCATTTGCATGTAAACACTGCATTTTCAGAGAAAAAGCTGTGTTTTCATTGCTGCCTATGTACACCTCCAGTGGCAGTCATTCAGATGGCTACCACAGGTGCTTCCTGGATCAGTGCTCCACACTTTGTATGGAGATGCTGAACATTCCTCATAGAGATGCATTGATTCAATGCATCTCTATGACAATATTTTGATTTGCCAGGTTGGTGTTTGGCTCGCCCCAACCCTGGCTCATTAGCTGGCATCATAATTGATGATGTCAGCCAAGGAGGCAGGGCCAGTGACAACAGACCCATGTGGCGCTGGAATAACGGTAAGTTTTATGCTTATTTAAAAGGGGGTAAATGGGGTATAGCCACATCGCATGCTATTTTAACACTATAGGGTCAGGAATACACGTTTGTATTCCTAACCCTATATTGTTCCTTTAATGCTTCCATATTTTCCCTGAGCAGAAAAAGAGGTCTGCAGACCAGCATCGGGTGACAAACTGTAAGTGGTAAACCATTTAATACTTAAGGTGACACTATAGTCATCAAAACAACGTTGGCTTAATGAAGCAGTTTTGGTTTATAGATCATGCCCCTGTAGTGTCTCACTGCTCAATTCACTGCCATTTAGGACTTAAATCACTATGTTTATGCAGCACTAGTCACACCTCCCTTCAAGTAACTTCCTCAACACTTCCAGTAAAGTGAGATCTAATGTTTACAGTTCCTTTACTGCAAATTCTGTTTATTTTAGAATTTCTAACCTCCTGCTCTGTTACTAGCTTGCTAGAGCCTCCTGTGTGTCATTGAAATTCAACTTACAGAGCAGGAGATACATTTAAATTAAGTTAACATCTGATTGCAAATGAAACCATTTAATTAACGCAGGCCGTATGAGTCACAGTAAGCGGAGGTGTGGCTAGGGCTGCATGGACATTAGCCTATATGGCAGATAACGGAGCAGTGAGACTTCAGTGGCGTGATCATTACATCTAAACTAGGGATGCACAGAAATGAAAATTCTGGGCAGAAACCGAAAATTACTTTTTTCCCCAAATTATTTGAAAATTGTTTTTTTTTCTATAATTTTATTAATATTAGACTTTTTATTACACAGTGTGGGAGGTGGTGACTGGTGACAGAGTGACCGGTGTCATAGGGAGGGAGGGAGTAGGTGACTGGTGAAAGTGACTGTTGGAGGAGGTAATAGAGTTACTTGGGGGGGCGGGGGGTGACTGGTGACAATGACTGAGGGAGGTGGTGACAAAGTGACTGATGGAGCGGGTGACTGGTGAGAGTGACTGAGGGAGGGGGTGACAGAGTGACTGAGGGACTGAGGGAGGGGGTGACAGAGTGACTGAGGGAGGGGGTGACAGAGTGACAGTGACTGAGGGAGGGGGTGACAGAGTGACTGAGGGAGGGGGTGACAGAGTGACAGTGACTGAGGGAGGGGTGACAAAGTGACTGATGGAGGGGGTGACAGGTGAGAAGGACTAAGGGAGGGGGTGATTGGTGAGAATGACTGAGGGAGGGGGTAACTGGTGACAGAGTGAGGGTGTTAGAAATACCATAGCTTCTATCTATCTCCATTACTGACAATGAAGGAGGTGCTCAGTTCCAGAAAGTTGCTGAATACAACAATGTGGATTTTAACATTTAATTTTATTTCACAGCCATTACAAACAGATCTCTGTTTTAGGAATACTACAGGGCAGCACTTTTCCTGTGGGGCTCACCCTCTATGTAGAGATGATATATGTCCAAGAAAAATTGTGTATTTTGCAATCCTAAAGCTAGCCCCTGCTTCCTCCCTCCTGGTCTAGAACGCCCCAGTTGAGGAAGTGTGGGCCTCTGCATAACATGGAAGATTCCATTCACGAAAAGGGGGCGTTTTTCTTTTTTTTCCTTCTTCTTCTTGGATTCATAGCTGCTTTGTGGTTTCCTGTGGTTCTCCCCCCATTGCACACATTGCTGGTAGAAGGAGCCACCCGGTTGGCGGGTCCCCGCATCCTGCACCCCGCCGGTACCAGAGACCCCCCTCCGCCGCCGGACTCAGATGGTGAATCCTGGGAGTGACATCTAATGGTTTCCCTTCCCCGTGGGATTCCCAGTGACAGGTACCGTCCGGAGGTCCTCCCTGTCCTTCATTCCCCGCAAGGGCCGGTCTCCGCGGGCAGCCCAGACTGGGGACACCGGGCACAGCCCGCTCGCTGCTCACCTGGAAACAGCACAGGAGCTTCCACGCCTGGGATCTGTGTCATGAGGGCTATCAGTGATGTTAGTGCTGGGGCTGTCAGTGAGGCAGTGCCGGGTTGGGGGGCTGTCAATAGGAATTGTGCATCCCTGGTGTTTTTCGGCAGATTTGAACGATTTTTGGCCGAAATGGAATAAGCCCATTTTAGGCTGAAAATGTTGGCAGCCGAAATTTTGGTGCATCCCTAATCTAAACTGATTCTTTAAGATAAAGTTATTTTAGGGAATACCTTGTCCATAAAAGGTAAATGGTGCCTGAAACTCATTCACCATAACATAATATCAATGAAGTTGTTATGTTGCCTGGAGTATCCCTTTAAAGGACCACTATAGGCACCCAGACCACTTCAGCTTAATGAAGTGGTCTGGGTGCCAGGTCCATCTAGGATTAACCTTGCCTGCTGTAAACATAGCAGTTCCAGTTTGAGGAAGAGGGATTACAGAGAAACTGCTATGTTTACATATGGGTTAATCCAGCCTCTAGTAGCTGTCTCCCTGACAGCCGCTAGAGGGCTTCCGCGCTTCTCACTGTGATTTTCACAGTGAAAAGACGCCAGCGTCCATAGGAAAGCATTGAGAATGCTTTCCTATCGACTGACTGAATGCGCGTCCGGCAATTGCCGCGCATGCGCATTCAGCCGATGATGTCAGAAGGAGGAGGAGAGAGCCTGGCGCTGGAGAAAAGTAAGTGATTTAACCCCTTCCTCTCCCTAGAGCCCGGCGGGAGGGGGGACCTAAAGATCCTATAGTGCCAAGAAAACGAGTTTGTTTTCCTGGCACTATAGTGGTCCTTTAAGTAAAATATTGACTTACAAGCAAGAATAAAAGTTGTATAGCAAAGATGGCTAGGTTTAACATGCAATTTTAAAACTTATATGAATGGTTTTAGTGGGAATGCCCATGGCCTCACTCACTGCAACCTACAGATGTTCTTAATGTTACATAGAAAGTTTTATGTCAGATTACTGCCACATCATATTTTGCACAACTAGAAAGATTTCTTTACCTGACACAGTCATGCAGCAACTCCTGACAGATAATACAGGTCAATGTCTCCTCCATCTTGTCCGGTTTCACTGTTGCAGCCTTTGGATCATCAGGAGAACCTTTTGAACAGCTGGAAGATGCAGGAGCCTGACTGACTGACAAATCCTCCTCTGGAGGAAATCAAATGAACAGATCTGAGATCCCCTATCCCAACAGAAGAGGACCAGACACAATTACAAATAGAAGTAAAGAATCCAGTTAATGTGTTCATAGAAAGTCTACAAGAACATTATTTTCTAAAATAGCCAAAGTATCTGGTGATATATTATGTTACTTTATATATGACTACGCAACTTTCATTTTACAGTATAAATCTTAATTCCATTAAACAAATTACAGAATGATTATAATGTATATCATTGTAGTTTTTGTAATAAATAAAACAGAATGACACATATTATACAGTTATAGTATAGGCTAGTGCCAAAGCCATTTTAAACCGAACATGTTCTACATAAGGCCCAAAAGTATTGGCTACAAGGATGAAAGAAAAAAATTTAACCTGTGGTCCGTCCTCTCTGGAGAAATTTCCATCTCCGCCATTTTTCCAGGGCTGATATTTTGGCTTTAAATGCGCGATGCCCTTGTCAATTCTTAGATAAGTGAAGAATCCCAATAAATATGTCCATATGCTAAGGGTTAAAGATAATAATTCACCAGATTCAAAGCACTAACCTGTCTTGAGCTTCTTTCTTGGAGGTGGAAGATTTTCTTGTTCTGCTCTTTGCTTTGCAGTTTGAGGAAGAGGGATTACAGTCATTTGACAAGCATATTTTGTTGAAGTGTGTCCACCAACTCTAACTTCAGACTGCTGGCCATGTTTATGTTCAACCACAGTCTCTGCACATTGAATCCCTGGAGCTGTTAGAGAATGGATGCACCAATTTAAAATCATCAAGAAACAAGTTCAAGAAACAATCATTTGTAAAATCAGTATTAGTCATATTTATGATCTTTGCTATTTTTTTTTTTTTACATTCTTTATTTTTTGCAGTGCAATGAAAAAACAAACATGCTTTAGGTGACATTTCCACACGAGTATTGATATATAGATGGTGGAACTGCACTCAACCCTTCGCTTTAGACTCTCAGGGTGCTGCTGGATCAGTCCATGTATGAAGTATAATTGTAGAAAATAATCCAGGCACTCCAAATTGTTCCAACGATAGGCAATTTTTATTGGACCGAAGAACCACACAACGTTTCGACCCCTTAGGGCCTTTGTCAAGCTAAGGGGCCCTAAGGGGTCGAAACGTTGTGTGGTTCTTGGGTCCAATAAAAATTGCCTATCGTTGGAACAATTTGGAGTGCCTGGATTATTTTCTACAATTATATTTCCACATGAGTAGGCATAGCATGAGTAGTTCCACACATAAATGGTATGTCAAGATTTTCCCAATTGCCAGACAGGCTAGGCTGCAGGTCGCAACCAATGTGAGTGCTAGGCAAACCGTTACACTCCGGGCATAGAACAGGTCAAGTAGGGTGTCGGTCTGCAGTGGAGCCAATGTGAGTTCTGCATCGTTTTTAGGCCATTTAGCCACATTTTCCAGTTTGGAGAACTGGAGCTACAAGAAAGTGCATCCGGCCCTACCCCACCATGATCTTTGCTAGTTGTCACATTAAACAAAAGAAAAAGATGCATCATCAACTGCTGGAAGAAATATATATATTTATTTGCTCAGATATATATAGCCAGGAAATGGAAAGCAAATATCAAAGTGAATATGCACAACACAAAACCTATCTAAAGTGCACAACACATAAAATGTTATAGACAAACCAAGAGGCTAGAAGTGATAACCCAGCTATTTAATCCATCCATTGCCAAGCTTCTGCACAGAGTATCTGCACCCACCTGCTGAAGATGGCTGAACCTGCATAGTGGAAGCTGGCTCACTGGCAGAGGTAGTGGCTGTACTAAAGAGGTTGGATGTGGAAGTGGAAGGCTGAGGTTCATCATAAGACAGAGTATCTTGAAGAGATGATAAAGTATGAGTTTCATCCAATTCCTCTGAGGTATCTAAAGAAAATGATGTCAGTAAAACCAAAGCACACAAATGAAAGAACAGGATGATGCACAAAACATTTTTTTTAAACAAAATTTAAAAAATTGCTGAAGTAGTTCAGTTTTAAGCCACCTTTTATTTAAAAAAAAAAAATTATAATTTTTAGAATCTTTAACCACTTAAAGGGACACTATAGTCACCTGAACAACTTTAGCTTAATGAAGCAGTTTTGGTGTATAGAACATGCCCCTGCAGCCTCACTGCTCAATCCTCTGCCATTTAGGAGTTAAATCCCTTTGTTTATGAACCCTAGTCACACCTCCCTGCATGTGACTTGCACAGCCTTCCATAAACACTTCCTGTAAAGAGAGCCCTATTTAGGCTTTCTTTATTGCAAGTTCTGTTTAATTAAGATTTTCTTATCCCCTGCTATGTTAATAGCTTGCTAGACCCTGCAAGAGCCTCCTGTATGTGATTAAAGTTCAATTTAGAGATTGAGATACAATTATTTAAGGTAAATTACATCTGTTTGAAAGTGAAACCAGTTTTATTTTTCATGCAGGCTCTGTCAATCATAGCCAGGGGAGGTGTGGCTAGGGCTGCATAAACAGAAACAAAGTGATTTAACTCCTAAATGGCAGTGAATTGAGCAGTGAGACTGCAGGGGAATGATCTATACACTAAAACTGCTTTATTTAGCTAAAGTAATTTAGGTGACTATAGTGCTCCTTTAACCATATGACGGTATATATTGTCATACTTTAACTCCCGTTGACACCATAAAAAGACATGAAGCAAAGTAAAGTACCAGCAGGGAGTTAAATCCCTGCCTATACCAAAGATTCCCCGGAATCTTTTAATACTTGAGGCCCCAGACTGACAGAAGAGTTATGTGCAGCGCAGCCCGTAGCCCTTTAAATTAATACTTTAAGTACTGTGTGAGCTAGGAAATCCCTCTGCTGGTGTGATTACTGACATCAGCACAGCGAACCCTCACTAAAGTGGGATTAGGTGATGTTCTAGGATTATGGGTTGGATTATAGATAAGATTATGGGTAGATATAAGTGTTTGATTAAGGAATGCATGTGGGGATTCATTCTAATCTAGAATAGTAGTAGAATACAAATATGTAAGGTGGTGGGGATATAGATTTAAGATTTAACATAGCCTGTGAATTATCCCAAAATAAAGTATGTGGGGAAAAAAATCCACAAGTAATTAGGTTAGTGATAAAAAAAACTAAATGAAAAGTGTCCAAATGGACTTGATCACATAGCCTGGAGGATGTACTTTTAAAAAAAAAAGTTTCAAAAAAATAAAAATAAAATGTATTTGCAGCCAAATTTTCTCTCAGCACTAGAATTATTAAACATTGGGGAGGAAGAGTTATTATGCATGTTACTGTATTAATTGGCTCTATGAAGTGAAAACTCTACACTTACTTACTACTACATTGACATTTTTTTTAAATTTTTTTAAAGAAAGATTGTTTTAAAAAAAAAAAAAGGTAATATAACCACTTTAGAGCAAAGTGGTGGCATATAACTGAATTACTTCAGCCATCTAGTCTCTCTCTTTAAAATTATATTATTATTATTATCATTAAATGGAGATGGGCATATGTAGACCAAGCTAAGATCACTTGGCTTAGATATCCCATAAGTTTGATTTTTTTGCTTTCCATATGGTAATTATCTATCTTGAAAGAAAATAAATCAGCACTTAAAGGAAAACAGAGAATGACCTGAACATTCAAAAAAGAAACCCCAATAACATCTACCAAGAGAGAAAGAGAGTGTTTCAGAAAGGTGCAGAATAAAGCAGTTTACGTTTTTAGATCTATATAAAATCTACATGTTTATGTGTGCTGATTTCTAACTTGAGCCCCTCCAACCCATTTTAATTTGATTACTATAGTTTTGACATGAAAAAGAATATAAAATTAAAAAGGCACTTTCTGTCACTATACGCAATGTCTAAACTCATAAAGCTTGCTGTAGAATATAAGGTGATAGTAATAAGGGAAACTACAGCCCAAACACAGCCGTTCTTACAGATTGCTGAGAGCAGAGTGTATACTAAATAACACATTTTACAATGTCATTATGATGTGCTTCAATAGAGATATTTTACCACTTGCACGAACACTGGTAAGTTAAAGCAAAGAACTTTTGACTTACCTTCTTTCGATTGCATACTGTCTTGTGCTTGATTCAATGATTTATACAGATATGCTACATCTGAAAAAACAAATTTGTTATTATTTACTACTTCAAACACCAACAACAAGATTATAGCAATGCCATAGAGTTTTAAAGGGGCAGTTTATTCTAAATAAACTAAAAATATATATAACTATGGACAGTTAAAGGAGCACTCCAAGCACAGCTTGGTGTAGTGATTGTGGTGCCAGGGGTGCCCCAATTAGTGAGGGGAACACTATAGTGTTAGGAATACAGTATTGTTTTCCTTGAATGGAAAGAATAAATAGTTCCAAATCAAGTTTTAATGATGTGGGTTTTTTTGTGTTTGTTTTAAAAAAGAGACTGACTCACTTTGTTCTGGCTCATTTTTCCTATAAACAAGATAGATCACATCACCATTCTTCAATGGATAGGATTGTTTCTTTACCACTTTCAGTCTGTTAATCACTGTGCCATTTGTGCTGCAAAGTAAAAGAATTTTCTAAATGAAAAAATGTGTCTTAATAGAACAGAAGTATGACTTGAGCAATGCAGAGTGTCAGCACTGTATAATAAAAACATAGGCTCAACAACCCAAGCTAATAAGACTGTCTAGGTTATGGCTGTCAGACTACCAAAATAGCTTTAGACCAAACATGTTGCTTTTAAATGGACTCTCTAGTCTCATAAAGCACTTCAGCTTTCTAAAGTGTTTCAATGATTAACTGCACACACCCTAAAGGTGTCAATTTGAAGAGAACCCAGCAATTTTATAAATTCCCTTAGTAATTCCCTCGGCTATCAAGCAACAGCCAGGAGGATGTCCTGCCTCACTTGAACGGTAGTTCAGTGTGGAGGTGAGAGCTTCTCATAGAAAAGCTTTGGTTTCATAGCATCTCTGAGAACCACAGCTGGCTAGATGGCAGTGATGGCCGTGTACGTGGTGTGTGCCCTAACGCTTCTCTATACCATCGGTAATACTGACTTTACTGGAGGCAGATTGGAGCTGTAGTGAGGAAACTCTCGCTTTGCCAGAAAAAAAAGCGGAGTTTAATGAACTTTTAGCCATTTCAATGCTAAAAATAAATAAATAAAAACACCACAAAGAACCACTTTACAAAATACAATAAAATACATTTAGATTTATTTTTTCAATTGCAGTGATCCTTAAGATAGATAGATAGATAGATAGAGAGAGATATATATATATATATATATATATATATATATATAAAAAAAAACACACACACACACACACACACACACACACACACACAATACCAGTAGAGAGCACTCAGGAGTCTTTCAAGGTAAATTTCATCTGTTGCTTTATTGAGCAATTACAAATTCACACAACGTTCCAGTCGACGTTTCAGTCTGTAAAAGTCTTTTACAGACTGAAACGTCGACTGGAACGTTGTGTGAATTTGTAATTGCTCAATAAAGCAACAGATGAAATTTACCTTGAAAGACTCCTGAGTGCTCTCTACTGGTATTGTATACAATTTGGTTGGAGACAGCACCGGAGCATTAAAAGACAGCACCGGAGCATTAAAAGAAGATTCTACGTGTATTTAAAAAAAATAAAAAATTATATATATATATATATATATATATATATATATATATATATATATATACACACACACACACACACACACACAGTGAGGGGAAAAAAGTATTTGATCCCCTGCTGATTTTGAATGTTTGCCCACTGACAAAGAAATGATCCAGTCTATAAGTTTAATGGTAGGTGTATTTTTTTTATTTTTCTTTATTTTATTGTGCAAAATGTGAAAAAAATGAGCTTGTTGGGCCATGACAGCGGGGCAAACCCACATTATAACATACATGAGATAACATTGTCATGGTATACGGTTTTCTTGCACGTTTTTAAGGAATGTGAATTGATACTTGATTGTCAGGTACAACCATAGTAATTACACAGAGACCAGTTAGCTATCATGCGTGAGGGCCTAGCCTCATGTTACTAAACGCAAGGCTAAAACCATAATAACATTAGAGTGGCACGTTTAGTCAGAGTAACTGTTCCCTCTCTGACCTATATGCTAGTCTAGGTAAAGTGTGTCTTGCTAACTGAGGGTATGATTACATAGTAAGGTTTACTTGCTAAACTGGGGTTTCAGGATTTTAAACAAGTAAAGGGGTGGGGGTTATAGCCAAGTCTAGTTGTTTAGCCATTCAGGTGGAAAACAAGCAATGCTACCACGTCTAATGATTGTGCCCAAGAGTTAAAGAGAGGCACTTATACATGAAGTGGTGATTAACAGCAAGTTAGACGATTATAATGCGCTTGTAAATTATGTTAAGATACTAAGTGTTATGCCCTGCGTATCACATTTTTAACTATAGATATAATTCAACAATGTATCTGCGAGTTATAAAACAGGTCTGTGTTGCCACAAGAGAAAGTACTGGCTAGTAATACAACAAATATTAAGCATTTGTATGGCAATAGCTAACAGCACTATTTTTCATAGAGTCAGCGTATGTTCAAGATGACAACACAAGCTTGATAGTGGTGTCAGATTAGAAAGACTGACTGTATGAAGCCCTCTGAAGTTGATTTTAACCCGAGATAGGTGGGGTAGTTCGGGAGGCAGTGAGCCTGCTAAATCCGATGGGTACTCAAACCTAGTGCCTGTGTGCAGTTCACAATACCCGTTCAGCCTGCTCAGAGGGTTGATAATCTTACAGTGCCCACCGATAGTTCATAAAGGACAAGTGTCCAACTCAGAGTTGTGTCGCCTGGTGTGTAGATCTGTCTTGAGGCCAGGGGGACCCAGGCAAGAGGCTGCCTTCCATGCCTACAGTACCTGTCTGGCCCCCGGACCGTGGGAGAACCTGCGCCGGTCGAGGGGTTGAGTCCTGCAGGCGGTCGGGTTGAGGTTCAGGTGAGCTGCGGATGCCAGCAGCGTTGAGCCCCCGTGATTTTTGGGTCACGTAAATAACGTGTTGTACAGGCACCATATCAGAGCTGCAGTCCCAGTCACCTTCCAGACGGTGCCCCGCAGGGGCAAGGCAGAGCTCCTTCGTGGTGGATTTTTCAGCTGGCTTGGGAGCTGTTGTGGTCTTCGCATGAGCTCAGCCTGATCTGCACGGGTCAACCCCCTGCACTTCGAGCTTGTGGGAAGCCAAGACCGCGGGGGCTCAGGAGGTGAGTGTCTTGTTGTTGTGGCTTTATGGTTCGAGCCAGCTTATACCGGCGGGCTGCCCCGTGCAAGATGTGCACGGGGGGAGCTCAGTTTTCGGTTCCCACACATATGGCCTCCGCCATCTTGGATGCAGGCCTTAGGCCGTGTAGTCTCCGGGCCTTATTGGGTAAGTGTGGCTGCAGGTTGTGGACCGGGATTACCCCCACCGGTCCAGAGGGGGGTGGGGGGGGGGAACAGGGCCAGGTCCGCCAAGGTTCTGTGTGCCTGCTGGGTCCCTCTAGACAGGATAGTGGAGCAGCGGCCATCCACTCCACTCAACGCCGGGTAAGGTCCTGCTTGGAGCAGCAAGGACCTCTCCTCCGAGGGACTAAAACTCTGGGAGCAAGCCTCGCCTCGGATCCGGTGCCCCCTGCACATGGTGGGTCGCGGTTGTTGGTGGTTATATTGCCCTAAATGCTTGGGTTATAGGCTTATTTGTTGGTGGTTTGCAGGAGCTGATCTTCCCTGTGACCGTCCAGCTTGGCGGTCTGGCCCCGCCCCCCATGGCAGGTGTTTTTTTAACAGTGAGAGCAAGAATAACAAAACAAAAACAAAAAAATCCAGAAAAATGCATGTCAAAAAAGTTATAAATGGATTTGCATGTCAATCAGTGAAATAAGTATTTGACCCCTTCAACTTAGTACTTTGTGGCAAAACCCTTGTTGGCAATCAGAGAGGTCAGACGTTTCTTGTAGTTGGCAACCAGGTTTGCATACATCTCAGGAGGGATTGTGACTCACTCTTCTCAGCAGATCCTCTCCATGTCATTAAGGTTTCAAGGCTGACGTTTGGCAACTTGAACCTTCAGCTCCCTCCACAGATTTTCTATGGGATTAAGGTCTGGAGACTGGCTAGGCCACTCCAGGACCTTAATGTGCTTATTCTTGAGCCACTACTTTGTTGCCTTGGCTGTGTGTTTTGGGTCATTGTCATACTGGAATACCCATCCAGGACCTGAGGGAAGGAGGTTCACACCCAAGATTTGACAGTACATGGCCTTGTCCATTGTCCCTATAATTTGGTGCAGTTGTCCTGTCCCCTTAGCAGAAAACCACCCCCACAGCATAATGTTTCCACCTCCATGTTTGACGGTCGGGATGGTGTTCTTGGAGTCCTAGGCAGCATTCCTCCTCCTACAAACACAGCAAGTTGAGCTGATTTTGGTCTCATCTGATCTCACTTTCAACCAGTTCTCCTCTGAACCATTCAGATGTTCATTGGCAAACTTCAGGCAGGCCTGTACATGTGTTTTTTGAGCAGGGCGACCTTGCGGGCGCTGCAGGCTTTCAGTCCTTCACGGCAGAGTGTATTACCAATTGTTTTCTTGGTGACTGTGGTCCCAGATGCCTTGAGATCACTAACAAGATCCTCCCGTGTAGTTCTGGGCTGATTCCTCACCGTTCTAATGATCATTGAAACTGAGATATCTTGCATGGAGCACCAGACCGAGGGAGACTGACAGTTATTTTGTGTTTTTTCCATTTGTGAATAATCGCACAAATTGTTGTCACCTTCTCACCAAGCTGCTTGGCAATGGTCTTGTAGCCCATTCCAGCCTTCTGTAGGTCTACAATCTTGTCCCTGACATCCTTAGACAGCTCTTTAGTCTTGGTCATGGTAGAGAGTTTGGAATCTAATTGATTGATTGCTTCTGTGGACAGGTGTCTTTTATACAGGTAACGAGCTGAGTCAGCAGGGTATCAAATACTTTTTTCCTCACTGTATATACACATATATGCTTTGTTTAACTGATTTACCTCTTGTGCATATGAGATATAGATATATATATATATAGATATATATATATATATATTAAAAGCAGTTTCTCTGAAATCCCTCTTATAGCATATGAAATATGCATATTGGGCAATGTTCAAATAACTAAAGGCATTAACATGCAAAGATATTTAAATAATATGGATTGTCACAGAATGTTCCCTGACCGATATCTCTAACTGGACAGGTTCAACGAAATTCCTCTTAGTACCAGTTATAATTCAAGCAAAATCTAGGAGGTGAACAGCGCGTAAAATAGAAATACATATGGTACAGATGTAGTTTCTAGTATACATATACTAGAAACTACATCTGTACCGTATGTATATCTATTTTACGCGCTGATCACCTCCTAGATTTTGCTTGTACTATATATTTCACAAGTGTGAGGGAACCCCTTGTTGGTGAATTGCTGCTAGCTTTCGTTTAATATTGAGCCCTTATTCACATCAGTTATAATCCAATGTTTATAATCCAACATGTGCAAAGTCATATTATGTTACACAAGCCAGACTGTCAAGAGTGCCTGAAGAGTGTTCCATGGTTCGTTAAACACTGGTATACATAAACATACTATTTTAAGGGTTATATAACCCATCACAGGTAGAAGGGCTTAAAGGTTTCTAGTAGTTACCTGGTGTCTTCTAAAGAAACAAGTCCAGATTCTTCATCCACAGTAATTTTGCAATGTTCCCCTGAAACCAGCTTGTTACCAGGGAAGGATAGGTCGCAGGCTAAAGAGAGCAAAGAAATACAGTCATCAAGATACCAGATTCAGCTCAGATCTGACAGCTAAGTCATATTAAGTTTTATTAACTTCTTAGCAATTAAGAAAAAAAGTTGGTAATTTTAAGCTCCCTCTCAGGCCCGCTAGCACTTTGCTGACAGCCGACAGGGAGGAAGGGAGAGGGGACCCAGGGGAGTTCTAACCCGAAGCCCTGCCGGGTTCTCCTCCTGTGAGCTCGGAGTGTTGCCGCGGTTACCACGGCAACGCCCCCGAATCTCGCGAAAACGAACTCTAGCAACTCCCGAGGCTGCTAGAGTTCACTGTAACCACCAGGGATTGCAGGAAATGTCCCCCCTCCCAGGCAAAGGAAAGCAGAGAGGGGGGACATCATTTTTAGTTTTAATTTAAAAAAATTAAAGTATATATTTATTAATTTGACCTTATACCCCCACAGACCCCACACTACACAATAGCTCCCCCATACACACACATACTGCACCCCTCATGCACAAACTGCCCCCCCCCCCACAATCACACACACAAACTACATCCTTCAAAAACTCAATGCACCCCTGTACACACACTGCATCCCTCACACACGCACGCACCACCCACCCCTATCCTGGCAGACCCCAGGTAAGTTGTCAAACTGTTCTTAAACAGTTTGACTACTTACCCTGGGAGGGCACTACTGGCTCCATAACCACTACAACGTAATGTAGTTGTTAGTGTGCCTGGATTGTTTCTTTAAATATTCTACCAGTCCCAATATTAGGGGCCCAGTATATGCCACAGCGCTGTACATATATACAACCTAGAACATTTTTTGACTTGGGGTGCCTTAGAAAAATATTGAAATATTAAGGGCGCCTTGAACCTAAAAGGTTTGGGAACCACTGGGTTAAAGTAAAAAGCAAACATAACATATCATGCTATAACTAAAGCCCTGATGCACTGTTTTGGAGGGAAGTTCCACGAATATGTGTTGTTGTTTAAGACGTATTTGAGGGGCAGTAAAGGCCCGGCTATGTTGTACAGGTTTCTCTGTGGCCAGCAGTAATATGGTGCCACTTCACAGCGTATGAAGGTTGCCATTAAACTACTATGTCACCAAGAGGAAGCAAAGAGGACATTTTCATCTAGCATATGTCTTTTTTTATGCTTTACTCTGCATTTAATACAAGATTTTTGGCAAGTGAACCAAGTGCTATTTTACAGACCCTCTATGGAATCTCCCATTTTTTTATTATTTATTTTACAGGGAACTGTAGTGCTTTAACAGTTATATAAAGTTTTTTCATTGTACATCAAAATATAATACAGCAACTACTAAGACAAATCTTAATTAGCCCTTTTGTCAATGGGTGAAAAAAAAAGGTTTGCAGGCCTAACTGCCAACAAGATGATGATTTTAATTTTATTTTCAATTCAAGCACCTAATTTCACTCACAAAAAAACCCTGTAGTTACAATTCTTTACATTTTTATTAAAGGAACACTATAGTCACCTGAACAACTTTAGCTTAATGGAGCAGTTTTGGTGTATAGAACATGCCCCTGCAGCCTCACTACTCAATCCTCTGCCATTTAGGAGTAAAATCCCTTTGTTTATGAACCCTAGTCACACCTCCCTGCATGTGACTTCCACAGCCTTCCATAAACACTTCCTGTAAAGAAAGCCCTATTTAGGCTTTCCTTATTGCAAGTTCAGTTTAATTAAGATTTTCTTATCCCCTGCTATGTTAATAGTTTGCTAGACCCTGCAAGAGCCTCCTGTATGTGATTAAAGTTCAATTTAGAGATTGAGATACAATTATTTAAGGTAAATTACATCTGTTTGAAAGTGAAACCAGTTTTTTTTTTTCATGCAGGCTCTGTCAATCATAGCCAGGGGAGGTGTGGCTAGAGCTGCATAAACAGAAACAAAGTGATTTAAAGGACCACTATAGTGCCAGGAAAACATACTCGTTTTCCTGGCACTATAGTGCCCTGAGGGTGCCCCCACCTTCAGGGATCACCTCCCGCCCGGCTCTGGAAAGAGGAAAAGGGGTTAAACTTACCTTTTTCCAGCGCTGGGCGGGGAGCTCTCCTCCTCCGTTCCTCCTCCTGGGCTGGCTGCGCGCACATTCAGCCGGTCACATAGGAAAGCATTCATAATGCTTTCCTATGGACGCTGGCGTGCTCTCACTGTGAAAATCACAGTGAGAAGCACGCAAGCGCCTCTAGTAGCTGTCAATGAGACAGCCACTAGAGGATTAGGGGGAAGGCTTAACCCATTCATAAACATAGCAGTTTCTCTGAAACTGCTATGTTTATGAAAAAATGGGTTAACCCTAGCTGGACCAGGCACCCAGACCACTTCATTAAGCTGAAGTGGTCTGGGTGCCTAGAGTGGTCCTTTAACTCCTAAATGACATTGACTTGAGCAGTGAAATTGCAGGAGAATGATCTATACACTAAAACTGCTTTATTTTGCTAAAATAATTTAGGTGACTATAGTGTTCCTTTAATATTTATTTTTGCCTGCCATTTTTTTTTTTTGTGTGTGTGTGCAAATATTTCATACAACTGTTTTTTTTTTTTTTTAATTTACGTAGTTTAATTTTTTTTTTTTGAAGGCATGAAAGATGGTACATGCCATTGAAAAATATGTATACAGTAGATCAATGTATCACATGGAACACATAAGACAGTGCATACAGATTGACATTGCCTCACTATATTTTAAACTGTCGAATAAAACAACAAGGCTCAGGCTACGAGAAAATAAACTAGTACTGATAAGATTAACCTGCCTGATATAAGGGAGCGTAGAAGATGTACTGAAAAATATTACACTTTTAGTGGCACCAGCTCCACTAGCTATGGGCATGATGGAAATAATTAACGATAGCTGGGTTGCCAGATTTAGAAAGAAAACTAAATGCCATTAGATAACAAAGGTACCCACAGCAGATACATTAAAGAAACCGATTAATAAAACAAACACTGCTGTAGGAAGGGCCCTTGGCCTACACAGCCGATGCCTGGACACTGCCATCAGGAACCTGAAGTCCAGCCAATCCTATGAATCTCCCTCCTGCATAATGCTCCCCTGAAGCCAGCTGCGCTTAGTATCCATGCCTGGTATTAAAAATTTTCCGGACATCAGCCCTCAGCGGTGCCAAGTGGGAAACATCCGGTCAGGTGAGTGGCAGAAGGGATTCCAAACTGAACCTTCGCGGTGGTGTCTGCTTGAGACCCATCAACAATAATGCTTTGCGAATAGACCATTTTGCCATGCCTAGACCTAAAGACACATCTGGGCTAATCTGACCCTAGATGAAATTTTGATCTTCAGATTAAGTAGTTTAGCCCAGAATCGTATGCATAGTCGATCAAAAGCTTGGAGTCCCGGATCCACAGAGGAGAGCAGCTGTGTGTCGGCACAAGGCGTAGCAGGCCCCGATGTGGCAGCCATCTTGAAGAGTAGGCCTATTCGATCTGTTAATGGTTGCAGAAGTCTCTCAGAACAGGCCACAAGAGTTTACTATTGTGGGGAGCACTATAACCCACACCGCTTTACCCAAGGAGCTCCTTCATTTTCGACTAAATCATTCAGCTGTCAAGCCCCCCCACCCCCTTTTCTATCCTATATTAAGATGATAAAACAATGAAGAAGGTGATATTTGTTTAAAACAATATAATTGATGTCATTATAGAATGCCCAGTCTTGTTATAATGAATACAATGTTATGGATTTTTTTTTTTTTAATTAATCATTCTGAAATCTGAATGGTTGTATTAAAGTATTTTTATAAGGAGGCTGTCAACTTATTACACAACGATTCTTAATCAAATATTAGTATTTTACAGTACTCCGTTACAGCAGTTTCACTTTTCCTTTTGTATAATGAACATGCACAGCACAACTGCAAACATCACAAATCACACAGGCATCAATGACAAAGGCAAACAGTTGAGGGGAAATTCTTATGGAGAACCCAATTATTATTTGTAAATTAAACAAAACACATACTTGGGAGTTTATGAAACTAAATGTACTATAATGCTTCCTACTAAATTTGAAATATCAGTTTCATATAATATGCCAATTTGATTAAAATACTCTTCACAGCAGAATATTTGTTTATGCGTGTCATCTCTTCAGTAGGGAAGAAAAAGTAAAACACTTACGTATATTTTATATGAATTTCCCACAGCAAAAAAACAAAACAAAAAAAAAAACAAAATAAAGGGTGATGAATTTTAAACCGAAATGCAAATTGCATGACAAAAGAGTTGATATGGGAAAATTCTCAGACTCTGTTTGACTATTTAGCCTCAATTGTGTAATTTGGTTTTCAATTCACTGTTTAGTGAATAACTCCAACTTGTAATAACACTTTAGTATTAAAATTCCACAGAAAGTGATTTCAGAACAAGGTCAAGCCCTCAATCTGTGCAAAGATTAGTGTTAGGAATAAACCCCAGGGTTGACCAAAACCAAATACTAAAGTAGAGGTTAAAGGAGGAGGAAAAAGGGCTCTCATGTATTATAATACTTTATTTCTACCAATGTCTAGGAACCGCAAGGTGATGACTTACCTTTTTTCCTCCCAATTGTCCATTCCTTCTTGCAGAGAAGGAGCTCAGATGAAGACTCTGAGCCAGCTGCTGGGAGTCGAGACAGCTTTCCCCAAGGCTTTCTCTCCCCCAAGCCTTCCATCTTAATTCGCTTCTATAACAAGCAGTAGAGAACAACAATGAGTTGGGGGGCAGGGAGGCCTAAACTTATACATCAGGGAGACTCAAGTGCTCCCCTCCCCACTAACCAGACAGAACAGTAGCTGCTAAGAATGAAGTGAAAGCCATTATTCTACCAGTTTCCTCAAGAGGTGGTGGGAAAAGGATTCAACCATTAACCCCTTAAGCTCCTCATGATGTTGAAAGACAAGTGTAAAAATGTACATAGATTTGACTGCAGCGAAGCAGATTCATCCTTACATAGAAGTGAGCGCTTTTTATTTGCTGCAGAGCATAGAGCATTGCAATCAAGGCTGGAAGGTGGCGTCATTAAACAAAGCATAGCATGTTATTAACGGAGCACTCCTACAACAAAGCAATATAAAGATACAATTATGCACATGCAATATAACACCTTTTTAATAAATAAACAAACATCATTGGAATAAAATGGATAAAAACAATTCATCTGAAACATGCAATGATATGTAGCATACATTTATAATTTGTATCCCTTTGTACAGTGCTGCAGAATGTTTGAACCTTGCAAACGATAACATTCCAACATGCAGAGAAAACCAAATGCTTTTGCCTGTACTGCTAAAGGAACATGCATCGGAAAGACTCCCACTTCAAGCTGCATAAGAAAACTAGTAGGGAATTTGCAAAGACAGACATTGAAATATACTTGTTTTTGATTTTTTCCTCTCCTCATATTGTTCTCAGGGATTTCACATTTTGAGACATACAGTGGGGGTTGTAAGCAGCTGTCTGCAAATGTGGAAGCCTGATTGGGTAATGAGGTGCCATGGAATTTGAGAATGGTACAGACTGCATGAGGGCGGTTTTAGATTAGCTGGGGGAGGACTCCTGCCTTGCAAATGTGGAGAAGTTACAGGATGGACACAGTTTACTTAATAGGAAAATGGGAGGGGGAAGGGACATGGCTGGAGGAATTTTCATTTCCAGTTACAAGAATACAAAGGGCGGACAACCACTAATAACAGTTATCTGTTTGTTGGGTGGGGAAAGACATCTCATCATTTAGAGTTAAGTATGAACATCATTGATAGAATACACAGGCGGAGCAGGAGGACTGTGTTAATCAGAGGAAGGAAGCAGTGAATGAGAGCAGGAGATAATTATTGACAAATTAGAATGACAATGAATTTTGAAGGAAAAGTATGCATGCAAAAGGTGCAAAAATTATCGAAAAGCAAGAGGGGAAAAAAATAATGAATAGCAAAGAAAAAAAGACAAATTGGAAGACAAAGAAGGTAGTTTCACAGACAAAGAAGACAAGAGTAGGAGATGGACAGAAGAGACAGTTGGAAGAAGCATAAAAATAACTGGTGTATAACAGGATGGAGAAAGAACTATCGATGGCAAATAAAAAGTATAGCAAGAAGAATGAATGTAAAACAGAGCAACAGAGCTACATAATTCATGAGAAAATACAAAATAAATAATGTAAAGAGAAAAGTGTAACGTTAAAGGGATACTCCAGGCACCACAACCCCACATTGAAAATGTTATGGTGTCTGTAATCGCCTGGCACTGTCCACGTTTTATTGTTAAAAGAGCTGCTCAGGATCCCAAATCATACCAGTGAGAGCCTCAGAGCACTCAGGTGACAAGGACACAGACACCATAACCATTTCAATAAGTCAAAGTGGATATGGAAAAGCAGTAAATGTCTCATGTGGGAGAAATGATAAGGCAAAGATAAGCAGTGATAGGACAAATAAGATAAGCAAACTATGAGTGTGTGGGTTTTTAATCACACCAGAGGTTTCTAGGTGGATACTATATAATGACAAACCCTGTATAAGCTGATAATTTTGGCTATACAGTAGATGGTAGGTATAGAAGGTTGATTTGCCGAGGGGTAGTTGGAGAGCATTAGTGATAAAGCTGAAGGTGAGATATAGAAGAAATTTGCCTCATAAATCAAAATGTAATGTTTAAATGTATATTATAGGGGAATTAACTAATGCAGCGTAAACAAGACGATTTTATTTTAAATTACTGTTATTTGTTGTTTTTTTTAACTATGAAATCTTTTTTTCGCCAACTAGCAGGAGCAAAATACAAATATATTTTTGCCTTCTTATTGGATAAGTAAAATACCATAAAAATCCATTTTTCCCCAGGAAGGTTCAATAGTTCCAAGGCAATACAAAATACCAACTTCTCTATGCCAAAACACCAATGTTAAATGGGGGGGAGGGTGGGGGGGTGGGAGGGAGATTGAACTGGTGACAACAAGGAAAAAAAAATACGTGATAAGTAAAATGTCACGTTTTTTCTGTTGTATAGCAGCAGGACACAAATGGGATGAAACAAGCAGTTGCCAAAATGTCTATTCTGTAGTATCAAATGGTGAACGTATCAAATGATGATCACATGGCCACTCTGCAGTATCCAATGGTGCACAAGCTCTTAAAGATTTGAAACTTGTTTGAGTAGAATGAGATCTAGACAGGAGGGATTTTTGCCCACCACTTTACAGCATAACTGAATTGCCTTTATTATTCACCTTGACAAAGTCACTTTTGAGGCTTGTTTTCTTGCCTCTGAAATGGAGAAAGAGGATTTGATCTTCAACTGTTTGATGTATGCTAAATACACATCTAGAATTTACATCCAGTCAATGTAACTGAACTTCTTGTTCTGGGTGTGCCCCCTATTCTCTTTATTTCTGTGTAAATTTGGAATCCAGACCAGATTCCCATTGGCCTGAGTACCGCACCCATTTTACTATAGGTGCCCCTTTGGAAATGACCACAGGAAAGCATAAATTCAGGAGTCTCTTGAAACCGTTTAAACTGTAGTTAGCACGTTAATCTCCCACTTATATTGGGTATTGTGACATACTAGTGGGTTTTTTCAAAAAGTAGGTATAATTACTTTTTGATTCTGCATTACGTCTTTTAACACGTTGGACAAAAGGAAGGGTTCAAACACAGATACTGAGTCTGTAGCTCTCTAATTCTTTTGGCTGACAATACAGCTACCAAAAATGCTTCATATGACAGTATCAGAAAGAAACACTCCTCCAGTGGTTCAAATAGTCACACGCAAGAATTTAGGACTAGGTAAGAGATCCCACAAAGAAATTAGACTAATCCCCTCTATCATGCACAAATATTATTATTGCCATTTATATAGCGCCAGAATCAAGTATGACACCAAGACAGGGCGCTTGCAAGGATGGATTGATGTGGATACCACTAACTTAAAGGGAGGGTGAAAAAGGAGGATCAGTATTAGGAGGAGGAAAAACAAGCAGCTCATTTTTGTAGAGATTTCGTTTCAGAAAGCAGGAGGACATCCAGTCAGAGTTGGAAGAAAGGCAAGCAGTGACACGTTACAGGACAGCAGGGGAGAGGTCTGAGGAGGAGAGATATATCAGTGTCATCAGCATACAGGTGGTAGTGGAATCCAAATTAGGTAATAAGTTTGCCAAAAGAGGCAGTATAAAGAGTAAATAGAAGGGGACCAAGGACAGAGCCTTGGGGGGACTCCAACTGAGACAGGACAAAGGGAGGAGGTATCATTAGAAAACAAAACACTGAATGATCACTGGGAGAGATAAGAGGAACACCACGAGAGAACAGAGTCACAGAGACTGAGTGATTGAAGAGTTTGAAGAAGGAAAGCATGATCAACAGTGTCAAAGGCAGCAGATAGGTCAATCAGAATTAGTATGGAGTAGTGGCCTTTGGATTTAGCTGCAATTAGATCGTTAGTAACTTTAATAAGAGCAGTCTCAGTAGAGTGGAGGGGGCAGAATCCAGATTGAAGAGGGTCAGGGAGAGAGTTGGAACTGAGGAAGTGAGACATACAGGTAAAGACACGTTTTCAAGAAGCTTTGAGGAAATAGGGAGCAGGGATATGGGACGATAGAGTGGGAGGACGGGTAGAGAGATGTTTTTTTCAGGATAGGTACTACAGTGGCATGTTTAAGGTCAGCAGGGACAATGCCAGAAGAGAGAGAGCAGTTGAAGATGTGTGTTAAGAAAGGCACAAGACAAGGGGAGAGAGATCTGATAAGGTGAGATGAGACAGGATCAAGCTGGGAAGTGGTGGGGCGAGAGGAAAGGAGAAGCACAGCCACCTCTTGTTCAGTAGCCAGGGGGAAAGTCTGAAGGGTAGGAAAGGCATGATCTACTTGTGGTTGAGAAAGAGAAAGGCAGGGTGGGGAGAATGCTTTCCTTAGCTGTTCAATCTTGTCGGTAAAGTAGTATGCAAAGCTATCGGCTGTAAGGTTAGTTTGGGGGGTGGCCACAGCAGACGCCTGGGATTGCGGGAGCATGAACTAATGAGAGAGGAAAAGTATGACTGTTTTGCGAGGGCAGTGCTGCGCTGTATGAACATAATATGAATTAAACACACAATGAATTAGACATATCCAGATTCTCAAGTAAATTGTAGACATGGATTTATTGTTTGATTTAAAAAGAACAGCTATAATTTCTCCCTTTAAAGGTATTCTATAGTGCCAGGAAAACAAAGCCATTTTCCTGGCATTATAGAATCCTAGAGTGCCCCTCTCCCTTGTGCCCCCTCCCGCGGTGAAAACCTTCAGTCACTTACCTGAACCCAGCACAGATATCCCTCGGCTGATGACCTAATACGCATGCGCAGCAATGGTCGCACTCACATTAGGATTTACCCCTAGGAAAGTATTAATCAATGTTTTCCTATGAGGACAAAACTGACGCTGGAGGTCCTCATCCAGAGCGTCAGGACGTCCAGCGTCAGATACTGGACCAAAGGTCCGTGGTTGTCTACCAGACCAGAGGTGGAGTTAACCCTGAGAGGTAATTATTGCCACTGCAGGGTTAAAGGTGAGGGACACTGCACCCAAACCACTTCAATGAGCTGAAGTTGTCTGGGAACCTACAGTGTCCCTTTAAACCTTGACAATAAACAACTTGACAGGCAAGTTGTCAATTTGAACATTTCGAGTGCAAACACAGAAACAGCATTGTGTCTGATATGAGAATCATTTGAAAAATGTCCATTTGCCAACCATAGCAGCTCTGAAAACCAACTCTTTGGTCAAAAGAGGAATTATGGCACGCACTGTGTCTTAATCTGATCTTATTTTCTGTAGGATTATTGGAATTACAGCTACAGGCGGAAAGATATGTGAAAGGACAGTTCCAAGGATTGAGCAGGATCCCTAAATCTTCATTTGTTTCCCTGGCACTATAGTTTCCCTTTAAGGAAGTGCAGTCCCTACTTTTTCTTAAGTATAACTTTGAAAATATGCATAATTAGAAACAAAAATGGGCCATGGGAGGGGGGGGGTGGTGGTTAATCAACATGTAAATATGGTACTCCTGAGGGGGCCAAACAAATAGAAGGGACCGTCCATAACGAGACAAATTGATTGCAATATATATATTTCATGGAAAATCACAACAAGAATAAAGTCCAATATATATTTAGATTAGACTTTATTCATATAGTATTTTTTTCCATAAAATAAATTTCTTGCAATCAAACAATGTCTCTTTATGTATGTTTTTTGCTATTCGCTTGAATCTCTCAGGAGTGCATCATCTATATGTCGTACTGTTTGGGGACTCCCACCAGCAACAGGCATATCCGAATGGCCTTTGAAATGTGAGTAACACAAAGACTATATTAGTACTTTTATTCTGCTGGGGTATCAGTATTAATTTATTTTTCGTTTAGGGATTTGGGACAAACCTATATAAAAAAACAAAAGTGACAGGATACCTTTAACCCCTTAAGGACACATGACATGTGTGACATGTCATGATTCCCTTTTATTCCAGAAGTTTGGTCCTTAAGTGGTTAACCACTATAGGCACCCAGACCACTTCAGCTCAATGAAGTGGTCTGGGTGCCAGGTCCATCTAGGATTAACCCTTTCTGCTGTAAACATAGCAGTTTGCCGCGCATGCGCATTCAGCCGATGACGGAAGAAGAGGGAGGAGAGTCCCAGCGTCAAGGGAGCCCGGCACTGGAAAATAGGCAAGGGATTAACCCCTTCCTCCCCCTTCAGCACCACGGGAGTGGGACCACCCTCAGGGCACTATAGTGGTCCTTTAAATGTATGTCAATGTTGAACTTTTCACAAATACAGATTCTAAACAAAGTGCTCTTATACATGATACAAAGTAGGGACTGTGCCGATCTTCGTCAGTGGGAAGTGCTTCCACTGCTAAATCCTGCTATTTCCTATCAGCCATTATCTTGTGCGGAAGATACTTAAGGCACCTTATTTTGCAAGTGTTAGATTGTTTATGAAAGATTCAGCGATCTCACATGATCGTTCACAGACCCCATTTTGTACTCTTGTGCATGCATGAAAGTTCAGTAGTGATGGCAACTCCTGGCAAGCAGAAGCACACTGACCTGGCACACCAGCCTCAGCCAGCAGCCTGTATCGCTAAAGGAAGTCACCCTCCTGCAGAAAAAGGGAAGTGAACAGGAGGGTGACTGCAAATATAAACGTGTGTGTGTATGTCAATGTGCATCTGTGTGTGTATCTGTATGTCAGTGTGTGTATGTATGTGTCAGTGTATCTGTCAGTGTGTGTGCGTGCATATCATTGTGCCAGTGTGTGTATCTGTATATGTAGTTGCCAGTTTGTGTATCTGTGTGCATGTCAGTGTGTGTGTGTAAGTGTATCTGTCAGTGTGTGCACATTTGTGTGTGTATATATACTAGTGTGTATCTGTGTGTTTGTTTGTTAACGGGTATGTATATCTGTGTAAGTGTATATGTGACAGTGCATGTGCAGACATCTGAGCAATCAAACACCAACAAAAAAACACACTCCTGCAAACACAAATATAACATACAAAGACACCCCTGAACTCTAAAATTATATACAAACACTCAAACACCAATACTACACAAAAATGTACATCTGAATTTAAAATCCAACACACCTCTGCACACAAACATTACATACAAGCACATCCCAGTATTAAAAAGCTAAAATTATATACAAACAAATGCTACACATAGAAACACACCTGCTCCTAAGTACTACAATCTGTTTACTATCTGTAAAAATTAGTGTATATATAACAAAAAAACAAACAAAATTTGCCAAAAAAAGAAAGCATTGTACTCTGCTAATTGAAAGGTTTATGCTACGGCACAACATTTTGTTGGGGGGATTCCACGATGTTGATACACTATGACAAAGGGTGCAGCGGGAAAAATGAATTGGGAACCCCTGCTCCAGAATGTAAGCTCATTTGAGCAGGGCCCTCAACACCCTCTATTCCTGTGTGTCCAACTCATCTTGTTGCAAATACTTGACTTTTTGTCCACCCACTGTACAGCGCTGCAGAATTTGTTGGCGCTTTATAAATAATGATAATAAAGCATGACCAACCAGGCTTTAAGGAGAACTAACTCTTCTTTGTAAATTAAACCACTAAATAAATCTTTGTTAACTTTTTATTTTATGTCTTCATAATTTAGATCAGAGGTAGGCAACCTTCGGCACCCCAGATGCTGTGCCAGAATTATGACAGAGCATTATAGGAGATGTAGTCGACAATATCTGGAGTGCCAAAGGTTGCCTACCCCTGATCTAGATCAATCCTGATACAGACAGGGCACACATTGCATTTGGAGTAGGAGAAACTAACTTTGGGAGTGATGTTTAAAAATTAATTCTGGGGCAAATTTCTTAAAATTGGTTTCCATGGTGACGGCTCCATTTTTTTTTAGCACTTTAATACAAAGTTCTCATTATTTAAGTGGTTCCTTTTCTCTGTATGCTTTCTCTAAGACTACAAAGTACATAGGAGAGAGATAAAAGTAATGACTGATGTAGAACCACAATGAAGGTGCTCAATTCTAAAATTATATTTTATTTTTCAGAACTCACCAATTTATATTAGTTATAAGGTACTAAGAATAAAAATACAGATAAATGACAATTCCCCTTTAATAGGTTGGTAGCTCTCGGTAAGATCTAGAAGAGGGTTTAACCCCTTAAGGACACATGACATGTGTGACATGTCATGATTCCCTTTTATTCCAGAAGTTTGGTCCTTAAGGGGTTAAGCACTAAACCTCAAATAGTAGAGAACATTTGAACTCTCCTTTTACTTGCCCTAACTCTGCAACCTCACTCTACAACTAGACATCATGGCACCTCCTACATTTTAAAGCAGCAAGCGTTCCCAATTACAACCCTGGCACACCAAGCTGACCCGATATCGCCAAAAATGTTCTAGAACTGCTGAACGCTGTTGGAGAAAGTCTCACTCTGCACCTGACTTCCTCCACTATAAATTTATGCTGTGCTCCTACACTCTGGCTCTTTCCTCTGCAAAAGTAAATTACTTCAATACTGTCATAACCACACTCTCGCACAAACCCAAACGATTATTTCACACTTTTAATACTCTCCTTCACCCTGTTGCTCCCCCCCCCTCCAACCACCTTGTCCACCACAAACTTTGCAACTCACTTCACTGAGATGATTTCTACAATCAGGGAAGAAATCTAACCTCTCTCCCTCCCCATCCAATACATCACCCAACACCACTCCCTCTGCTGTTCTATGCTCATTCACATACTACAATGGAAAAGGTTTCTGCTCTGCTACGGTCCTCCTGCCCCACCACCGGTTTCCTCAATCCTATTCCTTCATATCTCATCCGCACTGTCTCCCTCTCTTGCTCTTACTCTCACTAAAATTTTCAATCTCTCCCTTTCCTCTGGCACATTTCCCTCACCCTTCAAGCATGCAACCATAACGCAGATTCTGAAAAAGCCCAATCTTGACCCCAACTCCCCATCCAACTACCGCCCTATTTCGGTACTGCCGTTTGCCTCCAAGATCCTTGAGAGAGTTGTGTATCCGAGATTGACAGACTTCCTCAAGTCCAACTCTCTGCTTGACCCGCTTCAGTCTGGATTCCGTGCTCGTCACTCTGTTGAAACAGCTGTGACCAAAGTATCCAACGATTTAATCGCTGCTAAATCTTGCAGCCATTACTCTATCCCAATTCTCCTTGATCTTTCTGCTGCCTTTGACATTGTTGTTCATCAACAGCTTCTTCTCATTCTCCATAATTTCTGTCTACGGGATACTGCTCTCTCCTGGTACTCCTCCTACCTCTCCCAGCTCTCTTTCACTGTTTCTTTCTCTGGCTCTGCCTCTTCTCCCCAACCCCTCTCTGTTGGCGTTCCCCAAGGTCCTGTCTTTGTTTCCCTACTGTTCTCTATCTATACTGCCTCCCTTCCTAAACTCATCAGCTCCTTTGGCTTCCATTATCAATACAGGTGGCAGAGAGACCTATTAAAAATGGGTACAGTGGCCCTGTCCTTTTAACCCTGCGATGTAAAACATTGTCATGGTGACAGCCACAGGAGGCAATTCCGCACTGACACTAACTAAAACTCGTTCATATGAGGCTGAAGCCCATAGGAAAGAATTTAAAACAATTATTTCCTATGGGGAAGCTTGAAATTGGACAGGGATGGGTGGGAAGAGGTACACTAAGGGACAGGGAAGGGAGGGGAACACTAAATATTCTTGAAAATATAAAATAATCTGACTGGCATGTATATTTTGTGCATTTACCACTTAATAAATAAAAGATTTGCAAAAATAAATAAATAATAAACATGTTCAGTTAACAGTATATTTGTGGAGAAATGGTTTCTTTTTTCAAAATGGTAAATGATACACAAATCTACCTGTCCTTTCCTGATCTCTCTCTCCGCCCATCTTGACTTGTGTCTCTGACTGCCTCTCTGCGATTTCCAACTGGATGGCGGCCCACTTCCTTAAACTCAACCTGTCCAAAACACTCAAGTGTTGCTACTCCTGTGTCTGTCTCCCTCCAAGTCAACGGCGTCACCAACACCTCTACTTCGCAGGCTCACTGCCTAGGTGTTCTTTTACTCCGACCTCTCCTTCACCCCTCATGTCCAGTCGATCACAAAACCCTGCCGCTTCCATCTCAAAAACATAGCTCACATCCGCCCCTATTTAACACGAGACGCAGCTAAGGTGCTGGTCCATGCCGTTGTGCTTTCTCACCTTGACTACTGCAATCCCCTTCACAGTGGTCTTACGTGTTCACAGATTGCACCTGCAATCTATAATGAATGCGGCGACAATGCTCATTTTCCAATCCGCCCTCACCTCCCCCTCTGTCAGTCCCTACATTGGCTGCCAGTTAGATACAGGGCTCAAGGTTCTGGTGCTTGCTTACAAGTCCCTACATAATGCTGCTCCAACATACCTATCCTCTCTAATACACAAATATGTCCCTTCGAGGCCCCTGCGCTCTGCCGAAGACCTACGTCTATCCTCTGTCCGTACTCCCACGTCTGATGTTCGTCTCCAAGACTTCTCCAGGGCTGCACCTTTTCTGTGGAAGTCCCTTCCCTTCTCCGTTAGACTTTCACCCAGTCTCCACTCCTTCAAAAAAATTTTTGAAAACACACTTCTTCAGGAAAGCATGTCATTTAACCCCCCCCGCTCCCCACGACTTCTCTCCTGTAACAATCAAAAATAACCTATTAAGTTCTCAGTGAATACTTTTCGAGCAACCTATTTCATTACCCCTACTTATACCCTTTGTGTCACTATACCCCACTCCCTCTAGCACATAAGATCATTGAGCAGGGTCCTCAACCCCTCTGTTCCTGTGCGTCCATTTGTCTGGTTACAATTACGTGTCTGTTAGTCCACCCATTGTACAGCGCTATGGAATTTGCTGGCGCTATATAAATAATAAAATAATAATAATAAGAGAGATCACTGACTGGTCACAATGGAGACTAGTAGTACAGTTAACAGCTCAGAGAAGCTCGCAGTGAAGGAGCACGCTGATTGGTCACATAAAAGATAAGTGGAGACTAAATATCCACCAGTGACTCCTATTAAACCAGTGCTAGGCAAATCACAGGCTGGAATTTGTCGGCCCGTTCCGTTCTCCTCCTGTCTTTTGATCTCTGCATGCCAGGAGGTAGTGAAGGCTGGGGAATGGAGGTGACATGATATCTAGTACAGAGTAGAGGGTTGAGTTATAGAGGGAGATTGAAGATCTAGGGCAGGTGATGTTTGAAATGGGTAAAAAGAGTGATTGGATGCTGTAGGTGAAGAAAGTGGAGGTTTATACGAGATTGATGTACCGAGGGTGATGAGATATGGGTACGGGGTAGGGATCAACAGATATTTTTTTTTATTATTTTTTTAGAGCAGATACAGATAATTTGTGAACTTTCAGGCCAATAGCCAATAACTTACCGATATTTTTTACATTTACCATTGTGAAAAAAAGAAACCATTTCTCCACAAATCTACTGTAAACTGAACAGGTTTATTATTTCTTTATTTTTGCAAATCTTTTATTTATTAATTAAATGCACAAAATATACATGCCAGTCAGATTATTTTATATTTTCAAGAATATTTAGTGTTCCTCTCCCTTCCCTGTCCTTTGGTGTACCTCTTCCCTCCCATCCCTGTCCAATTTCAAGATTCCGCATAGGAAATAATTGTTTTAAAGTTCTTTCCTATGGGCTTCAGCCTCACATGAACGCGTTTTAATTAGTGTCAGTGCAGCGGAATTGCCTCTTGTGGCTGTCACCATGACAATGTTGACAGGGCCACTGTACCCATTTTCATTGACAGGTGGCAGAAAGACTTATTTTTAGAAAGTTTCCTACCTCTCCACTTTTGCCAGCACAATGTATAGACAGAATCAAATGCTTTTTAAAAAAGCACAACTGTTACAGGTACCCTTTAATTTCTCTCTGACATCACACACAGGAAAGAGATCTTTATCACACTATTGGCTGATTAGGGAGATGACTAACAGGTAACACCAGACAAAGTAAAACAACAGCTCACACACACTGGAGTAAGATATGGCAAAATGACCAACCACTCACAGTAAAAGACAGATAGGGTGGGTGCAGTATAAATGGGTTCGTATACAGGTAATGCAGACACATGGATGGGGCACTGATAACAGCACCAGGAACTGGCAATACAATACAGACAGGAACATGTCAGCCTCCCCGGAGACACAGGAGGAAATTTCTGCCCACACTGGGGGTAAGGGAACCACAACATGGCGTGACATATGGGGAGGAGTATCAGCACATTCAATCTATGGCTGTGTTTACACCGGGCCTGTAAGCAGGAGCTGGGCCTTCTGCCGAAAAAGTGTGTCTGTTGTTGGCAGTAACCCTCACACTATGCAGGGACACTGGGCTACTGTGGGGAATCCCGGGCTACTGTGGGGACAGTGTGTTACTATGGAGGACAAGGGGCTAGTGTGTTACTATGGAGGACAAGGGGCTAGTGTGTTACTATGGAGGACAAGGGGGTAGTGTGTTAATATGGAGGACACTGAGCTACAGTGGGTAATCCCGGGCAAGTGTGGGAACAGTGTGTTAATATGGAGGACGCGGGGCTAGTGTGGGGACAGTGTGTTAATATGGAGGACGCGGGGCTAGTGTGGGGACAGTGTGTTAATATGGAGGACGCTGGGCTAGTGTGGGGACAGTGTGTTAATATGGAGGACGCTGGGCTAGTGTGGGGACAGTGTGTTAATATGGAGGACGCGGGGCTAGTGTGGGGACAGTGTGTTAATATGGAGGACGCGGGGCTAGTGTGGGGACAGTGTGTTAATATGGAGGACACTGGGCTAGTGTGTTAATATGGAGGACACTGGGCTAGTGTGGGGACAGTGTGTTAATATGGAGGACGCGGGGCCAGTGTGGGGACAGTGTGTTAATATGGAGGACGCTGGGCCAGTGTGGGGGCAGTGTGTTAATATGGAGGACGCTGGGCCAGTGTGGGGGCAGTGTGTTAATATGGAGGACGCTGGGTTAGTGCGGGGACAGTGTGTTAATATGGAGGACGCGGGGCTAGTGCGGGGACAGTGTGTTAATATGGAGGACGCGGGGCCAGTGTGGGGACAGTGTGTTAATATGGAGGACGCTGGGTTAGTGTGGGGACAGTGTGTTAATATGGAGGACGCTGGGCTAGTGTGTTAATATGGAGGACACTGGGCTAGTGTGGGGACAGTGTGTTAATATGGAGGACGCGGGGCCAGTGTGGGGACAGTGTGTTAATATGGAGGACGCGGGGCCAGTGTGGGGACAGTGTGTTAATATGGAGGACGCTGGGCCAGTGTGGGGACAGTGTGTTAATATGGAGGACGCTGGGCTAGTGTGGGGACAGTGTGTTAATATGGAGGACGCTGGGCTAGTGTTGGGACAGTGTGTTAATATGGAGGACGCGGGGCTAGTGTGGGGACAGTGTGTTAATATGGAGGACGCGGGGCTAGTGCGGGGACAGTGTGTTAATATGGAGGACGCGGGGCCAGTGTGGGGACAGTGTGTTAATATGGAGGACGCTGGGTTAGTGTGGGGACAGTGTGTTAATATGGAGGACGCTGGGCCAGTGTGGGGACAGTGTGTTAATATGGAGGACACTGGGCTAGTGTGGGGACAGTGTGTTAATATGGAGGACGCGGGGCCAGTGTGGGGACAGTGTGTTAATATGGAGGACGCGGGGCCAGTGTGGGGACAGTGTGTTAATATGGAGGACGCGGGGCTAGTGTGGGGACAGTGTGTTAATATGGAGGACACTGGGCTAGTGTGTTAATATGGAGGACGCTGGGCTAGTGTGGGGACAGTGTGTTAATATGGAGGACGCTGGGCTAGTGTTGGGACAGTGTGTTAATATGGAGGACGCGGGGCTAGTGTGGGGACAGTGTGTTAATATGGAGGACGCGGGGCTAGTGTGGGGACAGTGTGTTAATATGGAGGACGCGGGGCTAGTGTGGGGACAGTGTGTTAATATGGAGGACACTGGGCTAGTGTGTTAATATGGAGGACACTGGGCTAGTGTGGGGACAGTGTGTTAATATGGAGGACGCGGGGCCAGTGTGGGGACAGTGTGTTAATATGGAGGACGCGGGGCCAGTGTGGGGACAGTGTGTTAATATGGAGGACGCGGGGCCAGTGTGGGGGATATTGGGCTAATGGCAGCCCGGGGACTCTCGCAGTGGCGGTCACTGTGTGTTATCCGGGTGTCAGTGCTATATGTGACTAGTCCCAGGCTCCCTGTCTCTCAGCCATGGCCGAGCCCCTCCCAACCGCCCGCCCGCCCCGGGTGTCACGGTTACCGGTTCCGTATTCTTCCTCCGCCGTCTCCCTGTTACAGCGCCACCCAGGCGACATCAGCTGATCTGAGGGCGGGGCTACCGCGGACGTGGCGTTTCCCATGGAAACCCCCCTACGAGCTGGAGTAGAACGTCAAGAAAGGCACGTGATGAGAGCAAGCCGCCATCTTTGTTCTGGGCATTTTCCCAGACATGACACCTAGTGGGAAAGCAGAAATTTTCTCACCTCACTTCCCTAGTGGGGGGTAGGTGTCTAGCTGTTTAAAGGCATTAATTGCATGAGCCACCTGATAGGCAGTAATCATAACAATTAATAACTAGTGACATTTACTAGCGCAAACCACACACACCTCTTGAAAGTGATATAAATAATTGCTCTAGGACTTACATCCTGATTTTTAACAATGTCTCTTCCAGTCTGGTACAGTGGTTTCTCTGGTGCTGACTCTAGGAACAATATATAGATAGGCAGCACTAACAATTTCCACCACTAAATCATCTCTCAGCTAGTGATAAATCCATAGCCTACAAATGTATCTTGGTTATTTAAACACCGCCAGTGTTTGTAGAAGGTGCTGTTAATCTTCCTTTTGTGAAACACTGAAAGGGACACTATAGTTACCAGAACAACTTCAGCTGTAACCAACGTTTTGCTGAAAACTGTCTTTTCAGAGAAAAGTAAGTGTTTACATTGATGTTCAGTGTCTCCACCTTCTGCATTGGAGATGCTGAACTATCGTCATAGAGATGCATTGATTCAAGGCATCTCTACGAGGACATGCTGATTGGCCCAGCCTTCTGGACCATCTCAGCCAATCAAATGCTTTCCCTGTGAGGAAGCATTGAATTGGTTGAGATCATCAATTCTGATGATGTCAGACAAAGAGATTGAGGCGGGGCCAGCACGGCAGAGCGGTGGGGAGTTGGAAATAAGGTAAGTTTTAAACATTTTTTTTCCCAAGGGGCAAGCCACCTCAGTGGTGGTTTTAACACTATAGCGGCAGGAATACATTCTGTCACTATAGTGTTTAAGTTTGTCACCGTTGCGCCTGTATAACTAGTTTGTTTCAGGTTTAAGGAAAGCATGCACCATAATAATTTCAGCTTATTATAGTAGACATAGACATAATAGCACGGTCCCTGTCTGGGCCGGACTGGGGATACAAAGCAGCCCTGGAAAAAAAAAAAATCTATGCCAGCCCCATAAGTCATTGTGCTATGTAGGGTGTTTTTATATATATATATATATATATATATATGCAATTGAAATAGGTGGCTGCACCCTCGGATTTCCTGAAAATGTAACTTTTATTGAAATATTTAAGAGAAGATCAATGTTTCAGTCCCTCTTGTGGACTTTCGTCATGATCCTGATGCAAGTCCACAAGAGGGACTGAAATGTTGATCTTCTCTTAAATATTTCAATAAAAGTAAAATTTTAAGGAAATCCGAGAGTGCAGCCAACTATTTCAATTGCCTATATATATACTGGAGCCCTGGTGATGCAACAGTGTGTGTGTGTGTGTGTGTGTATATATATTTTTTTTTTTATTGATACATTTCTTCTTCTAATTCAAAATATTAGTTCTTTTAGGGTAATTAAATTATACAGTAAAGCATACTCACACACAGACAGACAATCTTACTGATTCACACAAATAGGCTCATTGACAGACAATGACACACACAGACAAGGTTACTGGAGCAAACACAAATTTAGTACAGACAAACTCTGATACACACACACAAGCTTACTATAGACAAGCTCACTGTCACACACACACGCTCACTACAGACAAGCTCACTGATGCGCACACACTCTCCCTACAGACAAGCCCATTGACACACACGCTCCCTACAGAAGAGCTCACTAACACACGGATTCACTACAGACAAGCTCACTGACATACACTGCTCACTACAGACAAGCTCACTGACACACATATGGTCACTACAGACAAGCTCACGATCACACTCATGCTTACTACAGACAAGCTCACTGTACACACATGCTCACCACCGACAGGCTCCGACACACGCATGCTCCTTACAGACAAGCTCACTAACACACACACGATCCCTACAGACAAGCTCACTGACACACATACAAGCTCACTCACTAGCAGGCACACACACACAAACTCACTAGCAGGCACACACACACACACACACACAGAGGCTCCCTCACTAGCAGATGCGCGCACACACACACACACACACACACACACAGAGGAAGACAGTCACTGACACCCAGGCAGACAGCCACACACACAGACAGTCACACACTCACAGGCAGTCACACACAGACAGTCACACACACACACACACACAGTCACACACAGACAGTCACACACACAGTCACACAGACAGTCACACACTCACACAGACACACTGACCTGCTTCTTACCTCCTGCAGGCTGGTTGTTGGGGAAGCAGGAACTCCTTCCTGCTTCCCATGCTGCAGTCAGCCAGGCCGCCGCCGCACAGTAAGCCCCGCCGCACGCTAGCCCCGCCCCCGCCGCAAATTTTTTTTTTATGATCCCAGCCGGCTATGTGTGAGCTGTGCCGGCCGCCTGGCTCCCCCTGCTCCCATGGGGCTCTGTGCGGCCTCACAGCTCACACATGGCCGGCCGGGATCACAGGGCTGCACAGGAGCCCAATGATCAGGGCTGTCAGACCGGCCCCAGGTGCGGCGGCCCACCGGGAAATTTCCCGGTATCCCGGTGGGCCAGTCCGGCCCTGGTCCCTGTTCATCATTGATCAATGGAATTAAAGATTATGCTAGGTTTTAGTGTACCTCTTAACTTTAGTAATGACAGGAGGCAAATATTTTGCTATAAACTCTCAATACTAGCTCAAATTGCAGCCCGAATAACACGGAAAAAACATAGACCAATCAAACACAAGTAGGAAGTAATATAAGGGAATGTTTCTAATAGCACTTTCTTTGAGAAGAAGTATTACCTAGACAGCAAAAAAAAAAAAAAAGACTAACAATGAAAAACTATAAACGAATATTCGATCGATCAAATCACAGGAACGAAGAAGCAGTTTCCAAAATTCCTGGAGCACGTCAAAATCCATTGTTTAAACTGAAAAAAAAGAAAAAAAGAAAAACACATGAAATATCTATTTAAAAAACAAAAAAGTCAACAACATAGAACATTAAATATATTATATACAATAGCATCAACACAAGTATGACAATCAAATTTTACCAAATAACAGAAGGCTTAGTATTTTGCTGTTTAAATGCTAAATATAAAGCAATCCAGATAACAAAAGAGTACTGTACAAATAGTCGTCCTGGTCGCCCAACGCGTTTCACGTTGTCCTAATACGATTGAGAGCCTTAGGACAAGGTGAACTGCGTCAAACGACCAGGACGACTTTTTGGGCAGTACTCTATTGGTATCTGGCTTACTTTTTGTTTTTATTCATTTTAAAAAGTTGTGTTTTTATTTAATAAAGTATATTGGCCATTTTATTATAGGTCCAGTGAGTTCCTGTACTTTCCTGCCTTAAAGCAAAGAAGAATTGTGCCCTCTTAAAGGCACATTGATTATTATACTGAGAGCCCAGCATACTTGGCTCTCAAGAAGGTGAGCAGTCATTTACACCTTTTTATACATACATTTTTTTTTTAGATTGAGGATAATATAGTAGGAGCATTTGCTTCACTTTTTTTCCCCTTTTCTGAGTACTTGGGTTTACATACAGAAGAGGTTTGGTATTGCCATAATATACCCCTGCAAATGTGATCTGAGCCTATTCTTCTAGGGCTCTATCCAATGTGAGTGTGTTATATACAGACTTTTTAACCACTCTGGCTAATCCTTATGTACTACACCAGGGGTAGGCAACCTTTTAGCAGCACTGTGCGGATATAGGATTGTGATGTCCCGTAGGGTGCCGGTACTATTTTTTTTTTTTTTTTTAATTGAGGTGTGTATGCTGCCGTATTCTGCTTGTGTTATTTATACTGTAATTGCTTTGTATCGTTGTACTTGTGCGTATATGAGCTATTATATTGTATATGTTCATGAGTAGATTGTGGTATCGTGTATGATACATATGAATGTGGGCTGTGTATGGGGGCAGCTTGTGGAATTGTGTGTCTGGATGGATATGTGTGTTTAGTTGTGTGTTTAGTAGTGTGTTTAGTAGTGTGTGTATGTGTGGGGGCTGTTTGGGGTATTGCATATGAAAGGCTGCATGTGGGGTTGTGTGCATGTATGTGGATTGTTAGTGGTGTTGCGTTTTGTGCGGATTGTGTGTATGTTTGTGCGGATTGTGTGTATGTTTGTGTGTGGGCTGTCCGTATTATTTGTATGAGGGGAGGGTCTTTCTGCATTTCTGTGTATATCTAGCAGTGTGGGTGGATTCCCTGGGTTCCAGTGGGGACCATGTTGGCCAGGTACAGGTCAAGGACTGGAGCTGCAACAACAACTGCGAGCTGCTCTACTACTGTGTGGATTCCCATTCACAAGTGCTGGAATTAAGTGCTCTGAGATCACTTCCTCTACGTGCTGCAATGCATATACTGAGGATTGTCCTTCCCCACCTCTTTGTATTAGCAGATATCTGAAGTTTTACTGGGACTCCTGATAGGCCAGAGCCTGTTTGGCTCTAGCAGCCCTGAGTGCCGTGCAAAGACACCTCGAGTGCCGTAGGTTGCCTACCCCTGTAGTACACCATATTTTGTCATATATTTTCCCTTTTAGGGGGTAAGTGTATTAATTTGATTTTAGCTCTCCACTGGGTTTACTTGAAGTGGTCTATTTTCAACTCAGTGCACTCCACATTATTTGCATTGTTGTGTGATAAGTTAGAGGTACTTACACGTGTGTTGTAGCTGCTAATATTAAGTTTCTCTGGGTGTTATATTAATATTTAAGCACCTTGTATTGCACAGTGCACTTTTGTTGTTGTTCACAAAAGCACTCAGTTGACAGAGACTGATAAAGTCCCAGGTCTTCTTTGAAAGCATGAAAATGTTACTGAAGAAACCGCTGTCATCCGTAGTGAATTGAACTGCTCCTTTGGAGAAAAAAAAAACATTTGGGCTCTATGTTCAT